AAATCTGAGCTCGCTTCACCATAGAATTATCTGGGTTTTTTTTGTTTTTCTGTGTGTGTGGTGTTGTTCAACGGAGACGATGAGAACGAAAAAAAAAAAGAAAGAAAGGTCTGATATCGATATCAATTTTGATTTTGCTTTTGCTTTCTTTTGGTTTTTTTTTTTTTTTGCCTTTTTTCAATTTATTATGGTTAATCCTCAAAAATACTTTTAACTCTGGCGTTTATATATATTTATACGACCATCGGCATTTTAATACAAGAATACAAATTAAATAATGTATAAAGTGCTTGGGGATTGGGTGGGTGTTTCTCTATACAGAGGTTTTGTAGCACGTGGCCATTACCATCGCCACGTCGGATGCTGATGCAACCAACCCAGGTTGGCACGTGACCGATCGCATGTCGACACGTGCGAGCGTACCTACGAACGCAAATGTTCCGCGAGACAGGGGACGCTCCGCTGGTTCTCGGAGAAAAGGACTTTATTTCACGAGGGGTAAAAGAGTCATTTTCAGATGTTTGACGTGGCATTTCATGGTGCTTATATGGAATTCTTTTTTAATAATGTCGACCTCTTTTGATTATAGATTAATCATATAAATTGATAATGTTTGAGGTTAGCTTTTAAGGGAGCACTTCAAAAGAAAAGATGAATTTGGCTTTGATGTTTTGTAAAATATAATTAAGACAGATTCGTATTTTGTTCGTAAGTTTTCTAAAATATTCAAGAATGATGGAGATGAGATGCAGCACCCATTCGTAATCTAAAGGAGCCACATAGCTTTGATTAAACTATTGCTTACCGGTTTTGCTTTGATTAATAAATGCAGTTACAAAGGTTTGAACATTTTTTATTGCGTTGCATGTGCTCGAAGGTTTTACTAGATTGAGTTGATAATTAAATTTTGTGCCATAATTGAATAGGAGTAGTTATACTATTGCAAATAGTAGTAAAAGAAATGATCGAAAAATTATTATGTTCATTAGTCATATGTAATAAGAAGACAATGCTTTCCAGGCTCATGAGATAAATCAAACAATAATGACGATCATATTTCACAAGTTATTGGTAAAGAGAAAAAAATTTCATCCAAATTAAAAGTTTGAACTTGAATATGCAAAACATTTGGGAGGAACTTAGGTAGTATATCAAAACGTTCACCTATATTAAATTTTAATAATAGATCAGTTCCTTCATTATTCAGTTTGTTCATAAAAAGTATATAACATGAAATAGTGAAGTTAAAAAACTTATTATAATTTAATTATTAGATGAGATGCAGCACTCATTTGTTCAGTATAATGTATTGATAAACCAAGTAAAAAATGGTAATTTGGTGAAAAGGAAGTGGTGAAAAGTAAAGACACAAGAGGGACGTGTGGGAAGTGTGGCGACAATTGGGTAGCAACAAGTTCCACTCGCGCTCTCTTCTCCACAACACATTCCTTTTTTTTTGTTTTCAACAAAATAAGAAAAAACTACATTTATTATTTAGGGGACCAATTTCAATAATAATATTCATTATTCTTTTCCCCGATTTCACAACAACCTCATTATTTTATATCTATAACAAATTAAGAATTCACCGTTCTTGAATCTTGACTATAAGAACAAAAACGAGACTAGTCAACGTATGTAAGCATTTCAACGTTATTACACGTAATTTTGTACGTACGACAACCTTTACCCACATAGAGCAAGTGATAAGCAATTATATTAGTAGATACTTTGTATCATCTAAAGTTTTCTTTGAATCCTTTAAGCTCATAATCATAAATGCATCTACCAGACTTTTCGTTGTTGTTTTGAATTTAATCGATCATACTTTTTACCATCTTATAATCACCTATAGTTTCTTTAAATCCTATAGGACCATCGTCACAGATGGTATGATCTGTATTTACTCGCCCATCAATGAGGCATCTACCAGAGCACAACTTAAAACTTGTGATCATAGGGCTAAATGATTAGACCGAGTATATTATTTAAGAGTATATACGAACCAAATTATAAAATTTTATTGATTATTTTAATAACATTTAGGTGGTTTTTGTTCCGAATTATGTGGAATTCTAAGTATCGTGCAAGTGTACAATGCGATGGGTTGGCTTTTATGATCCATCATCCATCACTCATTATTTTCCTTTTCATTTATCTTTTTTCCTCAAATTATCTTTTTCATCAAAGGATAATGTATATCGTTTACGTCCTTTTCTTTTGACATACATCCCCATACCCGTCGCTTATGAACATTCTATATTTGACTTTACGTTTTTATTTTCATATGAAACAATCTCAAAAATCTCAGTTAAAAAAAATATATGGATGTAGTAGGAGTCCAATTTACCATACATCACGGAAATTGTGATAATATCAAATATGTAAAGAATACCAACACTATCATTGTTGTGTGTGTCTTGTTCCCAGTCAGAACTACAAAGTCGAGTCCTATATACACGCACATAATCCTCCTTCCAAAAATGTAATTGGGCAAATGGTTTTCAATACTCAGATTGCACTAACAAAGACAAGACATTTCATCTAATGTGGAAATCAACGCATCACGCATGACGCATTTCCACTTTACAAGTAACGCACAATCCACATTAAATATAAAAAACAATCATTGCAGATGTGGTTTATCTAAAAAAAAATTAACATGTCCGGTCCAGTGTCGCGAAGTCCTACGCAAGATAAGAAAATTAGTTTCAAAAATTTGAGGTTCGAATCGATGACTTCACTTATACTCTGGACACTGAATCTGTTTTTAGCGTACAAAACCAATAAGTAACCCAATTATTTTCTAGTTATTAAACCAAAGTTAAGATCTATATGTTTTTTTGTGTTAATAATATATGTTGTCGAAAAACATTTTATAACCATCGTAGATATGTCTTTTATATATATCATCATATAATGTAATATTCCTATTACGTACGTCTATCTATGATGATTGTTTTTATGTTTATTGATCCCGAACTAAATCTTTTTTTTTTTGGAATGGTTTTGGGCGTACTCGGTACGTATGATGTATACACTATGAGAAACCATAAACTTACCAGCATAAACAAGCTTTTCATTTCAAAATTGTCTCGTTGCACCAGCAATATGAGAATTGGTATTCTTCTTTCTTAAATACTTTTTTTATTATTATTTTATATGTCTTCAGATTATAAATTTTTTTTAGTGTTTTACTTGTATAATTAGACACTCAAGATTTGTGTGAAAGACTCTAAGATAATCGTGAAACTATGGTAAAAAGAGATGGGCAACAACTTCTGCACCATTGCATCATTTCTCATCTAATAACTTTGTTGTTATATAATTAAACCCCAAATTTTAATTCTAAGAAAATAAAGACATCAAAGTAAACTAACACACAATTTATACTAGTTCAATACGAAAGTTATATATCAACCCCTTCACTCGGATTAATTCGAAAGTTTACAAATTAGCATGAATTAAAACATGTCATAAATTTTCTCATCTTTAATGATATATTAGGCTGCATAATTTAACAGATATGATGCAAAGCATATTGTAATGTATGTACAAACAAAACTATACTTTAATTTTGCATATGTAACTCAGAAAATAAATAGTTTAAATAGTTAATAGAGAGTTAACAAATGGTCAAGTTGACCATCTTACTATAAATTTATAAGATTACCAACGTCCATGTCTAGTTCCAGTGAACCAATGTATTCTTCTTGTTTTGGAAAAAAAAAAAACAGAAAACGTTGAAAGGAAAATCAGAGTCGATACTCCATATCTCAGTATATTGGAATAATTATGCGAAACTACTACTTTACATTAGAAACGACGTTCCATGCCGTATTTTCAAGTTGGAATCTCCATGTTCTTACTATTATATTTATTATGTCAACTATTTATTTAATATGTTCGAACTTTAGAATGTTAGAAGCGTAAACAATTTGCTCTCTTTTTAGGGGAAAATAAACAAAAAATCTTTTCAAACCGCACTTCAACTTCAACTTTATTTTCTAGCCTTGTGAAAACGACAAAACCTTAATAGGTCCATGAAAGCGAGAGCCTCCATCAATTCTCATTTACGTTAATGCATGATAATTGTTATTGCATTTTCTGTTTTTAGATAAGCTTAAATTTATTTTGGTTTTATAAAGACATATCGTTTACGAGAAAAAGACATGATTTTTGAGTCTACAATTAAGAATACACCTTAAGTAAAAGAGAAAATTAGGAAAAACTTCATTAAAAAAAAAAATTAGGAAAAACTATGGTTAAAAGATAGAAAGGTCGGTAGTTAGGAGGAAATATTCGGAGGTTGGGAAAAAAAAAATGGAGGAAATATTCTGAGGTTTGGGTTTTCGGATAATGTAGAGCCAGCATGCTATTCTTTTAAAGGTGTGATAGTTAGGTCGAACACTATAATATGTTTTAAACTTTGATTTATGAACGTTAACAATAGAAAACGAAGTTGATGTTGAAGTTTACTGCCAAAGGTCAAAAGTATAAAATTAAATACCTGAGTATAACAAGGATAGTCAGAATCGTGTCTCCTTTATGTTTGATGAGGTATTGGTTTCGGACCTTACGTTAAAATACATTTTAAAGGTTTCAAGTTTTGAAATTTCTTTTTTGACTAGTTTGTTAATATAGGACCCTTTTTTTTGGTCAATGAAATATAATAAGGACAGCTTTTTATACGGCTATGAACAGTGTACGTACTAGATAATCTTTTACATCTTGAAACTTTTTATTTAATATATAAGTGTAAAATATTTTAGACGGTAGACAACCCATCAATGGATACCATTTTTTTTTGTAATATAATTACAACACTTTTTTCAGTTGTCTGAAAATGTTAATTGGACTTGTTGTTTCTTTAGGCCCATTTATTTCCCGTTAATAAACAGGCCGCTATTTCCAAAAGCCCATAGAAAATAAATCTCCTTTCTCCTTCCTCCTCCTCTGTCCCGTTCGACTTTCAGGATTCAGTATTGTGAAAATCGCGATCATCCGCATGGAAAACCCTCAATTCTGATCTCCGATTTCGCTCTGCCAGACTATTTCGACCACGCCTCGTTTCAGCTTCCGATCATAACTTCAACTCTAGCAGTATCCGATTCGCTCTCATTTTCCTCAATGTCGTCGACTTCAAATTCGCTCATGGACAGCTTGTTCCAGCGCAGCCTCGAGGATCTGATCAAAGGTCTACGTCTCCAGATACTCGGAGAATCCACTTTCATTTCTAAGTCCCTAGACGAAATCCGCCGCGAGATTAAACAGACGGATCTCTCCACCAAATCCATCGCCCTCCAGAAACTGTCATACCTCGCCGCACTCCACGGCGTCGATATGTCCTGGGCGGCTTTCCACGCCGTGGAAGTCGTTTCCTCATCTCGATTCGCGCATAAGAGGATCGGTTACCACGCCATTGCTCAGTCGTTCAACGATCAGACGCCGGTTCTGCTTCTGATCACGAACCAGCTCCGAAAGGATTTGAACAGTTCCAACGAGTACGAGGTGAGTCTCGCTCTTGAATGTTTGTCTAGGATTGGAACTGATGATCTAGCTAGGGATTTAACCCCCGAGGTTTTTACGCTCTTGGGTAGTGGCAAGGCTTTCGTTAGGAAAAAAGCTATCGGTGTGGTTCTGAGAGTTTTCGATAAGTACCCTGATGCTGTTAAGGTATGTTTCAAGCGTCTTGTCGAGAATCTCGAGAGCTCTGATCCGCAGCTTCTCTCAGCTGTAGTCGGAGTCTTCTGTGAACTCACCACAAAAGATCCACGATCTTATCTTCCCTTAGCTCCCGAGTTTTACAAGATTCTGGTAGATTCGAGGAACAATTGGGTTTTGATCAAGGTTCTTAAGATATTTTCTAAGTTGGCTTCGATTGAGCCTAGGTTGGCTAAGAAGGTGGCTGATCCGATCTGTGAACATATGAGGAGGACTGTGGGAAAGTCTTTGGTGTTTGAGTGTGTTAGAACCGTAGTTAGTAGCTTGAGCGATCAGGAAACAGCTTTGAAACTTGCGGTGGCAAAGATTAGGGAGTTTCTTGTGGAAGATGACCCGAATCTCAAGTATCTTGGTCTTCATGCCTTGTCGATTGTTGCTCCAAAGCATTTGTGGGCAGTTTTGGAGAACAAAGAAGCTGTTGTCAAGGCTCTGAGCGATGAGGATCCAAATGTTAAACTCGAGGCTTTGCATCTTCTAATGGCAATGGTGAATGAAGATAATGTGTCTGAGATCTCCCGGATTCTTATGAATTATGCGCTCAAGTCTGACCCTTTGTTCTGCAACGAGATTATTGGTTCCATTCTACTGGCATGCTCCAGGAACTCATATGAGATCATAGTAGATTTTGATTGGTACTTGTCTCTTCTTGGTGAAATGGCCAGAATCCCACATTGTCAAAAAGGGAAAGAGATTGAGCATCAGTTGATTGATATTGGTACGAGGGTCAAAGATGCTAGACTGGAGCTAGTTCGTGTTTCTCGAGCTCTGCTTATTGATCCTGCATTGCTTGGTAATCAGTTCTTGCACCCGATATTGTCCGCAGCTGCTTGGGCTTTAGGAGAATATGTCGAGTTCTCTAAGACCCCTTATGAGATTGCAGAGGCGCTTCTACAACCACGTACTTGTCTCTTACCACCTTCCATTAGAGCAATCTACATACATTCCGCTTTCAAAGTTCTTGTCTTCAGTCTCGGGGCATACTTCTCAGCCAAAGAGCCCACTTCCTCGCCCTTGGTTCCTGAGTCTACTACCTCTGGCTTTTCATCGGTGAATGGTTTCACATACAAATCTATCTCGAGTCTGTTGAATATGATTGAGCTGGGATTGTGCTCATTATCCGGAACCCTTGACGTGGAAGTGCAGGAGAGAGCTAAGAACGTTCTAGGATTCATTGGTATGATAAAGCATGAAATAGCTGAGAAAGTAACCTCCCAAGACAGTGAAACAGAAGCTTCTAGAGCCATAGCATTCATGGAAGATATTTTCTCAGAAGAGCTTGGTCCTGTTTCTTCAACTGCACAGGAAAAAATTCCTTTACCAGAGGGGTTAGAGCTCAAAGAGAATCTTGAAGATCTGCAAGAGATTTGCAGAGAAGTTCTGGAACCAATTGACGACTCAAAGTCAACTTCTTTCTCTCCCTCAGACAAAATTAGCTTCTCTATTGCTAAACTCAGAATCAGAGATCAACAAGAAGCCTCATCTTCTTCATCTCCTGAGCCTAAATCTGCATACTTACTCGCAGAACACAGAAAACGCCATGGCCTGTACTATCTCTCCTCCCAGAAGAGCGACGACCACAATGATAGCAATGGCAACAACAACAACAACAACACGCTAAACGAATACCCACCAGCGAATGAGATATCGGTGGACTCATTTAACCCCAAGAAGAAGATGAACCAATCAAAACCGAGACCTGTAGTGGTGAAACTGGACGAGGGAGATGAATCAAAGACGAAGCCAGACGCTAGTAGTAACGATGAACCTTTGTCACGTGCGATCCAGACCGCTCTAATGGGGAAAGGAAAAGAGAAGGAAAGAGAAAAAGATAACCACGAGAGAGATCTTGATTCAGGGGTCAATGAACAGAGCTTGAGAAGAGATAAAAAGAAGAAGAAAAACGGGGAGAAACGTAGTAAACATAGATCAAGACGACGAAGAGATGAAGAAGTAAGTGCAACGAAACCAGTCGAAATACCAGATTTTCTCTTATGAATACTAAGTTTGGAGTTTGCGTTTCTGGCCAAATTAACTGGATGGTGTGTTTCTTGTTCAGTGATTTTCATGTACCCATAATTGATTCTTTTGTGTTTATGAAATATATATATTCTTTCTTACATTATATCGTCTCAATTATTACACCATCATATACTTGTGTAACACTTGTACATCAACAACATATTGATCATAAACCAGAATAAGAAAGCAACAAAAAACTGAAATAAGATGCATACAAGCATCATCACACATTGTTATTCTCAGGGGTACCACTATCTTAAACCCCTACTTAATGATCGTGATTAACATCCTTAAACACAACACACACCAAATTAAAAGTAGGATTCAAACATAAATAGCAAACGGTTTCTGTTTTTTCAACACCTTGGGATGGGGAGCTTGCAGCGGTTAGAGACTTTACGAGCGTTGGAAGAGCTGACGAAGCGACGGAGGCTAGGGTTTCTCATGTACCCACACAGGCATGGCTTCTGCTCCTTGAGCTTCGCGCAGCACAACGCTGATGGTGGAGAAGACGACGTTATCGCCGACGCACATGGGCTTAGCTGCATTGGCGAGCACGTCACCGCTTCTCCCGCCGGGACTAGGATCACTAGGAGAACCGCCGTGAGGGCGAAAACTGAAACCCATGTGGCCTTGATGATCATCGCCATTTTTCTTCTTCTTCTTCTTCTTCTTCTTCTTTTGTTTGTTTGAGAGTTTATAGAAGTGTGTTTTGGTGTGTGGTTTTTGATATATGTATCTCTTTCTATTTATAGAGAGGGAAACTGAACAGTTTTTTCTAATTTCATTCTTCTTTTTCAAGAAATATGGATTGAAAAATATTTTTCAAAATCTTAATCTATTAGTGCACTTTATTGCTTATAGTGCGGCCTCTTATCATTTCAGTTTAGCATTGGAATAATATAATTTACAATCTAATAGTTTCTACAGTGAAGTGGTTAATATAACAAACTTAATATTATCATGTATCATGTATGAGCACGAAAACATCATGTATTCCTACCATATATATCATCAGAAAATCGTAGGAAACATACTTTTCCTACCAATTTCCTACGAAATATTTGTATAGGTTTTAGGCCGTCGGAAATAATAAATGGTAAAAAAATGGTAAGAAATTTTCCTACGGAGATTTTGATAGGAAATTTTCGTAGGAAAATTTAGTCAGAATATCGTAGGATGACTGCTACTAATTTCCTTCCATTTTCTTACGAAACACGTGACTTCTTACCGTTTTCCTACGAATGTTTTCCTATCATATTCCTACTATTTACCTACGAACTATATAAAGATATTTTTAATTAAAATTTTCCAAAATTAAATAATTTTAATTATTAAATAAATTTCAAAAAAAATAAATCCGAAATTAATAAATTTTTAATTAGTAATCAATTAGAAATTAATTTTAACTAAATATAGAGGTTTTTGTACCCCAAATTTTGTTAAAGTATTAATTCATATAGCATCCTATTTATAGAACAAGAGGAGTATGAACTTTTCTCTACTTGATTGATGTGGGACTTTTGTTGCTTTTTTTTTTTTGCTGATTTTGATAGGAAATCTGTAGGATATTAAACAATAAAATATTTGTTTCGTAGGAAAGTGATAGGTAGTTTCCTTCATATTCTGTTGGTAGAAAAGTGGTCAGAAAATTTTGACGAATTTTCTACCATTATAACAGTAAAAAATTTCAACCGATTTCCTACCATTTTCTGATCACATTTCCTACGAATATTATTTTGGTTGAATATTGGTAAGAAATTTTTAACTATTTTCTGACAATTTTTATCATAGGAAATTTCTTACCAATTTTCTACCTTTTTCATTTTTTGTCATAAATTCGTAGGAAAATGGTAAAAAACATTTCCTACCAAAATTTTCATAGGAAAATTCGTAGGAATTCAGCATGTTTTCTTGTAGTGGAGGTTTTCTACAAAATGCTTCTTAAAAAAAATTATGGATATTAATTACATAAGATTCTAATGTATGGCAAATAGAACCGTGCGATGAGTTTATATGTATAGCTAGTTAAGCCGGCAATTAGATTTGTTAATAGTTTTCATAAAATTGTTGATATCATGTCGCCCAAATTTGCGCCGGTTTGCATAAAAGAGCATGGGAATAAACAACATTGTTGGTTTGTTGTGGACATTAAGAACTCCCGTTACTCATTTGACTATCACGATTAATGGCGAAAAATATGGAGAAAGTAGCGTTACTAGTATATTTTTTCCTGTGATTTTAGTCTTTATACTATACATTGTACTGGTGCTTTGTCAACTATCCCTCTCTTTATATTTTTGAATGGGAAGTAGCACTACAAATTTGAAAAAAATCCATTTTTAATAACAAAAAAATATGCAAGTGTGTAGTTATAAATAATTACACACTTGATATGCATATAAGTGTATATATCTCTTGAGTACTCTATCCAAAGATAGAGTAAGTGCCCGGAATGAGGCAGTTGCCTCTTTTTCTATACCTTAAAGCACGGGACGGCACTGACTATATTTTTATATGTCGACCAACAAAACAAACTGTATGATAAGACAAAGAAATCTAAATTTTCTTTCTATCAAAACACAGGAAATACGATATAGCATTATAACTTATGACATGGGTTAACTTAAAAGATATATATACGGAGTATTAAAAAAAAAACAAACGTGGGGTCGAAGTGTGAAGACTTAGGAAGCGAAAGAGGACTTTCGGTGATGGTACGTACTTGTGTCGTCCCAATATTTGTTGCCGTCTCCTTTAACGTCATTATTACTCTTGTTTCTCTCACACACATACACATTGTGATGATACTATATGATGGAAAAATGCACACGTAAAATATATAAACATAATTAGTTCAATATGTTAACATTTAACAACAACAAAATCAATTAATTTTATATTCCAAATGATGATTTTGAGAAGAAGCGTGCGTTTGGGGATACGTGTGAATAATCATTGCCACAATCACTCATTGAACATTCTTCTTTCTGCAGTTATTTTTGTTTTTTTTTTTAGCACAATTGTAGTAAATTAATGAACATACTATATTCTGATCATCAGTGTAGCATTTTAATGAGAAGATTAGTTGTTGTATTTTCTTGGGTAACTAGAGTTTCCTAAGATTGAAAATTCAAAACATTGACAAGGTCTACGCACCTAGAAGATGAATAAGCTTAACGTGTACGTACATTATTGGAATTACTAACGTAGCATGAAAAAATAGCAAAATCCTTAGAAAACAACAATTTAGTCATAAATATGAAATGGAGTTATTAAACGGTTGATCGGGTTTGTTTGGAACCATACTAAACAAATTACGATAAAAACGAAAAATGATGTATATATGCAAGTAAAAGAATATATATCTTAATCCAAAAACACTTGTGGCAAACATACAAATTTCACTAAAAAATATGTTCAGACATTAGTTGTTGAAGTTGTAGGTCATTCAAACATGTGTCTACGACCTTGGAATTTGATGTCACTATTTTTATTTTTTTTTATATTTATTTAAAAACTAGAAAATGGAGGCAGAATCTATTTACTATATCAAAACTTATAAGAGAAGAACAAGGCTAAAAAGATAAGTATAGTATTGAAAAGAGTAAATGAAATAATGAAAAGTGGGTCCAAAGCATCGATCGTGATAGAAACTTTAAGGTTCTCACGCCTAGTGACTAGTGGTGTCACAATTTGCGTTGTTATTATTGCTCCCCTTATAACTAGGTGAATCAATTTAATAGTCCAATTATCTTAATGCATGTTCGAGATTAAAGAAGAAAAATATTTTACAGTAATTTATTTTTTTTTTTTACCAAAAAGAATAATTTATTCTCTTTTATGATATCTTGGTTAATTTTAGAAAAATAATTTATCAAACAAAATTAGCTACCCAATACAATTTTAAACAAATATATGTAGATTTATCTGTTGCTAAGGCAATTATGTAATTGGACCTTTACCAGAAATATACATCTATTGAGATTTTCACGCCTCACCAGTCACCACCACCACACCTACCAAATTTTTTCTTTTTTCAAGGAAAGCAATTCTATTGAATTCACTCTTTCATTTCAATTGCAATGTACTGTTTTCGTATTTTCTAATAACACAATAATGAGTTTGGCAAGTGACTACAATAAACTGTTGACCAAAAAAGAGAGACTTCAATATAAAAAAAAATGGAAATGGTCGACAAAAAATAAACTCTGGAAATGAAATCACCGAATAGTTAAAGTACCATTCCAATCTCATGGTTATCCCAGAACATTACCCACTACTGATTTTTCGGATGACTGAATTTGGCACCTTTTGTATTTTTGTGTGTTTCAGACAAAAATTAATCAGATCACTGTGTTGAAGTCCTACATTTATTTGCTATGGAACAGAAGTTACAACGCTTGTAGGCTATATTTTATATATTTTTTTTTGGGTTCCAACAAGGCTTGTAGGTTAGATTCCCTAAAACAAACTGAAAATTCAGGACCAAGGTCTATGCCTCTTCAAACCAAAAAACCAACATCAAACTTGAGATTGGCTTACTATGAACTAATAAAGAAAGAATCTAACTAGACTGAAGAAAACTCAGAAAGCAAGTCCATTCCACTCAAGACATCCTCCGTGACCGCCTTCATCTGTAAACTCGTAGACAGCACCCGATGCTGCCAACAAAACCACCAGCATTAGACTTTGAATCTCAATTGATGGTTAGCGTTTCACAAGACGAACTCGTTTGTGTTAATTTTTGAACAATGGCGTAAACAAATCGCGGAGAATATGGGGCTACAAGCCAGGCATACTTTTAACAGGGCAAGATACAAGATGGAGAAACCAGAGAGTATTACCTTTGTAGCCACCTTGAACGGGATCATCAGCCAGAAGAAGTGGTGTGTCCAAGTCAATGAATCTGTATGTCATGTCTTAACGTGTTAGAATTATATAATAGTGAACTTAGCAATGAAATGCGATGTTTACATATTAAGTACCTGAAACACCCAATGCCGGCAGCAAGGTGACCGGAGAACCCCATTGCTAATCTAGTCTCCACCATTCCCCCTATCATAAGCTCAATTCCAGATGATCTAGCCAATTCAATTACCTCAAGGGCCTCGAGGATACCGGTTTTGGCGAGTTTAATGTTAACAACATCTACGACATCACCTTTTATGATTTTCTTGAGATCAGTCAAGTCTCTACAACTCTCGTCTGCTGCAACAGAGACTCTGAATCTGTTCTTTGCAATTCGAGTCACGTCACGGAGACCTTCCCAATTGTCTCTGTGGACGGGTTGTTCAAAGAGAACCGGTGTAACCTTCATTTCTGGGACAAACAGTCACAACACTTCAGGTTTTTGACCGAGGAAAGAAAGCTCGGCTAAAAATCTTAGCAGGTTGAGGATTTTCCAAAAGCTCATGCCTTGAAAACTTCTCGCGTTCAAGTAACAAGTGAGAAGTCTCAAAAAATGATTCAAAGATCTTTTTTTTTACCATGAAGCTTTTCGAGAACTTCAATAGCTTCCTCTGTTTTGTAACCCTCGTTTGCATCCAAAATGAAGGAACATGCAGGGTGGACTGCACGTATAGCCTGGAGAACTTCTATGTCGGCCTTAAGGTTCTTCCCTACCTTAAGCTTCAAGGTTTCAAACCCTTCTTTTCTGTACTTCAACGCCAAACTCGAAGCTTCGGCGGGAGAAACTATCGGAATCTGAACATAGACCATCACAAAAAATCTTTTAGATCCACATCTATGAAAATTACACAAACCGTCAATACTTAAATACTCTATGCAGAATTTTCCGGCCATTAACAGTCTAAAAACCAATCAAAGTTCCATCATCAAACACTAGGAATGCAGTTGAACACATATCACCTAATCTATGCTCATAGTTCTTTTACATTGCGAACTTGTACCCGGAAAAACCAAGTGGAATATGTACCCGGAAGAGCTAAGGTAAGAACCGAACTGTTATGTCGGTGGTAATCGTACTTGAAGCCCCACCAAATAGTTTCCACAATGGCATTCCTACTCTCTTAGCTGCTGCATCGATCATTGCCATCTCCATCCCTGCTCTTACCTTCATCCATTTCAACATTTCCTTTATTGTGAGACTAAGATTTGTTTTCTTCCCAACGAGGTTTCCAAATAAAACAGAGAAAAAAAACTAAAACCCATCTCACAAGATTTACACTTGTCTCTAGTGTAAACCACAGCCAAAGCAAACCCGATATGCCCAAAATGGAATTTCAAATTGAAGCTCAAAATCAAGTTTTTAGCATGCCATGCAAAGACCAGAATATAAGTAGAAACGTTAGACTTACAGAGGCAAATCGATGGCCAGGGAGAAATCCACCAATCTCCTGAAGAACATTACCAAGTTTCATCTCCGGTAACTCGTTTAGAAACTCACAGGCTTCCCGCGCTTTAACCATGGCCATAAGCTGATCCTCCGCCGTCACTGACGGCAAGATCGGAGCCTCTCCCCAGCCGACACATCCGCCACTAAGCTCAACCCGAATCGCGACATTACCGACTGAATCGAGCCGCGACGAAGCGATAGTGAAGGGCGAGAGCAGAGGCACGTTCAGCTCACGGTTCTCTGCTCTCTGCACCCTCACCGTCAAATTCTCCGTCAGAGTTTTGAATCCAGACGCCGCCGACATAACATGGACCAGCGATCTCGGCGAGTTCTGGAAATTGAAGCTTGAATTGACGATTGGAGAAGAAGATACGATCGAAAACATCTTTGCTTTAGAGCAATTTAGAGTATTTAACATTCTCGCCCATATAAAGTTTGTCTTCAGTAGGGGTGATTGAATTAGTAACACCGAATCGAATTAAACGGAACCAAGCAATACGGTTTGGTCTGGTTATATCATATTAACAAGTTTTTTAATTTTTTAGCAGAGAATTGGGAAGTTAGTTTGTAGGCTTTCTAATGGGCTCAAATTGACCTCATGGGCTTAGCATATCTCTTACAAACTCAGTTGTTTTTACCGACAATTTAAAAAATCGATTGGAAACTAACAATGGAATTTCTAATTACGTTTTCCAGTCCATTAATCATTTGACCAAATTGTTAGAGAGCGAGTTATATATAGAAGAAATTAGCTCATACATCCAGTAAGAAACATTTGATATTTATACAATTTGGTAGATTGTTTTGGTTTTGGTTCTGATTCCAGTTTTTTCGTCTGAATTGGTTTTAGGGTCTGAACTAACGTAAGAAACCAAATCCGAATCAAAGTCAAACTGAGGATACGTACGATTTAGAGTTTAACATTGTTTCTCATTTACAGTAAGTTGATTAAGAAACGCTTAAAAAGAAGAGACATCTACTTGCCACAAAAAAAACTAAACGAAATCCTCTCCGCCCAAAAAACGACACAACAACCATAGATGACGAAAACGCCATGATGTGTTCGATTCAGAACAATATCAGATATGAAAGATACCCCAAAAAATATAAGGGAAGCAAGTTTATTTCTCAGATGAGAAATGTGGAAGTTCATGTTGAGGCAACAAAGATTAGAATTTGACCTGGACTTTGCATTTGGAAGAAGCTCTGGGAAGCATTAGGAGATCTGACATGATCTGGAGCTTTCTATCTGTTCTTGCTTGAACATGAAGTTCCAACAGCTCAAGATACGGCAAATTCTCCAAGATAAGCTTTATGTGCAACATACAATCGGTATCTCCTTCGAACTCTGTTATCTTTAGGGTCTCAATAGGGCATAACTTGAGAAAAGAATACCCTGACAAGCAATCGCAAACAGGTTCTTGAGGAACAAAGTGCAAGCAACCCTGAAAACAAAAATTAGACGAGAATTTTGAGTTTGAAGATTATATGAGTTTTCAAAACTCGTTTTTGTTTGTCCAATGAACTTTTGAGGGTCATACCTCAATGGTGAGTGTCTTAAGATTTGGAGATTTCTCAAGCACATTCGTCAGAGGAAACCAGCAGTAATCGGGCTCAGTACTAACTTCAAAATGAAGCAGGTTTTCAAACAATGGGATTGCTTCGCTGGAGCAGGAGGAATCAAACATCTGGAACAGAATAAACAACAACTAGTCAGTCATAGCTTCAACAAAACATTCTGATGTGTAGCAAGATTTTGATTTTAATATATCTCAATGGAAGAGCAAGAAGAAATCAGCAGAGTTGGCTTACCAGCATCGTGTCGACATTGACACACCTCAGAATCTGGACATTTTGTAACCCCTGAATCAGATTTTTAAGATCATAACCCCCACCATCGAAAAAAAGAAAAACGTCGAACGTAGCTTCAACAAGGGAGTTGAAATTAACAACTGGATACCCATCTCGAAGAACATCGTAGTTTTCCAAGTATTCAAGACTCGGAGTATCAAAACTAATAGCCTCAGAATTAACTTCGTTATGATCACCAGCCAATACCTCACGCGATATAGTAAGTCTCTTAAGGGTCTGGCTAGACACAGTGCGAGACCAATTCCAATGATCACTGACACGGCCATTGATGACTAACTCCTCAAGCACAGAGCAAGCAGAAAGAAGCCTTTGGAACACACAACCACCATCAAGACTATCGAACCGGACTGAATCAAGAATGAGAGTCTTAAGAGCTGGAAGCGAAGCATTCAGAGGGATGGTGTCAATAACAAAACCAGACCCTAGTTCCAGTGTCACAACGCTCTTGCAAGTGAAGACCTCAAAAGGCAGTGGATAGTCTTCTTTAGCATTAATGTCCAACTCTAGATCCAAGACACCGCGCTTCAAAACATTGCGTAGACAATCATTGACAGGATTATAATAAGGACGATTACCCTCATCTGGCAATTTCAGAGAGAATCTTCTTAGACGGTGATTGGCGTGTAGAGACAATAATTCCTTAACGAAATCATTTAAACTTCCGCTAATCTTGGACTTGAGTACAAAAAATTCCCGATTCGGTATGATGCTAATCAGATTCCGCCATTTCTTTGCGGCTATCTGTGCGTGCGCAGCTTGCTTTGCCGTAAGGAAGGACGAGATGTGGCGAATAACGTCGTCTGGTAGATCGATGATTCTAGTTTTCTTCATACCTTTCGAAAACCCTAAAACAACTCTTCTCAGTACCCAGAAAATCTCTATTTCTAATGGAACCTTCAACGACTTGACTCCAACATCCAACCCACCACAATTCGCGAAGTAGATAACCAATGATCAATTTATAGATGCAGAAGAACTTACTTCACAATTCCGACTACATGAAGGTGATCAAGCACCAATCATCGCAAACGTGTGTAGACGACGACAAAATACCGATCGATTCTTCACTCGCACCTTGAAAACTGAAACGAACTGTGCAGAAACAAAGAAAAAATGAAGCGAAGAAGACGACAATGACCGATCGATTTTTCACCCGAAGAGAAATTCCATCTTCCAAAGCGAAAAATCGAGGATGAATCAGAGAAGAATCGTAGCACTGTTCTTGAGAGAACATAGAAAGAGAAAGAGAAAATAAAACGACTAGGAGAAAATTTTAACCAACATAAATGCTTTCTCGTTTTCGTGTATAAAATTTCTAATCCAATGATTTTGCGCCAGCTGTAGTCATCCACTCTCGACTATAACTGAATCCAGTTTCTCGTTTGTTAAAGCATCATCACGCGCTTTGACCCACCTTGCAGTCACGCGCTTGAGTCGTAAGCTTGGGCTTGGCCAGGCCCATTTTCTCTTTTTCTTCATCCTGATTTTAGAAAATTATTACATCATTTTGCCTTATTTCTTGTCGTGTTAAGGCATCATAAATTATTTTCCATTTAGGATATCTTAGCTAAATAGAAAAGTAATTTAACAAACAAAATTAGCTAACCATTACAATTTTAGATAGACATTTGTAGACCGTTTGACAAAAAAAAAAAGAATAAGTTGACAGCAAAAAAAATTCTAGACCAACGCAATTATGTAGTTAGACTTTTACCAGAAATTTACATATATTTGAGATTTTCACGCCTCACCAGTCACCACCACCACACCTACCAAATATATATATATATTTTTTTTCAAGAAAAGCAATTCATTTTGAATCTACTATTTTTCGATTATTTTTTACACAATAATGACTTTGGCAAGTGACAACAGCAAATTATTGACCAAACAAGAAAGAAATATACTCCGAGAAGGAAATCACCCAATAGTTAGACAACCATTTCAAAGTCACGGTAATTCCCACAACAATACCCACCACTGAATTTTCTGATGAGTAATTTTGTCATCAAATCGAAATGGTAATTAAGAGAGAGAGAGATCCAAACAAGAAACACTTATTATTGTGACCTATAAGCTAGTATTATTTTTCACTACGAATTTGACATCTTTTGTTTGTTTGTGTGTGTGTGTGTTTCAGACACAAATCAATCAGATCATTGTGATGAACTCCTATATCTATTTGGTACTCCATCGAATAAAAGTTACAAAGCTTATAGGCTAGCTACATTCACTAACGTAAACTGAAAATTCAGGACCCTTCGAGCTTGTAGGTCTAATGCATCTTGAAACCCAAAAAACAACATCAACCTTAATTGGCTTACTATGAACTAATATAGAAAGGACCTAACTAGACTGAAGGAAACTCACAAAGCAAGTTCATCCCACCCAAGACATCCTCCGTGACCGCCTTCATCTGTAAACTCGTAGACAGCACCTGATACTGCCAACAAAACCACCACCATTAGACTACAAATCTCAATTGCTGGTTAGCATTTCACAAGAAGAATTCATTTGTGTTAATGATTGAACAACGACGCAGACAAATCGCGAAGAAGATGGTGCTAACAAGACATGCATACTTTTAACAGGGCAAGATACATCAGAAGAGTATTACCTTTGTAGCCACCCTGAACGGGATCATCAGCGAGAAGAAGTGGTGTGTCCAAGTCGATGAATCTGTATATCAGGTCTTAACGTGTTAGAATTATAATAGTCAAATTAGCAATAAAATACGATGTTTACATATTAAATACCTGAAACACCCAATGCCGGCGACAAGGTGACCGGAGAACCCCATTGCTAGTCTAGTCTCCACCATTCCCCCTATCATAAGCTCAAGTCCAGATGATCTAGCCAATTCAATTACCTCAAGGGCCTCGAGGACACCAGTTTTGGCGAGTTTGATGTTGACAACATCTACGATGTCACCTTTTATGATTTTCTTGAGATCAGTCAAGTCTCTACAACTCTCGTCTGCTGCAACAGAGACTCCGAATCTGTTCTTTGCAATTCGAGTCACGTCACTGAGACCTTCCCAATTGTCTCTGTGGACGGGTTGCTCAAAGAGAACCGGAGTAACCTTCATTTCTGGGACAAACAGTCACAACACTTCAGGTTTTGACCGAGTCAATAAAGCTCGGCTAAAAATCTTAGCAGGTTGAGGATTTTCCAAAAGCTAATGCCTTGAAAACTTCTCGCGTTCAAGAACTAAGCGAGAAGTCACAAAAAGTGATTCAAAGATCTTTTTTTCTTTTACCATGAAGCTTTTCGAGAACTTCAATAGCTTCATCTGTTTTGTAACCCTCATTTGCATCCAAAATTAAGGAACATGCAGGGTGGACTGCACGTATAGCCTGGAGAACTTCTATGTCGGCCTTAAGGTTCTTCCCTACCTTAAGCTTCAAGGTTTCAAACCCTTCTTTTCTGTACTTCAACGCCAAACTCGAAGCTTCGGCGGGAGAAACTATCGGAATCTGAACATAGACCACCACAAAAAAACTTTTAGATCCACATCTATGAAAATTACACAAACCTTCAATACTTGAGTAATCTATGCAGAATTTTCCGGCCATTAAGAGTCTACAAACTAATCAAAGTTCCATCATCAAACACTAGGAATGCAGTTGAACACATATCATTTAATCAATGCTCATAGTTCTTTTACATTGCGAACTTGTACCCGGAAGAGCTAAGGTAAGAACCGAACTGTTATGTCGGTGGTAATCGTACTTGAAGCCCCACCAAATAGTTTCCACAATGGCATTCCTACTCTCTTAGCTGCTGCATCGATCATTGCCATCTCCATCCCTGCTCTTACCTTCATCCATTTCAACATTTCCTTTATAGTGAGACTAAGATTTGTTTTCTTCCCAACGAGGTTTCCAAACTAAAACCCATTTCACAAGATTTACACTTGTCTCTAGTGTAAACCACAGCCAACGCAAACCCGATATGCCCAAAATGGAATTTCAAATTCAAGCTCAAAATCAAGTTTTTAGCATGCCCAATAATGATTCAATCGAATTGGATTTTGATGGGAAAAGCAAAGTTCTAGCCATGCAAAGACCAGCTACAAGTAGAAACGTTAGACTTACAGAGGCAAATTGATGGCCAGGGAGAAATCCACCAATCTCCTGAAGAACATTACCAAGTTTCATCTCCGGTAACTCCCTCAGAAACTCACAGGCTTCCCGCGCTTTAACCATGGCCATAAGCTGATCCTCCGCCGTCACTGACGGCAAGATCGGAGCCTCTCCCCAGCCGACACATCCGCCACTTAGCTCAACCCGAATCGCGACATTACCGACTGAATCGAGCCGCGACAAAGCGATAGTGAAGGGCGAGAGCAGAGGGACGTTCAGCTCACGGTTCTCTGCTCTCTGCACCCTCACCGTCAAATTTTCCGTCAGGGTTTTGAATCCAGACGCTGACGACATAACATGGACCGGCGATTTCGGCGAGTTCTGGAAATTGAAGCTTGAATTGACGATTAGAGAAGAAGATGCAATCGAAAACATATTTGCTTTAGAGCAATTTAGTATTTAACAGTCTCGCCATATAACGTTTGTCTTGAATTCTTGATTAAATTAGTAAGTAGTAACACTAACACCGAATCGAGTTAAACGGAACCAAACCGAAAAGGAGCAATAAGGTTTGGTTTGGTTATATCATATTAAAAAGTTTTTTTAATAATTAGCAGAGAATTGGAAAGTTATCAGGTAGGCTTTCTAATGGCCTCAATTGACCTGATGGGCTTAGCATATCTCTTACAAACTCAGTTGTTTTACCGACAATTTAAAACTCGAATGGAAACTTACAATGGAATTTCTAATTATCATTTGACCAAATTATTAGAGACCGAGTTATATATAGAAAAAATTAGCTCATACATCCAGTAAGAATCAGATGATGTTAATACAATTTTGTAGATTGTTTTGGTTTTGGTTATGATTCCAGTTTTTCCGTCTGAATTAGGTTTTTGGTCAGAAAATGTTTTTTTAAACGTAATAAACTAAAGAAGACATCAACGCAAATTGTTTCTCTAAGTTGATTAAGAGGCGCTTAAAAAGAAGACATCAAAACAAATTACTTGTCACAAAAAACTCAACTAAATCCTCTCCTGCCAAAAAACGACACACTAACCATATATGGATGTGTTCGATTCAGAACAATATCATCAGATACGAAAGATACCCCAAAAGGAAAAGGGGATGCAAGTTTGTTTCTCAGATCAGAAATGGAAGTTCATGTGGACGCAACAAGATTAGAATTTGAAGTGGAATTTTCATTTTGAAGAAGCTCTGGGAAGCATTAGGAGATCCGAAATGATCTGGAGCTTTCTATCTGTTCTTGCTTGAACATGAAGTTCCAACAGCTCAAGACACGGCAAATTCTCCAAGACAAGCTTTATGTGCACCATACCATCAACATCTCCTTCGAACTCTGTTATCTTTAAGGTCTCAATAGGGCATAACATGAGAAAAGAATACCCTGACAAGCAAGGGCAAACAGATCCTAATCCCGGATCTTCTTGATGAGTAAAGTGCAAACAGCCCTGAAAACAAAAATCAGACGGGAATTTTGAGTTTGAAGATTATATGAGTTTTGAAAACTCTTTTTGTTTGTCCAATGAACTTTTTTTGAGGTTTTCGGGTCATACCTCAATGGTGAGTGTCCTAAGTTTTGGAGATTTCTCAAGCACATTCCTCAGAGGAACCCAGCAGATATAGTCGTCAGTTCTAACTACTAAATGAAACAGGTGTTCAAACCATGGGATTGCTTCGCTGAAGGAATGAAACAGCTGGAACAGAAAAAACAGCAACTAGTCAGTCATAGCAAGATTTTGATTTTAGTATTATCTCAATGGAAGAGCAAGAAGAATTTATCAGCAGAGTTGGCTTACCATCATCGTGTGGACATGGACACACCTCAGAATCTGGACATTTCTTAACCCCTGAATCAGATTTGTAAGATCATAACCATCCCCTTGGAAAATAAGAGGAAGCTTGAGCCTAGCTTCAACAAGGGAGTTGAAATTAACAACTGGATACCCATCTCGAAGAACATCGTGGTATTCCAAGTATTCAAGACTCGGAGTATCAAAACTAATAGGCTCAGAATTAGTTTTGTCGTCATCATCGTACCATCCTATACGCCGAATAGTAAGTCTCTTAAGGTTCTGGCTAGACACAGTGCGAGACCAATTCCATTGATCACTGCTACGCCCATCGATGATTAACTCCTCAAGCACAAGGCAAGCAGAAAGAATCCTCTGGAACACACAACGACCATCAAGACTATCAAACCGGACTGAATCAAGAATGAGAGTCTTAAGAGCTGGAAGCGAAATATCCTGAGGGATGGCGTCAATAACAAAACCAGACCCTAGTTTCAGTGTCACAACGCTCTTGCAAGTGAAGACCTCCAAAGGCAGTGGATAGTTTTCTTTAGCATTAATGTCCAACTCAAGATCAAAGACACCGCGCTTCACAACATTGCGTAGACAATAATTGACAGGATTATAATAAGGACGATTACCCTCATCTGGCAATTTCAGAGAGAATCTTCTTAGACGGTGATTGGCGTGTAGAGACAATAATTCCTTAACGAAATCATTCAAACTTCCGCTAATCTTGGACTTGGGTACAAAAAATTCCCGATTCGGTATGATGCTAATCAGATTCCGCCATTTCTTTGCGGCTATCTGTGCGTGCGCAGCTTGCTTTGCCGTAAGGAAGGATAAGATATAGCTAATAATGTCGTCTGGTAGATCGGTGATTCTAGTTTTCTGCATACTTTTCGCAAACCCTAAAACAACTATTCTCACTACCCAGAAAATCTCGATTTCTATTGGAACCTTCAACGACTTGACTCCAACATCAACTCACCACAATTCGCGAAGTAGATAACCAATGATCATTTTATTGAAGCAGACGAACTTACTTCACAATCGTGAGACGTGAAGGCGATCAAGCACCAATCATCGCAAATCTGTGTAGACGACGACAAAATACCGATCGAGTCTTCACTCGCACTGTGAAAACTGAAGCGAAATGTACATAAACAAAGAAAAACTGAAGCGAAGAAGACGACAATGCCCGATCGATTCTTCACCCGAAAGCGAAATTACATCTTCCAAAGAGAAATCTAGGATGAATCAGAGAAGAATCGTTGCACTGTTCTTGAGAGAGCAGAGAGAGAAAGAGAGAATAAAACGAGTTGGAGAAAATTTTAATTTTCTTTTTCTTTCCAATTAGTTTCTCTGGTCTAACTAACAGAAATGCTTTCTCGTTGACGGAAAAAAAAAAAGAAATGCTTTCTCGTTTTCGTGTATAAAATTATAATCCAATGATTTTGCGCCAGCTGTAGTCATCCACTCTCGCCGATAAGAGCATCCTCAATGCAGAGACCTATATGAGTCTCCTATCTATTTTTTTAATAGTTTTTTAGCAAAAAGTGAAATTAAAAACTAGTTTTAGAAACTTCTTGTTTTGGACTGTGGAGAGACTTATATAAGTTTTTTTTTAAAAAAAAATTTTGGAAACAAACTTAATGAAAAATATCCAAGCAAAATATACTTAACTCGTGCTTGTACCAAGAATCGCAAGTTCACACATCAACAACGATGATTATTAAACTCACAAAAAACAAAAAAGAAAAACAATCTCTAAGTGAAGATAGCCATCAACTCAGCAACAAGCTTCTTGTTGATTCAAATTTTTCTTTGCCATAGACAGGTTGGTAATCGGAGATGAGCAAAGGCAACAGCAGCTTCTGAGGCATGCCTAATCCTCTCAAAACCAATATATTTCGAAATTTGTTCTACTGCTTATTGTTGTTACCCTCTGGCCAATAAAGACATGACTTTTCGATTTCAAACTCTGAGCTTCTATCAGCTTCAATATTATCTTTGAAGAAATCATAGTATAAGCTGAGAGTTTTATCCCCTTTCTTTCCTAAGATTTTCGGAACTTTGGAAATGATCTCAGCGAGAGCAGAGCTTGAAGCTCCTCTGGAATGAAGAAACCGAAGCTTGGGACCAAGAGAATCTGTGAAGCCATGAGCTCATTAACCTTGGTGAACACAGGCTTCCTCAAAGCAGGCGTTGCCTCAGCCATTATTAGAACAACAACCCTAGAGATTAGCCATTAAGAAAAAGACACACTTGGTCAGAGCAGCAATAAGAACAATTCACTTCACAAGCAACAACAACAATTTCAAATCTGATGATTAAACCATTCAAATTCAATCTCCGATATTAGCCAAAAGCATGAGATCAAACCAATTTCATTCCTCAAACCTGCCACAGCTATTAAAACGAGTGATAGAATTTGCAAAACAGCAACATTGACACAAAAGATGATAAACGATCGATGACCAAAGCTAATCACACACACAAAAAAATAATATTTTGATCAGACAAATCATGGGATCTCTGATCGAGCAGATAAAATTGAAGACAAAGGAAGATCCAATTGAGAAAAACCAGAGAATCGACCAAAGAACAAACCAGAGAATCGACCAGAAAAACAAAGAATCGAGCAGAGAGGGGTTTTAGGGTTCGTTGAACTTATCTGAAGGCTTTCTTGTCGCCGATTTCGGAGAGGACGAGATCAAGATGTCGCGATTCGTCGGAAACTCGATCGATCTCTCGTAATCGTCGGAGAGGAAAGGAAAATGGAAGAAAGATGTTCTCGGGGAAAATGAAATGGAAACCCCAATTTTTGTTTTTCCTCCAATTACGTGAACCAATGATCAAAGACCACGTGTCCCGAGAAACGTTTTCAGATGTCCCGAAATAAGAAACGTTTCGGGCCAAATAGAGACGCAGCCCAATTTTTTTAATATTTGGTTTCCACTAAAAACGCCTTCGGTCTCTGCATTGCTGATGCTCTAACTGAATCCAGTTTTTCGTTTGTTAAGAGCAGCTCCAGTGGTGTAACTGAGCTAGAGTCTCTTTAGAATTTTTTAATCATTTATTATATTATTTAATAATTTATTTGAGAAGATGATGTGTGGGAAGAGACTCAATATTTTTTGTTCTCTATTAGTGAACCTCTATTTGAGTCTCTTTAGAATTATAAATAAATTTTTTTTTTTACATAATTTCTAAAAAACGTTTTTTATTAAAATTGGAAAAATACATACTTAAACAAACAGATTATTATTACACAAACAAAAATTAAAAAACATACAAATTACAGAGATTTAAAACATAAACCGGTTATTCATTGTAACTGAATGTATGGCCAAATTTGTTCCATATATGTTCAATAAGATCCGCTTTCAATCGGTCATGTATTTGGTTGTCCCGAACTTCATTCCGAATGCCGATCATATTGGTCAGGTTTGTAGGCATATTTCTGGAATAAGACATATCCACATGTGAGGCGCTGCTTCCATGAACTTGTTGGAATTGTGATATATCACACACACTGTAGGAACCTCGTTCATCTTCTACAATCATATTGTGCAAGATGACGGCTGCTCTCATAATCTTTCCAATCTTTTCCTTATCCCAAATCAGAGGATGAACATAATCAAACAACCCAGCTTCAACTAACTAGCCTTAACCGATAAAACAGACACAAACAGAGACAAAGAGACACATTTCGATTCACTTAACTAGCCTAATTTGAACCAGATCAAACTTGAAAAAAAAAATCCCAAATCACCAAACTCTAATTTACGAAATCGATTCACCGAAATAGCCTTAAATCGGCTTCAATGACTGTTTCGAACTACCGCACACAGATATTATCTATGAATCGACACATAACTACATCATTTCAACTTTGCAAAAATTTCTCCCAAATTTCGACAAACCCTAATTTACCCTAATCGAATTTCAAACCGTCAATCAGAGGAGTAATCGGATTGTTACCTGGAAAGAGAGATAAACTGGATATCCGCCGAGTTTTACACCATCGGAGCCTGTTTGAACCTCCGATTTGACCTCCGAGAAGCGAAATCGCCGTTGCGATCGAAAGAAAGTAGAGAACTCTTTTTTTTTTGCCCGATAAAAGAGAAATAATTTTCTCTCCACATAAAAAATTCATCCGCCAAAAAATTAAACAGCCAATACCCTTCGTCCACGTCACCAACAAGACCGTCTCGTCTGCCTCGTCGCCAAGGATCGATCCGTCGATAATTTTGGGCTTTTCAATTTTTTTTTTATCCATTTTCCCTAGATTTCTGGGCCAAATATGCTTAACAAGTCTCTGATGGAGCTGGTCTAAAACATCATCACACGCTTTTTGACCCACCTTGCAGTCACGCGCTTGAGTTGTAGACTTGGGCTTGCCAAAATAGGCCCATTTTCTCTTTTTCTTTCATCCTGATTTTAGAAAATTACATCATTTTGCCTTATTTCTTGTAGTTTTATGATACGCTTAAATATATACAAAAAAAAAATAGCAATTATAAAGTAACTCGTAAGGGGTTTGAATTGTTTATATGAAGAAATGAAGATGAAGAAATTAATGGGAGAAGGAATAAGGGCAAAACCATTCCCATTCTTTGCTTCTTGAGGATGTGTTGTTACCTTTATTTCCAAGCCTAGAACCTCTCTAGTATATCATCTACCTCTTCTTATTATATTTCTTGCACTCCTTGTTCTCTCCATATCCATCACAATAATTTTACATAATCACCACGTTCATTTTCATTTGTAAGCATTCAGTTTCATCAAGATCATGCCAATCTTTGGGGGATCTTCCGATTCCGAGGACGAAAGAACGATCCATCACACACCCAAGCTCTTCACTCGCCAACAATCAATTCATTCTCTATTTGGAGGAGGCAAATGTATCTAACTTCTCACATTCTTATACTTAAAATTGTAGCATTTTGGGAATTTTTCCAAACTTGTGATGTTTGTAAGTTAAAAAAATAAACGTTTTGTGGTATTTTATAGTTTTTTCTTGTTTCTTATATATTAGAAGAATTAATCATTCGTGTTTTATACAAATGATATTGCAGTCAAATTAACACGAAATTTAAATTTTTTTATTGGTGATTACAGTTGCGGATATCTTGTTATGGAGAGAACCGAAAATAGCTTCAACATTGGTGATAGGAGTTAGTCTCCTATGGTTCTTAATGGAAGTAGTGGAATACAATTTCATTACCCTGGTTTGTCATGCTTCCATGACCTCCATGCTTCTTTTCTTCATTTGGTCTACTGCTTCTGATTTTCTCAATTGGTATGTCTATATCTTTGATTAATTTTTTATTTTTTCGGTTTCTTGGTTCGATCATAAAAATCTATAGTTTCAGAGATTTCCTAATAAATAATACATGCAGGGAAAGGCCAATCATACCAGAAGTGGTACTAGACGAATCTTCTTTCAAGCACTTAGCAAGAAGCTTCCATGCTAGATTCAACCAAATCCTCTCCAAGCTTCTTGACATTGCTTGTGGAAGAGATCCTCCACTCTTTTTTCTCGTAAGATATAAAAATTAATCATTGCAACTTATATATAGTTTTGATAGTTACTATTATTTTCCTAACATTGGATACAATTTTTTCAGACAACTATCTCACTATATATCCTATCCATCATCGGGACATGTTTCAACTTTGTGAATCTTCTGTTCATAGGTAAGAACTAAGAACTACAGTAGTTATTCAAATACGTAGATATGACTATTAATTAATAAATAGAGGATTAATTGATGGACGTCGTGCTGTTTAGGGTTTGTAAGCTTGCTAACCTTACCGGTTATGTATGAGCTGTACGAGGATGACGTGGATACAGTGGCGGGTAAGTTGATGAGGAAGATGAGGAAGCTATACAGGAAAGTCGACTCCAATGTTCTTAGCAAGATCCCAAGAGGAACTGTCAAAAGCAAGAAACATACTTAATCCTTCATTGTTTACATATTCATGCATAATCAGAATTCATATGTATATATAGAGATAATGATTTATATATCTCCCACAACAAGTTTAGTCCCTCGTTCAAATAAATACAAGTCTTTTGGTTCTTGTGTATTTTCTTACAAAATGAATTTTAGATCTGATCATCACATGACGTGAATTAACAACCCTTGGGAGGAAATTAGATAACCCACTTGATTATTCAAGATATCATCTATGGTATAATATTAATTAGTTGAGTTGTGATAACTAACTAATTATGGTCTTGTTTCAACCTTCCACGCTTTAAGAACTTCCTGTTCAGCAGTAAACTAATTTTCACCTCTAGTGTTACCATTTCAATATTCACAGTCGCTGAATGATTCCTGGTCAAAGCTTAGTCGATCCAAAGAAATTGTTATATCGAATTTAGATATATACATATACATTGCGAGTTAACTTTCTTTAGTGGTAGAAGAAGAAGATGCCAAATGAAAAAAGGGGGAAGCATTAGTCTTTCGTCGAAAATTCTTTAATTTGAATTTTGCTTTCGTATAGTCAAATTTGCAGATATAACAAAAAAGGAGTTCACATGAAACACAAAAAAGAGAGTTATAGCTTTCAATGCGTAACCCGTCATTTGTTCTTTCTCTTCTATTGTATATATCTTGTTTAATGAACTCCCTAAAATTACCAGTGATAAATTAAACACTATAAAAAAAACTTTGTTATTGACATATTTTTGGATTAACTAGTTTAATGAACGACAAATCAAATTAATAACCTCTCGAAAACAAACATTCTAAGAAACTACGAGCACATCAAGCTAATCCATACTCCCTTTGTTTTACAAAAAGTGTCGTTCTGACACTTTTTTTTGTTTTAAAAAGAATGTCGTTTTAGAATTCCAATATAAATTTTGATATAAAATACTATTTTTAACCTCAAAAATAAATTCAGAAAACTAATTATAAATATAATTCTAAGAGTCATTTTCTGCAAATTAATAAGGGTATAAGAGACCTTTTTATCTTATTTCTTAATTTGTGTGAAAAATATCAGAACGACACTCTTTGTGAAACAGAAGGAGTATATTTTATTACGGTACTTCTGTACTTGACTATTCTCATCACAATTTAGTATGTTCAACTCAAAGCCCTTTTCTTCAACTAAATTTCCTCGAAAAAGCTTAACTAGAAGTATATTTGTAAGTTATCTAATATTGAGCCAGAAATTTCTTAAAGACCGTAATCTTTCTTGACTTCTAATTTTAGAATAGCCATAACCTTGAAGTTTAAGATTTATATATAAAGAAAACATAATATTATCCTCTAAATTATTAGAAATTGGGGTTATACCAGCATTAATACATCGAACATCAAAGTTTCACAGTTAAACGTGTTGGGACGATAATAGTAGTATTAAGATGGATGACCTTCTAAAAAGTCTTTTTGTGTTGAAATCGTTTATTTTTTATTGTTATTATCGATGTAAACAAGATATAATCTTACAAACCTTTATAGTCAACCGAATAATTTAATAAAAGTCAATGGTCTTACGTACGAATTTATCAACTATAAGTAGGAAAACCGTTCACGTTAAACAACTAATTAACCTCATCCACATTAAAACCTCTTAGAGAGAGAGAGAGAGAGAGAGCGAGAGATGACGAGACACTTAGAAGATGTAATGAGCATGGCGAAAACAACACAGTTCGATGTTAGTTACCTTCTTCATGTTGTGTTTTTGGCTCTATTCGGCTGTTGTGTCCTCTCGGCTCTGTTACTCTCTTGCGCCGATGGAGCCTCCGACGACAGAGCCAATTCAGGCACTTCCGGCGGTGCAGCAGGTTGTGGCGGCGCCGGTTGCGGCGGTGGTTGTGGAGGTTAAGAGTTCATTCGTACTCGTCGCGGAAAAAAGACCGGATACTATACTTTTCGTATTACAAAATTATTACAAAAGTGGTTTTTGTGGCCAGCTTTTGTATTAACGATATACAACTTTCGTTGCTTTTTCATTAATAGAAGAATAAATAATAACTATGTATTAGAGCAAACAACAGTATATTCTTGCATTTCGATTTGAAGTTGAAATTCTAAATATGATGCACACAAAGCACTATAGTTTCAAATTAAAATTTCCGCAGAGGTGATCAATATCACCGGAAAAACAAACGGGAGTCTAGTTCAACTAAAATGAACACAATTTTCCTTTTTTTTTAAATGGCAAAAAGGTACCAAAATCGAATCCGAACCAAACCGGCAAAAAAAAAAAACGGAACTGAAGACAAAAATTTGTTTTCCCAAACTAAAAATTGCATCTAATTAAGAACCCAAACAATTCTTCATGAGAGACGAGAAGAAGCAAAATATGGATTTAACATCAATTATTTATGGATCCAAGATCCGTACCGGATCAATTGATGGCCAGAAAAAGACGATCAAATGAAATCTTTGGTGAAACAAGACCAAAGTCTCGAACCAGGAAAATTTTCTTCATACGTTGATGGGATTTGATTCTTTAGACCTTATGATCTTGGCTTGTAGTTTCTGCATAAAAGCTGGATTGGCTTGTAGTCTTTGTTTCACATACGAAGTTCTTATGTCCTCAGCAATCTTGTTGGCCTTCGCAGCTTCCTCTATCAGCCCGTAGAGCGTCCTTAAGCAGTCTTTCCTGTTTTCCTCTCGGTGTTCAAACCTGTGACAAGTGTGTGTTGCACAACGACATAAAACAATTCATGATTCGACATTCTTGTCTTCCGCCGAAATTGCTTTTAATAAGGTTTTTTAAAGTTATATTACCTCTCGCTGGTGATCATAAGCTCGTCTTTCCCTGAATCGTATCTTTTTCCCACAAGTTCCCGTAGCCTCCTAGCTTGATGCTTTGAGAGCCCCAGCTCTTTAACTGTAACAGACAATTTAACTTTCCTGTTCTTTGGATGCCAAGCATCGCCACCAGGAGCAAAAACTATCCTCGATTGCCACTTAAGGATTGGGCCTTTACCGGGAGGGTCATCCAAATTGGTATTCCTGTCAGACGCATCCGTTTCATCAAACTGGAGAGGTCCATCAGCTTCCATTTGATCTCCATATTGGATTACCATCTCATCTTCGAATTCCTTGAAAAGCTCATAAGCTGCTTCGGGCTCAATTTCTCCACTTTCACACATATCCCCGAGCTCATTAAACTTTGCTTCAACTTTTTTCTTCAAGTCATCTGAATGAGAAATACAGTCATGAGGGTTTCCCCAATGTTCTTACAAATGCATCACAGGAACAAACCAATATGCTTTCTAAAATTCCCTGCTGACTCGAGAAGCAATGAATGTGCCAAGTATCATATTACCTTCAAAGGGTCTAACAAGGATAGTTCTCCTACCATTAACTGAGCGAAATCTAAATAGAAAGGATAACTACAAATGCTCAGTCCTATAAGAGAGTGTTTTGTAGCTATAAGGACGCACATTAGTTCATCAATCAGCCTAGTCTCTGGAAATCACATACCTCAAAGGTTCTCTAGTAGGTCGTTACTAGGAAAGATTCAAAGGTAGCTATGCCTAAAGATGTGAATCAATGAAATAAATGGACAAGATGAATTTCAACATAAAACTGCATTACCAGGAAGAAGCTTGTCCCAGTGGAGCATATCCTCAAGAATCTCTTCGCATTCCTTAGTATCCTTCAGAATCCCATGTTGAATGCCTTCTTTAACAATGCCATCCCACTTCTGATCGTCCATGTTGAAAAACTCATTCTTGCTCATCTTTTTCTTTACATGCTCCGGAGTGTTGTACAGATCCTCAAGTTCTTCGTCAGTAGAGTGGGCATCCTCGAAATCAGATTCAAAGTCTTCATCCTTCACATCATCTTTGAAAGGCTGACTCTCAAGTGAATCCATCAATTCATCATCTGTCTCCTCGTGTTTGTCTACAAGTCTTCTCTTCAGAAGTGCTTCAATAATTCCGGGCAAAGCGTCTTCATTACCCTCATTGAAATACTTCTCTAGACGGGATTTTAGCTCTGAAACCACAAACCAATATCTTAGGACTTAGCCACATATGACATACCTCAATTTCAAGAGCTTACCTACAGATTCTACTAGCTCATGAGAAATACAGATTCTACAATTCGAAGAAACCAATTGGTTGTAATGTTCAAGGTATCCGCTACAGATTACCAGAAATGTTGCGATCACCAAATGAACGATTAAACTCCACCATTTCGAATAATACAAGGCGCAAAATGAAAAGAGAGACACAAGAATTTTTGTTTTTGCTTTGATCAAGAGAACCCCACAGCTTGAACAGAGGATAGAGTAATTTACCTTTGTTGCTTACATCCTCTACAGCGAGCTCTTTCTTTTCGGATGATTCAGTCGGCGAAGACTCGGGAGCAGTAGTCGGGTTCTCACCGGATTCCGATGAGAATAATCTGGGTTTGAGAGGAAACGGTGCGGCGATCGGAGCGCAAAAGGGAACATTGGCAGAGCAGCTTCGATGGGTAATCCGAGGAGAAAGGAGAAGTCTGCGAGCGCAGCGAGATACATTTTTGAAGAGAGCTCCTCTCATGGCGGATCGGAGATTTAGGGTTTTAGGGTCGTGGAGTGTGTAATCCAAAAGTACATAAGTGTGATCCTAAACCAAATGCTGTTTAATTTACGGATTTGACACTGTACCCTTTAAGCCTTTACTGCAGTAAAATAAAAATAAAATAGCTTATGGGACTTCCAGTATCCAAACCACCGGAAATTAAAATGGAGTTTCTGTAACTCTGTTTCCACCTTCCAAATATATTTGGCCATTTGGGTCTACACACCAACATCTCGGAATATTTTACAGTTCTCAAGGTGGTAAGTAAAGAAGTTTTGTAGTTAACAAAAAATGAATACATATGTGGGACTCAAATTTGAATAGCATTTGTTTGTAAATTGGTTGGTACAGTATATGGGTAATCTCAATCGTTCGTTTATATATTTTTTTTTAAAAAAAAAACCAAAAAACTTCGAGAACATAATTCTACAACAAACCTAAAGTTTGATCAAAACCAACACTCCTTGGTGAAATTAGAGATGAATTGAAAATAATTGATCTATTTTCATACGAAAAAGTATGCATAACATTTTCTATTTGTAAAAATTTTAAATGCCCAAGTTTTCCAATTTTAGAACGATTATCTATTTATACAGATAATAAATACATAGTTTGCTGAAAAAAAAAAAAAGATAATAGATCATGGTATTTATTTTTTTGTGAAAGTTTAAAACATAAATAAATAAAAAATTCTAGGCCATGGGTTAGAGCCGGGACAGCTTTTGACTTTTGCGCGTTTATTACTTCAAAGATTCAGTGCTTAAAGCGGTTGAGACGCAGCCAAATGTTGTTGCTGTTTGCCACTGTCAAGAGCCATCTGCTTGGACATATCGGCTAGAGCGGCTGCGGCTGCCGCTGGTGTCATGCTTTGGTACGGAGACGCTAAGGGAATACCAGTGTTAGCAGGAGGACGTTGTGCGTGGTAATACACTGTCTCATTTGGCGCGTTTGCGTACTCGTACGCCGCACCGTAGTTGGGATTTGCGTTCGAGGCGTGTTGTTGAGAGACTCCAGCGTAACCCATGTATTGTTGCTGATGCAGTTGCTGTTGCTGAAGAGCCTGAGGGATTTGTGACACAGCGGCGGCACGGTAAGCGTTCTGAGCGGCTTCAGGTCTCGCGTTTGTAGCGGGTTTTGAGTTTGGGTAGAGCGGGGGAGTTCCAGCTGGGACATACTGCTGCTGAGATTGCGGGACGGGCATCATGTAAACCGGGTAGTTTTGGTGCTGATGAGAGTAAACCGGGATGTATTGTGATGGGTGAGGGATGTACTGAACGCCTTGGTGTAAGAAAGGTTGTTGTACCTGGGGCTGGTGTTGTTGGTCCATAGTTGTGTATGTACCTGGCTGAGATATGACGTGGGATGTGGTTTGGGCTGATGTGGTTTCAGGCTGAGGTACGACGTGGGATGTTGTTTGGACCGAGGTGGTTTCAGGCTGTGTCACTGGGGCTCTTGGCAGAGCTGGAGCTTGGTCTTGGTAGTACATCGGCTTTGAAAATGAAGTAGCAGAAGATATGCTAGTATCACTGTGTATGTATAACAACAGAATAAATCAGCATTTAGTGTCAGACTCATAGAACAAAGTTAGCATCTCTGGTCGCGCTATAAAAGACAGATCTAGATACAGATGAAACAAACGGTCTAAAGTGCTTGACAGCTTAAAGATAAATTCTTCATTTTTCATTTCATATAGACAGCTTAAAGATATAATGATATATTCATCATTTTCTTTTGATATAACATACTTCAAACTTGTGATCTATATTTTTAGCTACTTTCCGCATGTAATTGAAACCACAGGTAAAGATCAGAGAACAGAGACAGTGTAAAGAAAAGCACTACTTCAAGGCGAGCTGAAGAATATGATCTGAAATTACCTAAATCAATCATCTATCTAATACAACTAGAGAGACTTATCTCAGAAAACAAATGCAGATCAATAAATAGAACAGGAAATCGCATTGAAACAATGTTTCTGAGTAAATGAATGAAAGTACCTTGCAACTGAATCAGGAGATGTCAAGCCATACCCACCGGCACCTCGCGGTGGAATCATCACTGGCTGCATCGGTAAAGGTGGCTTCCTGTAGCCAGTGGATCCACCTGGATCGGATCGATCGTCGTCCGGTGAAACCTGGCCATTGCTTACGGCAGGAGCACCATCAATAGGTGAGTTGTTATACCCCATCGCAGCATCGGTCATCATACCAGACGGAATCATCATCGTTGGCCGATTAGCCATCAAGCCAATGCCATCTTCCATATGCCTCTGAGTGTGCACATTTGAGAAGCTCATCTGCGCAAACTGTTCCTCGATCCTCTGGTCTTCGCTAACTCTAACGCGGATCGGTGGCAGATTTGCAGTGGAAGGAGAAGAAGAGGAAGATCCTATCGAAGAACCGGCGGCTTCCATCATCGGCGAATCAGGCATCGAGCTCATATGCATCTCTTGATGCGAAATCACACCGTTAGCGACCAAATCCCCTCGCTTGTTGTTCTCGCCACCAACACTAGTTTCTAGGTTTTGGATCTCGGCCTCTCCTCCGCTAGCCTCGTCGAGATTCACCAGTGTGTTGTTCACGGCGGCGGAATCCGACAAACCACGAGGAAGCAAACCGGACTGATTCAGAGCATCGACGAACCATGTATCAGATTTCGCGCCGTCAAGGAGAGAACCCATAGTAGCGGCGGTCTCGAGCTTGTTAGCGAAAAGGAACAACCGGATCCGTTGCGTCGCAGTCGCCGTCGCTGATGACGTCGCGCGATCGTATTCCTCAACCATGTTCTCCAGATCTTCATCAGTAGTGATGGTGACGAGTGAATCGAGATCTTCGCTGGGGAGCTGGTACTTGAGTGTGAAGGACCGGCCGTTGAGGAGCATACTGGAGAGTCGAGATCGGAGCGAGGCCAGTGACGCGCGTCGATCAACAACCACCAGACGCGTCTCGCCGCCGGAATATGTCAGCGCCTTGTCGTGTGGACGAGGCATGATGTGGCCGCCAAAGCTGCACATAAGGCGAAGCTTTGCACCAGGGACCGCCGCCAGTGGCTCCGCGTTACCTCCGGTGTCAATAGCGACGGCGCGTGGCGAACCATCTATCGGTTGTGTTAGCGTCCCGCTCTTGATTGCCGGTGGAATCGGGGGAGAGACGGCGGCTGCAGAAATAATATTAGGGGTGAGTTGCGATGAAACTGGGAGTGGGGTCTCCATGTGGATTCGGCTTATAATTCGATCGACAACTCAACGTCTTAAGTATCAGGTAAAAATCTTAAGTATCTTCCTATATTTCATGATAAAATTTGTCAGATAAAAAAAAAATTGTATCAATTTATATAGATTTGAAATACATCTGCGACTGTGATTTTGGAAAAGCTGTGAAGTAGAATGTTTAATAATATAAAATGATGATTGTGTGCCCTTTAACATGGGTTTCCTTTACGAGTTCCAAGTTTCCAACATTACAGTTTGCTGCAATTTGTTTCCGGAAAGTTCAATTTGACAGCAAATAAATAAAAAAAAAAGTTTGTTTGAGATGAAGTGGATTCCGAAGAAGGCGGGTGAATCTGGACCATAATGGGAACACTAAAAACCAAACCCATGTGGATAATTTTCGGTGACCGTGTTCGGTTTACTTCGACCGGACGCTACACGTTCGGTTCCCAAAGTTTATTTCCTCAAAAAAATTGACGCAACTGTTAGAAACTTGTAAATATGGATGGATTCAGATTGTTTGTGAAGGCTAATCTTAAGTACACAGGACCTCTGATTGAAAATTAATATAAAATTGGTTTAGAAACCAAAAATAGATTGAAGAGTCACTTTGCTTAATTAACACGGATCCAATGCGTGTACATGTTGAAACCGGAACCCAAGAGAGGATATAGAGGAACCAAACTAAACCAATTTTAACCAAACTAAATCTTTATAGACATGGTTTACAACAATTATACATTGGGGAAAAATGTCCCTTCTTAACATAAGGAACAAATTATCAGTAAGTGAAACATAATCAATATAATTAAAATTACAATGATAATAAATACACATATAAAAATATTAGCGCAGTGAATTTCAAAATTCAGAATCAGTGCTTTGTCGGTGCGGCGAGGAGGTGGAGCCACGCTCGACATCATTGTCCAACATTCCCCTAGAACTGCTCCTAGTCATCGTCGTGGCTCGACCACTCCTCTCGGCCAACATTCTAAAATACGCGTGTGGAGCCCATCCTATAACAAAATAAAAAAATCAAAAAACTCATTAATCATGAAATATTCAAGAACACATGATTGTAAAATGTTAAATCCTAGTTTGTTTACCATTGTCGTCGTATGGATAAGGAAAAAAGTGGAGGTAAGAGAAAGACGCGACGAATATTCCGATGATAGCTCCGGCGAAGACGTCGGTCCAATGGTGCCAGTAGTCATCGACTCGTGATATTCCGATGAGAATTGCGACGAGTATCGGTAAGAACACGAGGCATAGCTTCGCCACATGTCCCTGTCTATCAAATACTTTGATTTTTCCCGATAAGTACCACGCTAGAAATACTAAACCGGCGAATGACCCTGCATATACAATGTTTAATCGGTTTAATTTCAACCGGGATTAATTCCCATATTAACTTGCAATGTTTTTAGAAGACTTACACGAAGTGTGACCACTAGGAAAACTCTTGTAACCTTCTTTGATTATCTTTTTAACTCCATGGCACACAACATCTTTAGTATCCGGGTCAAATTTCTGTATTTCTTTCAGATTTGCGCAATATAAGAAAACTCACTCATAACAAACTAATAAAATACCAAGTAATTAATCGTTGATTTTTAAAGTAAGAAATGTGGATTGATAGATGTATGTTTCATACCGGTTTACCATCGGGGAAACATCGGTAAAAGAAGTTAGGTCGTGGCCTACCGACCGCGTCTTTGATGGAATCAGTGGTGACTCCAGTCACTAGACACGAGAATGCGAGACCTTTAATTTACACATTGGTCACGCTAGTTAATATTATCTTAGTTTCGATTTGAAATTCACAATACAACATAATTGAGAATAGAAATGATGAACTCACCGAGAATGGCGTGGTGAAGATCATAAACATCTCTCCGGAAGTAATAGTAGACAGTGAAGATGCATATAGGAACCAATACACAAATAATCTATAAACACCACACCCACAAACCAAATATATAACCATCATTCACAAATAATAGCAATGATTTCTTGTGATGAAAGGCACATAGTGAAATCATAGGTTTCTTGGGAAACAAGTTTACTTACCGGGACAGCCCACATAGGGATGGTGTCTTTAAAGAATGGGAAAGTGAGATCGGTCAACATGTCTGGTCCGATGTAGCGATGAAAAGGTTCGATAACATTGAGGACAATGTCGATGAGACCGAGGAGGACGAGGATGAGCCAGTCACGTAGATGTTCTCGAGCCACATTCCATCCATGGCTCTTCACCGTGTGAGATCCAAGCATTATCTTAGACATTTCTCAGGCTTATCAAATTAACCTAAAACAACAGTTTCATTGTAAAATATATACATAACAATCTATCTTCTTTGTTTTTCTTTTCAGAATCAGATTTGATTTTGTTATGTAAAGGTTTCTCCGATCAAAACTAAACCAGAGTTTTGTTTCTATGTTTATATCATGACTCAACGCGATGAAACTATTTATCCAACAAAGAAGAACCAAAATAATCATTGGTTTCGGGATGAATTGAGGGGAAAACAATTTCAAAACAAAATCTTAGACTCGTCAAACATACATACACAAATGCATTAACAATCGCACAGAGAGATTACGAAATGAAAATGGGTACCTGGTGAAACGGGAGATCAATCAATGGCTAAACAAACCCTAATTAATCTTTCCTATTTCTGTTTTTGGGGTGAAAATCTATTCTATTACTGTTACAATTGCAATATACAAACGTAATTATGAACAATATTTTTTGAAACGGTGAATGGGGATATGAATTTGAGGAGGGATAAGAAAAGATTAATTCATAGCAAAAATGAAGTTTTTGTTCTTTCGAAACAGTTATGATACATTAGATTTTTTTTTGTTTTAGCCGTTTAATATTTTTCTAAAACCAAAATAACTGTAGCTAAATGACGATTTAAATTCTTTTCTTTTTTAACCTTTAATGTTTCACTGGCCTCTAAAAACATTTGCAAAGGATAATAAGCCTTGCTTATTTCGTAAAACTCTTATTTATTAGTATTTCTTTCTTCGTATAAAAAAAAGTTTAACAGACTTAAATGTTCTTTTCAATATCAAAGCTTTCTAAATGTAAGGCTCAAATTAACAAGATTAGCTGATATTGTGAACATATCTAAACGTGTTGTGTTGTGTTGGTGTTATATATAGTTATAGCAATGCTAATATACTTTTACAACCCCTTCAATAGCTTATTCACCAGATTTTTAATGAAACTAAAATATGATACCATTTCGACGACAAATGCATGAAAATGACTACATAATCACAATTATAATAACACGTTTGAAGAGAAGTAATATTTGACGTGACTTATATGGCAATTTTTTCAATAAATAAGAACTACTACTATAGTTCCCTACCAGTTATATTTTCTAGAATGATGGGAACAGATATGATATGACTAACACTAACAAAGGCTCAGTATATTCAAAGAGAGCGGCAATAAAGTAGAAATGCACCCACCAATCCAAATTGCATTTAGATGGTTATAACTTATAGCGCCAATGCTGTAAGATCGTTCGTGGTGGTACAATTTCGTAAATGCATCGTCTTTAATTATTCGATATTCTATTACTATACTAACAAACAAACAAAAAACAGAAGTACCGAAGAAGAAATAAAACAATTTCAGAGATACAAGATCGAAGTCGACTCTCGATTCGTAATGATAGAGTTATTCAAAGGTACACCAAATCTGAATTTCGAAATTCGATGGTCTACATAGACTCTACACTACGATAAGACCTAGCTGGTTTTGTTGTGAAGAAAATGGGGCACACAAGTTGCATCTTAAATGAATAGTGTGGTACTCATCTTTCTCTCTCTCAATTTCAATCTGTATTATTATACCACATGTGCTACTCTGCAATGGAAATTCCATTTCAATAATCGATTAATGATTATCTCATCACTATAATACCCTCCCCCACTTATTTAATTCCCTTGTCTCACTCTCTGACTCTTTAAAGTCCTCCAGCATTATAAGTTGTTATAAAATTCCTTTCTTTGACCTCTTCTCTTTCTCAAATAGGAAAAACTAAATTATTTAGTTCCAAAATTTTCACCCACTCACTGTGTATTCAAGTCCATTATTGCATTCCTTGATTTGATATGAATGGAGTTTCACATTTTTAATTCCTAAGAAGTAAGAGAAGCTGAAGAAGACAAAAGAAGTGAATGAATTACAAGAGAAAAAGGACAAACCCATGACTATCCAAACACTAATATTTGATTCCCTTCTTAATGTCATAGTCCCTACTTTGGTGATCTGTCATTTTCGCCTTTCTTCAATTTTTGATCCATCTCCGGTTTACCTTCGTCATTATTCATTTCTGTTATCTATATACGGTTATCTATACCAGTCTAAATTGGTCGCTTGTTTGTCATTAATTAGTTATTATGGTGATTGACAGCTATTGCAGTGTTTTACATCTTAGCTACCCTTTGAGACAACATCAAATTCAAAGACAATGCATCGACCAAGTGCAAGTGGAGCATTATTCAGACATACATTCGATTCCTGAAAAATACCATATAAAATATACGTTTAATGAAATTTACACAAGATCTTCAACACAATTTGAGACGGTTATGTTCCATTAGTCAAGTACCGTTAATTCATCAGTTATGAGGACGTTGTTTCAATGTATCAGACTTTTTGAGTTCAATCCTATTCATAGCAACATGATGGTTTACGAGTTTTGAATTTGTGTCAATTGTAATATATCTAAATATATAAGGATACTACGAAAACAAAAGTCGAAATTTGTTAGTTAACAACTTAAACTCTGTTAAGCAAGAGTATATTGTATCCAAAGATTTGAGAGTCATATATAGACATATCTACTACTATATATGAAGAAGATGCTATCAACAAACCTATAGTCTATATGTACTGACTCTCAAAATAAGAACTCCAAATAAGTTTTTATTCTATTTTAAAGATGATTATAAACTATTTAACAAACTTAAATTAAAATATCTTGACCATCAAATGAAACTGTTAGAAACACATGAGCATATATTTGTTTGAATACTAGTCACGATAACTGATTCCAAAAGTTACTACTACTATTTTTGGTTTTGTCGATTGAAACACACGAAAGGTTGAATTTTTGTCCAAGAGTTTTGTTGGACAAGTTAAATTGATATTGTGACCCTATCCACCTCTCACATTGAGGACGTACGGTTGGTTGGTGGGTAGGGTTTTTGCCAGCCATAGCTAAACTTTGAAATCAAAAATATCTCCTCCACATCTCACATGTCACATGATTACCACATTGATTGGCTCGTGTTTCTAGCAAGATTTTGGTATCGTTAGAGGCGCGGATACAAAAAGAATTCGGTTCTATCCAGTGAATGCCAAATATATTTGTCAAGAGGTTATATATAACCATTAAATCATAATCTCTTAACAACATTATACTCCGTTATTATGATGAATGAATGTATAACATATATATTATGTTCCTACACTGCAGTTGTTGATTTTTGATTCAAGCCAATATCCTAATTAATGTTTGAAATCTTCAATCGGATGAACTTATATATCATATGATTTATGCTGTGTCTTGCGCGTGTGTGTATATATTTGTGTGTGGAGGGGAATGTAGATGTAGAAACAGTCAACATTTTGGTACATTCTGTGGTCTAGGAGCTCTCTCAACTTTCTCCTATATATAAAAACTCTGTCTCTACTCCCCATTACCACTTTGTCACTTCACACACTCCCTATCGTATATATATATATATGCTTACACATATTCATATACACACATACTCTATGGTGTTGCATATATATGTATATATACTATATACACACATAGGTTTGAGAATGATGTTGGTTGTTGACAGAAGATAGAGAGCACTAAGGATGACATGCAAGTGCATACATATATTTATCATCACACCGCATGTACGTGGATGATAAAATATGTTAAACATATTCAAGAGAGAGAGAGGGAGAAGCAGAGAGAAAAAGAGCCTGCATCTCTACTCTTTTGTGCTCTCTATACTTCTGTCACCACCTTTATATTCTTCCTCTTTCTTACCTATATACACACATGCACATCTATATAGACATCATATATATACTTTCGTATCTATATATGCATAATGTTTACAAGGTGCATGCATTTCATATATCACATTCACATATATATGAAGTGATTTCATTTTAGTAAACGTTTACTTTCTCCCCATTACTTTAGCGCCAGTAAAGCTTTGTCGTTTCTGCTGTAATTTTGATCTATCATACACATCATCCAATATAGTGCTATGAGCATCCACTAGCACAATATTATATGCAATTTGTTCATTCTTTGAGAATTTTTTCATATCATATGCTATTCAAGGAGGACATATATACAAACTTGCAATGTGAATCAGTGTCTTATACAGGCTCTTTTTTTAATAAAAAACTTTCTTTGATTCATTTGGCAGGGTTTCAACTTTCAAGAAGCTTCACTGACATGGAACAACAACGATCAGGATGACGCTGTCTAACATTGCTATCTTAATCCAGATCTTCTAAGCAAATTTCAATAGTAATTCTGTTCCGCAAACTATCTAGTGTAAAAAATGATCTCTGGTTTGACCAAACATAACGAAACAATTTGTTGAATTGAGATACTATTGAGGCAAGGAGGTTGGATGGATGAAAAAAGAGTAAAAGTTCTAAAATTGGACACAAAACAGAAAGTGGAAGAAGAATAAAATATCATGGTTTTTCTTCTTCTAGGCAAGTGGATACAATGTCTATTTCTGTCTATAAATTCAGTAAAACTAAATATCGTACAAAAGAAAAAGTTATCATATTCTTTCACACTTTAGTCACAGAACACAAAACCATCTTATTAAATGTTGTAACGCAAGTAATCTCCGTTGAGAAGATGTAATTCATCAAACTAAAATCAATATCCGAACCGGTAACCAAACTAAACAAACCATGATATATCTAAATTCCGGTCCAGAAAATTCGGTATGGAGAAAACCCAAACCGTTCCTTTGAGTAAAGAGTAATACAAAGACATTAAGAACAAAGCCCGAGAAATTACATAGACTATAGACTAGAGAATGACTAGGCTATTCTCGATTGTTTGTTTGCGTTTACATAAGCGTTTGCGTTTCCATATAATGTTCCAATCATATATGACATGAAAACGCAAACGCAAACAAACAATTGCAACCAGAGTTGTTCCATCCGTTACTTAATATATAACTCTTGTAACAATGAAACTCCACCAAGAATCTACAGAGCATGAACCGCTGATACGATTTCACCATCCATCGATTCAGCCGTTTCTCTGAACGACTGGCTATGGAGTTGCCTGGTAAAAGTAGTGGTCGTGTCCAAGAAATATAGAATCGACGACAACATACAACAGCACACAAACATGGGGATGGGACCAAAGTTCCACAGGAAGAGCGGGAAGGAGAAGTAGAAAGCCCGCAGTCCAAGAGACCAGAAGTAGCTAGCTCGGTTCAGGTTTCTAGACACATACTCGCAGTGCTCTTTTTTCCCTCTTGAGACAGGCACTGTGACTAGGAAACTTACGTGAGCGTAGTACCTGATCGACTGTACGTTGCAGAGGAAGGCCATGAGGAAACAGATGAGGATTGTGAAGTTCTTGATTGTTGCAAGGAGAGGGCTTTTGTTCCCGTATATAATAGCTGATGCTGTGGATTTCGAAGCTGAGGAGTTGCTTACAAAGACGCCAATGATGGAACATAGAGTGATTGCTGTTGTGGCTAAAAGGGTCGATGCCATTATGTTGTTCCTGATTGTCTGTACTGCCAAAGTTCCATTTTTCAGCGGCTCCTGCAAATAACAATAAGAAAAATTGAATCTTTACAGTAACTCGCATAAAAAGGATTTCACAAATCAGAGTGTTCCTGTGTCTCTTATGCCTAGGGCGGCTATGTTCCTATCTAATGAAAGCCATTGTTTAGCTCCAAGATGAACATCACCAATGTTATAAGCTCAATGAGCTTAGGAAAAAGTGGAGCTTCCAGGGAAGAAAGCCCACCGTCTACTTCAAAGTTGATCACATCTCAACATCAAGTTTCACAGCTTAAAGCCTTTATTTTTCCTGATCTCATCATTCATTTCTTACTCATATCATAAACTTGCTCAATTTTGCTATATGATGTTTTAGCTGATCCAAATTATGGTTTCTCAATTGACCTCAAAAACCTCAGAACCATTAAACATAGTTAATAATTTTGGCACTCTTCTTCCCTAATATTACAAAAGAAAGCCTTCAGAATCTCAATTTAGACTTCCTAGATTCGCGAACAAAACAGCTCCGTCGACATAAACCTCGCGTTTCAAATCCAAACAATTCCGACAACATAAACCCTAAATTAAACCCCAAAAATCTCCAGAATCAAAGAAAAAAACCAGAGAGAGAGAGAGGGTCACCATTCACCAACGAATATCAGCTAAAGAGGAAAGAAAGAAAGGAGAAGAGAGAAACGTACAGTCATCATAGAGAAGACCCATTGTCGTCGAGATTCAGCATTGAGAGAGATAACAGTGAGCTTGGGACGATGGAGTATGGCGTAGCCGAGCCAGACATGGTAAGCGACCATCACGGCGAGACCAGCCGGCACAAGCACAGCATCCAGTGATTCCTCCTTCCACATTAAGAATTAGAATTCGCTGCAGATGTACTCGCGATTTGTAAATAATTCCGTGATCGGAAAAGAAGAGTAAAATCGATGGCCAAATGATTTTGGGTGCAGAGGCAAGAGACCAAGGAAGCCAGCGAGGAAGAGAGAAAAAGCACGAAAGCTGGAGAGCGACAGTATTCACACGTGTGAGCTTTAACAAACTTGATAGAGACTATAGATGTGTGTCACACGTGTTAACACAAAAGTCTATTGAAGAGATAACTTCATGTCTCCTCTCCCTCCTCTATGCTGCTATATCCCAAATTGCTTCTGAACCGGAATGTACCGGTAATTTAATCTTAAACCAAAGACAGGTTTGAATTTCTTATGGGCCTTGAATATGGGCCGCAAAATCATTTTAACTCCTAAAAAGCGTGGGAAGGGAAAATTACGTACGTCGTTAAGAAAGAAAAAAAAAGAAAAAAAAAGCTTCGAGGGAACATTGTAGAAAACCCTAACTTCAACGGGAACCCAAAATCGGAATCCCCAGATCGATAGGAAACAAAAAGGGCCCTGATATTGATTCTCTTTTAGATTCTGAGTTTCGATTTTGGAATGTAGTGTGCATAAGAAACCTATCTATTTATTGATTTGAATTCACTGTACCTTAGTAATGTCAAGTGACCGGCGAGAAGGTCAACAGGAGACGACGGTGAACGGTAACGGAGCTGTTGGAAGTAATTCTCAACCGGTGGCTCCTACGACGATGAGAGCTACGGCTACGAAGAACTCTGGCCAGAGACTGAGGCAAAATCCTAACAACGAGCATAGGCCGGATAGCTACGAGGATCTGCAGCTCGATTTCCCCAATTCGATGTATTCTAGTCTGGAGAAGTACTTGCCGCCGAGTATTCTCGTCTTGAGTAGGGAAGAGAAAGTGAAATTCATGACAGAGATTATGCTCAGGCACCTTCCCCATGGAGAGCGTTCCAGAGTAAGTACAAGTTTTGACCTTTTATCTGAATTTACATTCTGAGTTTTTGTATACTCGTTAATGATGATTTTTGTTAGTTTCTCCTAGAATTACATATGCAAATTGGTATGATCTTGATTTTTGACCTTTTGCTGCTATGCATAGGCCTTAATTCTGCTAAAATGCTTACAGCAAACTTATATTTGGTTAGATGATGATTGATGATTGAATGTCAACATGAGCCCCAGGATTTTTAAAAGTAAGGTTTTTTATTTATTTATTTCCATGATGCTACAGGCTCAAAGGCACAAAGACTATAGGCAGAAAATTATATCAAATTATCAGGTGTGTGTCCTTTCTTGAACTTCACTGTGTTCTATATCGTGCTGCTCCAATCACCAGCTAGTAGTTTGAAATGTCTTATTCTGCAGCCACTTCACAGAGAGTTGTATACTCTAGTTCCCGCACTATGTTTCGTTCCCACCTTCATAAATGCGATAAATGAAGGCACAGAGGAAAGCATCAAAAGCATATTGTCTCAACCGTCTACTGGTGTTTTCGTCTTTGACATGCTCCAGCCTAGCTTTGCGAGATGATGCTCTCCGAGGTAATTTGCATCCTTTTTTTATTTTTATTTTTCTCTCTACCCTTTTTCGTTATCTTTATATTACGTTCATGTGCTATTGTTTGGACCATGCAGATAGACAATTTTGAACATTGGGTGGGCGAGACAAAATTCCGAATCATGAGACCAAACACCATGAATAAATACGGTGCCGTGCTTGACGACTTTGGTCTGGATACCATGCTTGACAAACTCATGGAGTGTTTTATACGTCCCATTTCCAAAGGCAATCTATCTAACTTAAATCGATTACATAAGACTATTATTAGAAGGTTCATTTAATATGTTACCTTGTTGACCAAAAAGCTACTTATCATCTTTTTTGTTTTGTAGTATTATTTAATGATGTGGGTGGAGCAACTCTGGACTCTCACCATGGGTTTGTTGTTGAATATGGTAAAGATAGGGATGTTGATTTAGGTGAGGCCTTTTGTTCTTGAGTTATCCTTCAGAATTTTCACATGACGAGACTAGTTGTCTTAAATGCAGATAACCACGTAATTCAGGTTGAATATTAGTTCTTATAAATTTGCAGGCTTTCATGTGGATGATTCAGAAGTAACACTGAATGTATGTTTGGGTAACCAATTTGTGGGAGGGGAGTTATTCTTCCGAGGCACACGGTGTGAGAAACACGTTAACACAGCAACAAAGTCAGATGTATGTTACTCTTTTTGAGTTGCTTGCTTCTCTTAATAACATTTCATATCTGGCTGATGGCTAATTTAAACAGCTGTTTACTTACGAAAGCAGGAAATATTTGACTATTGTCATGTACCGGGGCAAGCTGTACTTCACCGTGGGCGCCACCGCCACGGTGCCAGAGCCACAACAGCTGGACATCGGGTCAATATGCTTCTATGGTGCAGAAGGTAATATCCCAATTGAAACTTGCCTCTGCACTGCCATGGAAATGTTTTAGATTGCAGATGAATTTCATTTGTTTTTTTCCAGTTTCTTATCAAGCTTTTTCCTTGGTGTTTGTTTCACGCAGCTCTGTGTTTAGAGAGCTCAAAAGTCATCAGAAGGAATTCTCCAGCTGGTGTGGAGAGTGCTTTTGCGAAAAGGAGGAGGAGAAAGGGCGGGCAATTGATGCTCTAAGAAAGGTAAGGCTCTTGATTGTTCAAGCCTACTATAGCTGTCTCTTTTTACACATAAGGTGTTAGATGATTCATATATGCTCTTTATTGCTATTGCAGAAATTGTTCAAAGTCGCACGTGTAACGCAAGCTTGAAGAAATCAATGAAATGAAACCTCTTGTGCACAGCTTTTCCAATGATTCTGGTGTTGACAACTCATCATCAAAAACATTAGATTTGAGAAACCTATCAGAACAAAACATTAATACATACCATTTTTTACTGTGCCACCTAAACTTTGAGTAAACACGTCTATTTTAACATTCTACGCCACTATCTCTAAACGGGCCGTATTTAAAAGAGCATGTTAAGTACGAGAAGCATCGATATCCTTTCGAAATAAAATTAGTTGCCTGGTGCTGGTTTTAAATGTTCCATGCCTATTTGGTTTGCAAGATTGATAATTTCGTTTTGGTACAAAAACCAATCAGGTCGTGCAAGTTGAACACTACTTTGAGTCTACATGCTCTTTAAAAGAGGAGGAAGAGTAAGAAACTAAGATATTCTTCGGATATATAGAGAGATATGTGGTCTATAAGATGAATTTTAGGATTAATTTTCATCATGGTGAAAAGACATTGGATTCATCATGGTGAAAAGTGTTTACTCCTACGGACATAGAGAGAAAAAAAAGAGAGAAATTGATTGGAAAAATGAGCAGCAAATGCGGAAATTCTCTTCATTATCATGTTGTCCATAAACTTTTACTATCGATAATTTGATCTAGTATATTAAAACATACATATATAATACATAACACAACACAATTTACTTTTTTTGATACATATATGTTGTCTTTTCGAAGAATTGCTCCTGTTTTAAAGTGACTTAAAAGTTAAAACTAAGTCTATGTAGAAATCTTTTGAGGTAAATGGCTCTCTGTTTTTCTTTTCTCGATTCTTTACTAATTATGTACAAGGAGTTGTATCGTTATTAGTGTTATCGAATTGTTTTTGGTCTTGCTACTCTCTAAAAGCTCCATATTTGATTTAACATGTTACTAGTATCGGCGAAGAGCCACAAATCATGGATTAACTTTGTAGTATCTCTATTGTATAGCGACAAGTATTAAGGCTATTTGCACGTTGTCCTAAATAATGGAAGGGAGAAGAAAGATTTGAATGTGTTTTGTATCTGTCTAGTTATTTGATGGCAAGACAAATCGAAATTGGTTGTGAAACGGTACCACCAACCCAATTAGTTGACTTTAAGCTTTTCATTGAATCCTAATGAATCTGTTATTTATGTCATTTTTTTATATTATATACTCTTTACATTCATTTTCTCACCAAATCTGGTTTTCGTGTTTCTTGGTATCTTTTCGACTATCTAAGTTGATACGATCGATTCGTTTGAGCTTTCTATCGTGTAGACTGTAGATGAACACGCAATTCATTCAATAAGGCTTCTATGGGATCTGATTGATTTTTCAAAGAACAAAAAATAGTTTTGATCTTTCGGTTTTTTGCCAGTTTGTTGTTGATCTTTGGTGATCTGATGTATCATTTTTGTTCCCTTTTTTCATTTTTGGATTCTGAAGTTGGAACCTTGTGATTATAAAATTAGGACATAGCTTTCTTATATCATGATCTGAAAAAATAGAGAGAATCTTGCATGTGTGATGTGTCCCACTAAGAAATAAAATAGTACAGAGTACAAGGTACTTAAAATTTGTAAAACTGTCTAAGATGACCAAAAAAACTATTTATAAAAGTGTTGACACAAAAATATAAAACAAATACATTTTAACATATTCACATTGTGAAATGATCATAGTTTTCAATATCAAAATTCCATAAAATCTTAGTTTAAAAACAAAAAATGAATCCACGTACTTAACTATTATCGGTTACTTCCCATTCTAGTTTTTGAAATGAACAGACGTAGTTTTTATTTTTCTTTTCCTTTTTATTTCGTCAATCGGAGAGGCCTAGTTACTGATTATATAATGTAGCCGTTTTTCAGAATCTAATGACATGAATAAAGAACAAGTAATTAACTGAAAAAACGGTGGTTACTCCTTGGCAGTACTGCTCCTCGGATATTTATCTATTGATAAACTTATTACTCAAATCATTCGAACAAATTGAATGATTATTAATGGTTTTCCACATTCAAGACAAGATGCCTAATTATGAGGTAGATCACATGCTATTCGATTCCATAAAAGTCATTATTACAAAAGTAAAGAAACTATAAAGAAAGAAATACACCCTCAAAGAAAGATGAATGCTTCATTTTCACTTGGGCTGTTATTATTTTCATATTTTAAATTCATATCGAAATTAAATTAAAACTCAGATTAAAACCTATATGTAGATATGATCATATGAACATTAAGTTTTGATCCGAACTCATGGTTAAAGAGATTTGGTATCATTGTCACTTTCGTGTCATTACCCATAATTCAAAACTGTTAGCTAGTAGTATGTGTGGAAATTGCAAAATATTAAAAATAACATTTTTTCACATAAAATGCGAGTGGAACTACTCAATACATAAATTATGCATAAACCCTACATATCTAAGTCACATAAACATTTAACCTCCAAATCGTAGTAGTATTAATTATAAGCAAATAATCATCTAACATCATCATTGCTCATAATCATTAATTACAAACTAATATAGTGGCCCACTTGAGGAAATGATGTACCATTCTGCTACCCCCTAAACCCAATAATCATCCAATTTATTTATTAATATCAGTAATATTAATTTTCTCTTTTATATCTCAAGTCCACCACGACACACATTCATATAAAAGGAACCTTTGATCTGCTATCAAACTTGAAAAAGAGAAGAGTCTAAGAAGAAGAAGACAAAATGGGGAAAGGAGTAGTATCAGAGAAGATGAAGCTTGTGGTGGCATTGATCACACTTCAGTTCTGTTTTGCAGGTTTCCACATTGTCTCAAGAGTTGCTCTTAACATTGGTGTCAGCAAAGTTGTGTACCCTGTTTATAGGAATCTTCTTGCCCTTATCCTCATAGGTCCCTTCGCTTACTTCCTCGAAAAGTAAGTCCTCTTCATCTCTCAGAGTTCCAGGGTTTGCTAGAAATGGGTATCTGTATTTTGGGATATAATGCTTTTGCTTTTCTTTTTAAGTGATATAATACTTTTGACCTTAAAAGGGTTTGTTTGTTCTCATCTGAGATTTCGTTTGTTCCTTTTATCTCATAACGCATTGTTTCAACAGAAAGGAAAGACCTCCACTCACAATATCTTTACTGGTTCAGTTCTTCCTCTTGGCACTAATTGGGTAAGCAGAACAAAAGAAGACAAGAGCTTTCATTAATCTTATCATTTGATTCCTTAATCCTCGAATCATTGCTTATAATTCTGAAACTCTTACGTGTTTTAACATCAGAATCACAGCGAACCAAGGATTTTACCTATTGGGACTGTACTATGCAACTCCAACGTTTGCTTCCGCAATGCAGAACTCTGTTCCTGCCATCACTTTCATCATGGCTTGTGCCCTAAGGTACCTAACAACCTCTTACACTGAAATATGGTTTTTAAGGGTATTAATCATGTTCCTTTTTGCGTCTAACATTGTTATTCCTCTGTTTATCAAGGTTAGAGCACATTGACCTGGTCAGGAAACACGGTGTGGCCAAAGTATTGGGAACCCTAGTGAGCATCGGTGGAGCCACAGTGATCACATTGTACAGAGGATTTCCGATCTTCCAGAAGAGCCTCAACATGCACGAGGAGGAGGAGATCGAATCTAACAATTCGCAGAACAGGACACTCGGATGGTTATACCTTATGGGACATTGTCTGTCATGGGCTGGTTGGATGGTTCTTCAAGCTCCTGTCCTAAAGAAGTACCCAGCAAAGCTCACTCTAACATCGTTCACATGTTTCTTCGGTCTAGTTCAGTTTCTAGTCATTGCTCTGTTTGTGGAAACTGATCTCAATAACTGGATCATCGTCTCTTGGGAAGAGCTCTTCACCATCCTATACGCGGTAAGCTCTCTCTCTCTCGCCGCCTCTCTTCCTTGATCTGAATCAATGAAATTAGCTTAAATGGATCTTTCATTGGTCGTGATTACAGGGAATAATAGCGTCAGGATTGGTGGTTTATCTTCAGACATGGTGTATCTACAAAGGCGGTCCTGTCTTTGTCGCAGTCTTCCAGCCTCTCCAGACACTTCTAGTTGCTGCAATGGCGTTTCTTGTTCTCGGTGATCAGTTGTACTCTGGAAGGTAAACACATCGAAAGCGAGATTATCCGGGTTTTTCTTCATTTCGGTCGCTCGTTCTAATTCAATCTTTGCTTTACAGGATTGTTGGAGCTGTGTTCATAATGCTGGGGCTCTACTTAGTTCTTTGGGGCAAAAACGAAGAAAGAAAACAGGTGCTTGAAGAGACGAGTCAACAAGATCCAGAGTCTCTGACCAAACATCTACTTGAAGCACAACACAGGAAGGGTAATTCTGAATCTGCAGTGTAAGAAGGTTTACACTTTTGCAAACACGACGCAAATATATCTCTGTACATACACACAAGATTGGTTCCATAAGAACTTGGCGAATACACAGTGGGTCTCTCATACAATGGATATTCTAGTCGTTTACGTTTCAAGTTGTAATCAAAATTGGGTTGCAATTGAATTTATGAATAAATGAAAAGATAATTTCAATTACGTTGACGACAGAGAAACAAATAGTAGCATATCTTGCGATCTGGTCTGGTTGGAGAAAGACCAATGCGCTGTAGAAACTCATGTTCATGCAATTGTGTCCTGTCATACTTTCTTTCAACGAATCTATGACATTTGTGAGCCAGACTAAGATTATTCAGATAGGCTGGCTAATTTTCTGACCCATTTCAAGCATTTGAGTCCCAGAAATTGAAGTTTTTGATTCTGTCCCTACCATTAGACTATTATAAGTTAAATAACCAAATTTATCAACATATGAAAAAAAAAGAGAAATCTTGATATATCAAGTCACTAGAAAGAAAACCACTCAAACAAAACCACAAATAAGACCACTTAGCAAAAAGGAGTCTAAATTCAACCATTGTGCAAAACGCCAAACAGAAAGATAAGAAACAAAGCTTAGATAGAGCAAGACAAGTGTTCTTGGACCTGTTTTGAGTGAAACTACCACACTACCTCACAGTTACGATGTCATCAATCTTCAAGATCATCCTTACGCATTCAGTTGCCAGAGTGATCGCGCTGGTACTCACAAGCAGAGGCTGAACCACGTTTTCCTCCAAGATATTAGTGATTTGACCTTTCCTTACATTAATCCCGGAGTTGATTTCCCCTTGAGCATGCTTGTTCCTGAGTTCAGTCACAATGGCAATAGGGTTCAACCCTGCATTCTCGGCCAGCGTGTATGGAATAACCTCGAGAGCTTCAGCGAAAGTCTTCACACAGTAACCTTCCATCCCATGGAGCACCTTAGCCCAAGCACCTAGCTGCCTTGAGAGCTCAATCTCTGGTGCACCACCTCCTGCAATCAAGAACCTCTTGCTCACCAGGCACCTGACAACACATAAAGCATCGTGTAGACTCCTCTCGGCTTCATCCAGAACAAGCTGGTTGGAGCCACGGACAAGAACAGAGGTAGTTCTCCCCATGTCTTTGATTCCAGTGATCTTCAAAATCTTTCCATCTCCAAGGGAGGCCTCTTCAACAAGATCAGCATGGCCAAGCTTCTCAGCTCTGAAATGTTCAATGTTGGCGATTGGCAGGCAATTCAATGTCTTGGTGACGAATTCAATCTCATCCCTCTCTACATCCTTGATTACCATGATTTTGGCTTTAGCCAAATAGTGAAGAGATAGATCAGTCACAGCATCCCTCAAAATACTCTTCTGGATCAGCAGAACATTGCAACCAGATGCCTTGATCTTTTTAATCATCCCCAAGATGTAATTCCTCTCTTCTTTCAAGATCCTATCCATCTGAGTATAATCAGAGACAACAATACTCTGCTCAATGTCAGTCTTTGGGGGTGAGATCTGGAACTGAATCACAGCGATCTTAGCATTTTCCATTCGAGTCGGTCCACCAGCGGCATGGCTCACCTTCTTGTCAAAAACCAAACCTTTCACCGGATGTGTATCATCCACAGTACCACCAAGCTTCTTAACAATCTTGATATCACGCAAATCCACTATTTCTGGCTTCGCCGGATCTATAACAGAGAGAACCGCATCTACAGCTAAAGGAGCAAGCAATGTGGAGTACTGGCTAACGACCTTACTGTTAAGCGACGTGCTGGCGGATTTGACGAGCGAATCTCGGTCAGTGAGCTCGACCGGGACAGCCATGGCGGTCAAGATATCAACCGACTTCGCGCAAGATTTGTGAAGCGCATCTGAAATGACAGTAGGGTGGATCCCAGCCGTGAGAAGGGTTTGACACTCCTTGAGAAGCGCACCGGCTAATACTACGACGGTGGTGGTCCCATCTCCGGCGGCCGAATCCTGCGATTTGGAAAGCTCGACCAACATCTTCGCCGCTGGCTGCAAAACCTCCATCTTGTTGAGGATCGTAGCTCCATCGTTAGTGATGATGACCTCGCCACTCGCGGTCGAAATCATCTTGTCCATGCCCTTTGGCCCCAAACTCGTACGAACGGAGTCTGCGACGGCGCGAGCAGAGTTGATGTTCGCAAAACGGACATCTTCCTTTCGCTTGTTGTCTACGAACGATTCCGACTTGGATGCGCGGGGCCTCGATGCCATGGGTGCCGTTACCGCCGCCATCGAAGACTATAACCGAGAAGCTTGAGATCTGATTTGTGATTTCAAGAGGAAATGAGCTCGATCAGTGTTACGAAAAGAAAAAATGGGAAATTTGCAGAAAACCCTAGAAGAAGAAGTGTAAGATGTGAGTTCTGGAAATGAAAGAGAGAGAAAGGGAATTTTTTTAAAATTCTCTAGGGTTTACGCTGAATGTTTGGTGCACGGGCTAATCTATTTCATTTTACTTATGGGCCTATTTAGGATTTTGTTAGTTATTCTGTATTAAGCCCAAAAAGCCCATTATTGATCTCCTATTATGGAACCAAACCGAAGCGAAAATCGGTTTAACTGCCTGAAAACCTCAGCCACCGTATCTGTCACCGGAACGGGAAGTGGTTTTGGTCGGAGAACTCGCAGGGTTTTATACATGTTGAAGTCAACTATTGGGTTAGAATGGAGAAGAAGGTCGGAATTTCTCTATCTTCCGAGACACAGCTTTCGCTATCTACAGTCTGCTTCCCACTACCATGAGCAAGTCACTGATGATTTCGACCCTTACTATGAGCAAAGAATGGTGGGATTTGAATCTTGTTAGATATAATTTTTTTGATCGTTATGAGTATCAAGAACGGAACTTTGTTTGATATATTGTGCAATTTTTTTTTTGAATTTTAATGTTGTTTGTCTGGTCAATTAGACTCAATTTTATCAAACTAGTGATTATTTTGTGAACCATTTTCTAATTATTCCAGGACGATGGTGAGATTAATCAATGGAGATTAAGATTTTCCGCGTTTCTCGAGTCGAAATATGAGCAAGAGATTGTGTCTCAGAATTGGCATGGTTTTCAGAAAATCTCAGAATTGGCATCAAGAATGGGATTGCATAGGTATTTTTGTGTCCTGTTATGAGGTGAGAAATGTACTTGATTCTCTGAGGGTTTCTTTTGCCTCTAAAGCTTTTGGAGATATGATCTGTTGTTTTGCAGCCTTCAGTATGCCAAAGCTGTTGTGTTTAGCAAAGCTCCTTTGCTAAGATATAGAAGTGATCTTGATGAAAGGCGCTTGCGAAGAGAGGTGTTTCTTTGATCCCTTTTTTTTTTAACACTTTTGTGCTATTCACTGAAATTAGGAGGTAATACATATCTTAATTTCTTTTCTCTTGGATTCAAAAAGGTGGTTTTGCCATTTAGCGTACAAAGCGAAGTAGATGCTCATCTTCAGGCTTTTCTCGATGACAAACAAACAGGGATTCTGGATATTCCTAAATCCAAAAGAACTGGACTTTTAGCTACTGGTGATAGACACTATGAGAAATCAGAGCCTCCTTTGCCGGAAAATCTTGCCAATCTCTTGCAAAGAATACTCCATACGAAGAGTTTCCAATTGAAGAATATGCAACAGAACTGGCTGGTTGGTTGCTCTGAAGCTTTACTCTTCTTTTGGCTATAACATGTTAATGGGTCTCACTTTTCATTTTTATTTTGCAGAATTCTCCTCAAGGCCAGAAAATGCTTGAGTTTCGTGAAAGCCTTCCTGCATACAAAGAGAAAGATGATCTATTTCTCTGCCGGTAATTACAGTGATCATTTGGCACTGGTTCGAGCATACGATGGGTGGAAAAAATCCCAAAAAGAATGGAGTGGTCAAGCATTTTGCTGGAAGAACTATCTTTCTCCTCAAACTCTTAAAGCCATAGACTCTATGAGGGAACAGTTCCTCTGTCTCCTCGAAACGCCTCTCTGGTATGTAACATTGAAGAGTGCAATAAGCTAAGCTATGACGAACATCTTGTCCGCGCAATCATCTGTGCAGGCTTGTTCCCTGGAATTTGCTCTGTTGTGGTCAGTCTTTTTACCTTGTCGCTTCTCATCTAACCATAATCTTTGTTCCACCAGATTTTGTTGTAGTCAATGTTAAAACTATTGTTGGTACAGAATCTTGTGAATAAAACTTCATTCGAGACAATGGATGACAAGCAGGCGCGTCTGTGCTCTGTAAGTCCCCTTTTATGATTTGAAGTTTTCAACATAAGCAGATCATTTCTTTGAAGTTGCTAAGTAACCATCTTGTACTGTGTAGAACACTGTGATTGGCTTGATACCATAGATTCCGTATCCTTGGCTAGTCTTTAACCAGAAAGTGAAAGTTAATTCTGTTTCTTTCCGAGACTCCACCGGTGTATCTGATTCTGCACTTCTTTTGTTTGGAGACAAAATCTCTCCCGGTTCAACTGTAAGTATAGTTGTATATAAATATCTCTCTTATTCTTCTATCATCTTTCACATCGAAGTGTTTCTTTGTAGGATGGTCATCTAACAATGCTGGGAGGTTTTCTCGAGTTTTTCATGAGACCTTCTCTGGCAAATACTTACCTTGCGTTGAAAACTGAGCTCGACCAACTTATTCAGACTAAGGTAACACACACAAAATGAAAACTTCCTAAAGGCCTTAGAGTCTGTATTTTGAAACAATCCTTTTGTGTGTCAGTGTGATTCATCAAAAACCTTCTTTTGTTTGTTTGGTTTTTTCTTGCTCTTTCTTTTCGAATAGCTTGAGCATCCAAGACTAGAGAACAAGCTCTACGAAAATCTCATATCAGCGATAAGGTTACTTGTTTCTAAAGACGAATGCGAGGGCCGGTTTGTCCCCAACCATCAAGTTCTAAGCGAATACACTCAGGCATACAATGGTGAGGAAAACTCCAAGAGCCAGCTTCGAAGATTGATAAACCGGGCTGGATACAAAACACCTGTTTACAATTCAACAATGGTGGAGATTGGTGAGCAGCGGTTCGTAGCTAAGGTCGGTTTTGGCGAGTTGGAGTTTGAAGGAAAGCCATGTGAGACTGAGAAAGATGCAGAGGAAGATGCAGCTCACGAGGCTTTGATGTGGTTACAACGAGAGGCTAAAATGAGTGTGAAGTTTCTCCTATAAGCTATAACAGTCCAATTTGTGGAAGAAAAAGAAGAGAACCGATAGATTTGCTATCCCGCTTCTCAATGGGCCTGGTATGGGCTTCTCCCAGACAATTGGGCTTTATGGCACATCAGACAATTCTCTCGGCAGTGGAGCGAGTGTGGACATCGTAACTTATGCCCTAAGAAATAAATTTGTATAGAGGCTGTTGTGTTGTATCTTTGTCTTATACATGAAAAAATCTTGGAGCTCATAATGTTGATTCATGTCTCTATATGTAATTGTAAAACAATCTTTGACTTTTCCACAAAGTGAATATGGATCCATAAAATGGAAAGTGTTTTATGATAAATATTCCGATCCGACTACAAGAATTTACAGTATACGAATGCAGTAAATATGTGTATTTTACACAGACTGCCTCTCCAATAACTCAAAAGCTTTAACAAGAACCGGCTTGAACCGGTTAATATCAACACTCACATTCTGCTGTACCAAATAAACCGACTTGAACGTTTCCCACCCGCGTTTCACAACCGCCGGTGGATCTCTCACGATCTCATGATCGCGTCCGTACTTCTTCGCCAGCGAACTCTCCTCCGCCTCGATCTTGTACTCCAAATACCTCAGATTCATCCCCTTCGACGGATCCTCGAAATCCGTCTTCGCAAGCCACTCGAATCCACCGATCGGAAGAATCTGAACCACGACCGCGTTTTCCGGCAAGAACACCATGTTCGTCAGCCCCGCGCCGTGAACGCCGAGCATCACCTCGCACGAATTCACGATCTGCGCGAAACTCGCGACGCCTGTGTTCGCTTCCGCCACCACGACTTTGAACCCGATTCGTCTCGCAGCCTTAGCGATCTCGCCGGCGTTTACGAACGCTCGCGATCTGCTCCTCGATAAAATCAGAATCCGTGGCCTCCGCCGCCGAATCTGTCTCGTAGCCACGGCGGCGTTTCTCAACGAGTATGCGTCTCTTAAGAATTTGCGGAAATCGGACATTGAGTACTCCGAATTCGAAGGATCGATCGTTAGCTCTTTGAAATACTCAGGGTGGCGATTGAGACCGACGGTGACGCTGCTGAAACAGTGCGTTTCGTCTTCTTCGTCGATGTAAATCACTTCGTAATTCGAGAGATTACTCACTATTTCCTTGAATTTGTTGACCCACGATGGATGCTTGTTCGTCACGAGGAACTGAACTTCTCCGTTGAATCTACGCGCCGTCATGTAAAGAGGAATCACGATGTCGGTGAAATCGTGGAAGTTGTTCATCGAGTAGCCTCCCAGAGAGAAGAGCATCGCCGGGACGCTGTGATTCCTGACGCAACGCGAGAAATTAGCGTTCTCTAATTGGTCGGCGTTTTGGGCCAGTTTCACCGTCCATTCTCTCACGCGATTCATCGCCGCAACGTCACCTTTTCTCGCGTAAGGTCTCATACGCCACGTGGAATTTCCCGAAAACGCAAACGTGATGGCCGCCATTACAGTCGCGGATTTACCGTGGATTCTCACGTCACCGTTTAATTCGCAAAACTCTGTTCTTGCTAGCTTTGTACATATAGGCTTCATCTTTTCCTCCATCTTATCTCCGTCTGAAAATTCACCATACATTAAAACATTGTCAGAATCATATAAGTAACAAATAAATTGATTAAAACCATAACGAATGAAGACAATTTGCTAAGAATATAAACCTGAAATAACTTGTTCTTTGGAGAATGTAGTGTTCTTGGGCAAACTTGTGTCGTTACAGACACTAAGATCGTGGTCTTCAGAACTTATCAAGCTCTGAGTATTTTCATTTGATGTAATGTTATTTTGATTCGTAGGAACAATAAGTTTCTCAGAATCACCAGATGTTGCATTGTTGATACTTATTAAGGCTTCCGGTTTTTGCTGGTCTGTTATTCTCAGCATCCTGAGACCAGCGTCCACTGATAACTGCAACTCCACTGAAGAAAGAAAGAAAGAGATGTGTTATAGAAATTCTTTTTTTCTGTTCTTTCTTGCGTTTTGAAAACGTGGTAAGGGACTTACCGATTGGCAATGGACTGAGATAAGGTTTAAAGACGGTGCAAAGAGTGAAGACGAAGAGAAGAGAGGCAATGAAAGCTCCATACCCAAGTCTCTTCTGCTCGTTTTTGCTGAAGCTACGAGCAAGTATTGTATCGAAAAGAAGATCCTTCTCTGTCATATTTCTGTCTCTTAAGTTACACAAAAAAAAAGAATTTTTTCTTTCTTGTGTTGCAAGAAAACTCTAGAAACAGGGTTTGCTCGCTAATGTAGAGAGATATGAATGAAGGTGGGAGAGAGTGGATTGTGTGAAGTATTTAAGAACTTGTTCGACGACATTGGTCCTGACTCGTGTCTAATGATTGTTTCTGTTAATGTCGGGATTTTAAGACAGTATCAAAAAGAAAAGTTTTAGGTGTTGAAGATGGAAGATTTTAAAAGAACATTTCAGTGTATTATTAAAAGAAAACGATTTTATTGATTTATATAAGTCTAGGGATTGTCGGCATTGAAGAGGAAGTATTTGGAGGGCATGAAGTTGTTAGTAGAAGAAGAAGTCTAAGTAAGCAGCTTAATGAATGCTCCCCACGATTCTTCTTTTTAGCTTCGTTTAATAAAAACAATGGATACTACTAATACATTAAGGAACACCAAACAAAATTATCTAAACTACGACTTGCAAAAACAAAACAAAAAGGTCTCGAATTATAACACCATTGGAATCGCAAGTTCGTAGCTAATATACTTATATATTCTTAAATTTGGAGGATATAGATTTTGTGTAAATTAATTGAAAATGTAGATGAAATAGTTTTTTCTTACAAAACAATATCATGTTTTCCAAAAGTAGGTGTCGATCGTAAATCATCATCGGTTAGTTTAGGAAGCACAGCATCATGCGTTCATACGCTAAGATTACACTGAGTAAAGGGTGAACATGCTTCAAATTTACAATCGGATTGTAAAAATGGTTTGTCAACTGTTTCAACGACGCATCCTTATTAAATCGAATCATACAATAATAAGAAATAAATCAAAATGTTTTATTTTGGACATGTTCAGAATAATTAAAAAAAATAAGAAATGAAAGGAACTTTGTAGTTGACTGTTATGACACAGCCAAAATCTAAATGATTGATTGATTGTTCATTGTTTAGTTTTTAGTTTCCTTGAGACCAATTAGCGAAGGAGGCAGAATCAAAATTTGGCCCTGAAAGCTATGAATCAACTAACAGTTGGTGAAGTTTTTCTAGATTTATGTTAAGCTTGGTTGTTCAATGGTCTTTGGACTTTTCAAACAATCTCTCATTATATTTTTCATTTTTGTCTACATATATATCAATACAATAATTAATGAATAGTCATGTGTAAAAAATCTCTATCTAACTACTGACTCGGTTGAAAAAATCATGCATCAAGTAGTTAACCGTAATTATTCGTTACCCTATAATCTAATATCAATGGATGACGAAAATAATAGAAATGGTTTGTGACTTTAAATGACATAGGCGGATGTGATTGACTTAATTCTGAAATCGTATAATCAACAAAAAAAAAATATGTACTGGTTATAATCATTGGTGCATTTTGTTTTCAATCATGATTACTTCTCTTATTATTTTTTGCTATAACTTGAGTCTTACTACTGGAATCTTGAGGACTATATCTACTCTTAAGAAAACATGTATTTAATAATCCAAAACGTGCGGTGATTACCTCAACACCCAATCGAAATGTTTTAAGCAAAATATGGTTTTTTTTTTCCATTAGTTAGGTGATAATTTATAAGAAACATCATAATAATAGCAATATATGAGAGTTGTTAAGCAGGAAAGAGACATTCTAACAAGATCCGCGTCTTATAGTCTATTTGGTGGGTCGCATGACGACGTACGTGTGCACCTTCCAGTATACGTATTTGTATATACATATATAAATATATATATATATATATTGGTAGTGTAATCGGTTAGAGATTAATAATTTATTTTTATGACCAAATGGAGCAAGATCCAAAAAAGATTATGAGCAAATTAACGATCCATAGCTTTCTGATGTTTTAGACAATAAGTATTACGTTTTACAAATGCTGAAGAATTGTTTACAGTGTACAATGCATGGCTATAGTTCTATGCAAGTAGAAAATTTCATTCATATAACACGAAACCACAATCAAATAATTAAAAATATAGAAATGTTGGAAGTTGGAACTTCAGGAAAGAAAACGACACTCACAATCCACTATAAATAGTTACATTTTCACACATGTTTGCTTACGGTTGGTCTTGAAAGGATACACTCGCAATGAAAAGGGTAGCCGATAATTGCATTAAATCCTTTTATGCACGTCTTACTTCCATCCTAGCCACAATTTTCATTGAAAATTTGTTCACACCTTCGCGTTAATGAAAAGGATTAAGGCGTCAAATACCTCAGTTATTTTGTACTCGCAATATTTATATAAAAAAGCTGTTAAATTGTAAGAAAAAAAATGTCCAATAAGCAATTGATGACTAAATGATATTTTAGAACCGTTTTCTTTGTACCGTGAAAAACTAATGAAAATCATAGAAAAAAAACAATATATTACGTACCTTTCACATGTTTGAGAATGAAGAACATGAGAACTCAAGAACGTGAACAATGTAGTATAGACTTCCTGATTCAACCAAAATGATAAAAATATATTTTCTTTGATACATGCAGAAACTTCTTGTTTGTTCGACTCTTGTGGCATAAATGACTCTTCATCGATGTACATATTAAAAGTAGTTCACTTCAGCTAATTTAGGAGAGGAGAAATGGAGAAGTGTAAAACCAAGTCAACGAGATTTACAAGATTTAAAGGTCTCATTAAAATTCATTTTCTTACTATATACTGTAGTAAAGAATGAGAGAGAAAGTAGGAAGTAGAAAAATGAAGATGAAAAAGAATGTGACATGTAAAAAAAAAAACCTCCATCATAAATTGTAAACCGGTCACTGCATCATTCTAAAAATGTGATTTGTTCGTTACATAAACAGAAACACTCATTGCCTAATATATTTCAGATAAAATCATTATCATATACTATAAATAATATGGTTGAAAAACAAACATTCAAATATAGAGAAGACATGATAGATTGATAGAAGGTTTTAAAAAAAACATCATTTTTCACTAACAAATCTTATACGATTTGCTTAAGCAAGGGCGACGCCAACAGCCCCCAGCAAGGTTGTCTCACTGCGGTTGAAGCGGCTTGGCACTCTCTAGTTTCTCTTCTAAGTTCCATCCCCTGAAACGCAACCGCAAGAGTTTTAGTTTTACGCTTAAATACAACTCTTGAGTGATGCAAAGAGGTAAGACCAAATTTTCTTCACCTTTCAGCAGCTTCCCTTTTGAACGAATCGAGTTGTGTCTCAAGCACGGCACAAGCAGACTGAATCTCCATATTCTTCACACAGAGCTGTCTCCATTCTTGAGACAGAGCATTGAGCTCGTACGCTGTGGTTTGCTGATGTCGCCACACAACAAAGATTCAGATTACCATGTAAACCAAAGACAAGGGTGCAAAGATGAAAGTGTAAAAGTACTTCAAAAGTAGTATTACCTGATGATACTTCCTTTCACGATTTACTTTTTCAATTTCCACGTTCTGCTCCTGAGCTAGTCTTTGCATTCTGTAAAAATATAGACCAAGTAGAGTGTTGAGATCAATCTTGCTGTGTTTAAGTTCCACAAATCAGAGATTAGGTAAGACCTAGAGACTGACATGTCCCAAGTACATGAAGCACTTCTTATGTTTCATAAGAAGAAAGAAGCTCTCACGCAGAAAGAACATGAAGAAAACCACAAAGCAAGTCTCATGTACAGAAGCCAAAGAAGCATCTTATGCAATAAGATAGACAACAAAGATATCAAGAATGCTCCCACAGATCATCTATGATAAATACATTCCATCAACCCTTTTAATCCCAAGTTACAATGTAACGACAGACAATTCAACCAATGCTGCTGTACATATATATTTAAACAAACCTGGTCAAGAATACTTCTAGCCGATGGTTGTTCTGTCTCCAAAGCTCGGGACCATGTTTTGACATCAATTCCAAATTCTCAAGCCTGTGAATGAACAAATACACCACGATTTTAAGAGAGAAATACAGTATGTAACAACTCGTCAGAAAAGAATCATGCATAGAAAGTTAAGAATTTATGCTTACTCGATCATCTTCTGTTGCAATGACCGTTGATTCTTCTGAAGATACTGCTTCCAGGCAGCATCATCATTTTTCTTACTAGCAGGAGGCAGTTCAAGCTTGTATCGGGATTCAAAATCGATCCGCACTGGAGGCTTCCCAGCTCGAACACGCTCATACTCTTTGCCAAGAACTGGGCAGTTCTGACCAACCAAAGAAGTCAAAAACATTCAATACATGAGGCATTGAATAAAAAATTTCCCCAGTTTAACTAACACTTGAAACTAACTACAATATCATAAACAGTTCTTCTACTTTCAAGAGAAGCTATATACAATCAAATCTCCAGAAAAAAAATCTTTATCAATGAAGTGACTGAAAGAAAAAGAAAAGTTCATTTCAAAAAAAAAAAGAAAGAAAAGAAAAGGTAATCTGCTCATGAGGTTCCATCCAGTCGTAATATTCTAGTTGATTCAGAACCCATAAACACCTACCGAAAAAGAGCAAGAGCTATTACATAGCAAAGCAAGAATTGACAATGACTGTAATTCCAAGATGAAGCAAAACCCAAAAACGGAAAAAGAAATCGGAACTTCATCGAATTCGCTCTAAACCCTATTCCAACAAAATTTCCCAGCTCGCGCTAGGAAAAACGAACAAACAAATTGAAAAGTGGATTCACAGTGAAATTCACCTCGAAATCGAACTTTGGAAGAGGAGGCAACTCCTTGAGAAAATCAGCCGGCTTCCTAGAGCTCCGACGCATTTCTTCTTCCACCAAACGGTCGACCTCCGCCTTAATCAGTGGATTACCGTAGTCATCGTCGATATAAGGAAGCGCATCGATAACTTCTGCGTTCGCCGCGCTCGCCCATGGCCTCGCAGCCTCCGGCGCCGCCTCCAGCATCAATACGTCTCCATTGTTCGTCGCCATGACCGCCTCCACTTCCGATATTGCAGTCAGAATTTGCCGAGAGTGAAAGAAAGAGAATCGACACCCATGTGAAGAAAAAAATAGTAGCTACCGGTTCCGAAGACCCGACCCGGTTCCATTGGGCCTCGGATAGGGCCCTGCAAATTAAAAGATATGCGTTTTTCCTTTTTTGGTTGACCAATATGAATATTTTGATGACTTGAACAAAATCATATATTTGTATACCAATATCAAATGTTTTGATACATACTGTATTGAACAAATTATTCTAGAGATGTTTAATTTTACTATGTTGGTTATTCATTGATGAAAAAACAGAAGTAAACAAACAATCAATTTGGCAATTTGCGGATTATAGTGGCATATTTGAGTATAGCAGAGTAAAAAAGAGTTGAACTTCAGGCAAATCTCGGATGAGTTGCAAGAACCGGTTCTTGTCCGGTTCAGCTGAAATCTCCGGCATAGTCTTCTCAATCTGTGGTAAGAGCTTCGCCAATTGCATCCCCGTGGCCAAACCGGTCTGCTTTTCCATCTCTTCTGTTAAGGCTACGGCACAAGACTTGAGCGAGATCTCTGCTACATTTGTAAATTCAGTGCTGCAACAAGAAAAAGAGACCAAGAAATTTTTACATGACTGCAACCAAGAAACATCTTTTTTTTTCTTGCTTTGAGCATCAAGCAGATATGAGGACAAGAGTGTAAAGAAGTCAAAGTGTATATCTTTTGCGGGACAAAGAGCAGAGACAATTTCACCTTGTGAGTACTTCCCGTGTCTCGGTTATGAGTTGATGAAACTTGGTGACAGTTGTATCTGAAGAGGAAACATCAGTGGTGGTGTCTCTTGGAAGCATTGTTGTGTCTTGGGCCACCATTAAATAATCAACCCAGAGATGTGGACTTCCAGTGCTCATAAACACATCAAGAATCCGGATCACATTGTCTTGAAGAACTCTTGTGGTTAACACATCCTTTAACTGCTTTCTGCAATCAAACAAGCATCATTAGATTTCATCTTTACAAAGTATAATGATCTCCTTATTGGCGTTTGCGGAACCAATGAATCAACATTTAAGGATGACAAACAAGGGAGAGAATTTTGATAATGTAGTGTACCCCTTTAGAACTTCTTTCACTGCACTCTTCATATTTGAAATCAAACTCGGCATGCCATTGGTCGCAAGATAATCAGCACTTGTCAAAAACTTTTGTTCGTCATCTCTATCTATGAGATCTAACTCTTCCTGTGAAAGAAAAGGAACATGTAAAGAAAATATGTTGATAGAGATTGTGATAATCCAACAAATGGAACAAGAATTAAATGTAAGACCAACAGTAATATCGTAAGGAAAATAATATAAAGGATGTCGAATACACAATAGTAATCCATAACACCCTTGAATCTCAATTTGAAAACTTGTATTTCGTGTCAGATTTGAAGAAGAAACATTGCAACAAACAGAATGCAATTACACAAAATTTATCAAAACGACCAATTTGCAAGTAGTGGATATTAAATGATATCATAAAATTAGCATACTGAATCTTACAACCAGAAGGGAGCAGCTTATAAGTCACGAGCCATTCATAAACAAACAATGATTCTTCAGACATAATAAAAGAGGTTAGTAAAATGTCTTACAAGTAAATGGGAGCTGCCAAGACCTCTAGCAGTGTCGATATATAAATGTCTGCCCAAAATGTTGACTTGAACCCTAATGTACAAACTAAGCATAGTGACTGACCACAGCGACAAAACCATCCTCGTGAAACCTGCAAAACAAACACATAAGAAACGGTCAAATGAGAAAATCCAATAACATATACAGCAAGAGAGCACACAGCAAGCAACTACTCACTCAAAATTTTGAGCTCATTCCAGAGTTGAAGCTTCTCGGGAGGAGTCAATGTTCCTTTTCCTTTGCTTAGCCTCTCCATAATACTAGAGACATCGATCTCCTCAACAATGCGGCTACTCAAGTGACGCAATGCGTGAGGCAATGTTGTAGTATCAGCAATCATCTGAATGTTCTCGAAATGGGACTTCATTCTAGCAGAGTATAAAGCAAAACCAAAAACAAGCAACAGCACTAGAAATTGAGAAACTGTTCGGTTTGCATATGAGAAAAAAACGGAACTTGGCAAAATCAAACTAGTTTTAATCTTCTGTTGTTTCAAAAACTTAACTGGGTTTTGATGATTTCGTCATTTTCACGCTCGTTGGCAAGCTCACGTTCCAAATCGGCGAGCTTACGAGTATGAGCATTGTATAGTTTATAGAGCAAATACCCACTTCCCAAACAACTAGTCGTCACCAAAATCTTCCTTCTGTGCTTCCTCCAGAAACCCCTAAATTTTTCAACAAAACCGAATCAAAGATATTATCTAAAACCCCACGGAGCTGAAATCAATAGCGAGAGAAAGGAGCACCAAACAGAATATAGAGTAGAACAGACCTGACTAAATCCATGGCCTTTGAAGCTATTGGATTCGAACCAACGAATCCATGGCTATAGTTTTAAAACATAGAGCTAAAAGAGGTATACAAAGAGATTGAGAATGGTAGAGATAAGGAAAGGAGGCTACGGTTCCCTTGTCTCTCGTTTGATTTGAAGGGAAGATAAACTTTATAAAAATTCCGGCGAGAGATTGGCTTTTAGTTCCAGTTTTTCCGATCTCCGCCCTCTGTGAAATAATGAATGTTATCACTTCAGGCCACACCGAGATTCTCTAATTGGAGGAGAATCTCCAACACAGAAATGACAGAATCACCTTTTGTTTATTTAACCGAACTAAACCGAATCAATGTCTTAGGTCAAGTTTATGGGAAAGCGAATATAACTCCGGTCTAATGAAATTTAACCGAGCTTACTCTGAATCGAGTGACCGGTTTATTAGTTTATGTTCGCTTTAGAAGAAATCTGAACAAGTCTGAATATGGTTTTCGGCTTTTCGCTAGTAAATCAAACCGAACTCTGTTCCTGGAGGCCATTTTGACAAAACATGTGATCAACAAAATTGTAAGTAAGTATCCATTGGTTATAAACTTATCATTTCAGACATTCATTGCTAATTTAGGTACAATATCGAAAACCAACATTTATTAAGATGGACCAACATTACTAGTCTCTTTCGTATAATTTATTGAATAATGAATGTTCAACCAAAAAATGGTTCCAATGACATTTCGGTTTTGAGTTGGGCCCACGCATAGAAAGCACTTCAATTAAATCCTTCTAAGAAGAAAATTAGAGACTTCCTAAACTTCATGAAAATCAAGCAAGAAACATCTAAAAGAAAAGGGCAAAAGAACTCTTTGCCGTACTTAGAAAACTTATGGTTGACAAAAAAACTAACTAACAATTGTATACTTAAATCTCCAAAACAATTTTTCCTAAATAGTCAGACAAATAAAGTAAAGTCTTGTTTTAGTATATGAGGATCGACGTAAAATGTTCAGCAAGACTCAAGACCAAAACACTATGAATCACCACTTATATATCTAGTGTCGGCGAACACAATGGAGACATTGTTGTTGTTGTTGTCGTGAGGAAGTGTCTGATCCATCTCTTTAAACCCTCTTGCTTCAAGGTGACAGTCACTTAACCGTACCACCATTTTCTCTAAGGTCTTTATGCTTTTAAACATAAGTTCCATGAATGTAGCCACGCGCTTTGACTCTTCATCCCGAAGGGACTTGCTCCATCGAAACCCCTGCTGCTCAACAGAAGTAAACAAACAAACATTACATGGTTCATGGATGATTCAAACTCGTTGACAGTTAGCTTGGTCAAGGAAATATAAGAGAGGTTTATGGTAAATATACCGGTTCGGTCTTGCAAGTTCTTGCGTGTACTGTTAACCTCTTTAAATAAGGTGAGTTTTGCAACAGTCTTTCTATACCAGGAGGAATAACATACTCAAAGAGAAATGTCTCAAGAGTCAAAGCTTTGACGTTGAACACCGGAAAAGGAACACCACGAAGCTTGAGACGAGATAAAATCTAACACAGAGAGTAAGGAGAAATAGTAAAATAGCGTGCACATAACATAGATTCGAAGGTATCTAAACTCCTTATATAAAATCAAAAGCATAACTATAGTGAAAACTAATCATCTGCAAACGTTGACTATGCAACCAACTGATATATTCAACAAGAGTAAATTAGGTAAGAGAGTAATGCAAGACCGAGGCCAAAAACATATATACCTGAAGAAAATTTTCCCCAATAGTAAGCTTGTCGACGTTATGCAACTTTTCTAACATTTCTTGCATCTTTCGCACAAAATCAGCAATGGTTTCGTCAAGTGAGCTGTTCCGGAAGACCAGATTAGCTTCAGCTAAAGACGAGACATCAACTAAAGTACATGGTAACTGCGAGTTTGTCAGCTTGAGACAATGGATATGTGGTGCCACAATCTGCATTGGCGTTGGCCTATAGTGGGGATCCACTTCTAATGTTTTTAGACTCGGTGAATTGCTGAGATCAAAAACAGTCAGCTCATAGCAGAAAGACAATGTCAAGCTCTGGAGAACAGGACAACCAGATAGAATCGTAGCCAAGGATTCATCGGAGAGTCTACAATGACTCAATGTAAGTTTCTTGAGGGATGTCCAAGACACGGAGCCTCTGGGAATCATAGCAGTAAAAGATAAGCTGAGTTCCTTGAGAGAGGAATCTATGTAGAAGGAATCAGGAGGTATATACTTATATCCACTTTTAAAATAAAGTTGCAAGTAAATATTCTCCACTTTGCGGGACTTGGCCAGCTCGATCCAACTGTTGATGTGCTTAACATTGCAGACCATGCCGGTTCGGAGGTGTAAACTCATCATCTTGGGAGCAGTGTAACGATCCTGGATCATGCTTCTCGAAGCAGCTAGCAGTGCACAGCTTTCAAAGGAGATACAAGGTGTATCGCACCATATTCGCCTCCATCGTTTGGACAAGAGGGAAGTTCTTATAGCGAATTTGGTCGGCAAAAAGCAGAGGATTTGTTGGAGGAGCTCATCAGGTAGAGAGCTTATTGAATCTACTCCTCCTCCTCCTCCTCCTATGTTGTTTTTGCGGCGGCGACGGTCACCTGTAGCCATCTTAATTTGGGATTAGTTTTTTTGGTTTTTTATGGGTCTAAGGTTTGGGATTTCTGAAGGTTATTTATATCTTTTCTTTTTGAAACAGCTTCCTTTTATTTTCTTTAAATTGAATTTTCAATTCACATACAGCCTTGGGCCCAAAAAAAAATAATGGCTTTTAAATTTTTTTTTTGAATTCATATTACTTAACCCTCCATATGGTTATTAAGTCCATGTCTAACTCTCTATTAGTTTGATATTATTGGCTTTGCGCTCAAATAACAAAGTTCATGATTTAATTTTGGACTCTTTCTTAAAAAGTCCAACAATATCTTAGACACTCTTTGTCTAAACTTACAATATAAATTTTGAATTGATATCCCAACAATTCTCCTTCAAGCCAGCTTTTTCCACCCATCTGCGAAACTTAACACCCATCTTGTACCGCAGTTCACACCAACGAGACTCACCGCCTGACTTTCCACACCGCCAAGAAGACTTTCAATACAAAACACCAGCACCCAATCGCAAGGTAACCTTGAGAATTCTTTTATACTCTGAACACACAGCCCACACCCACTTGTTTAGGTCTATTTTTTTCTGGCTCTAATACCAATTATTGTGCTTTTTAAACTCATATCCAACTTTCTATTAATATTCATTAGAGTCATTTAATAATAATAATAATAATAATAATAATAATAATAATAATAATAAAAAATAATAATAATAATAATAATAATAATAATAATAATAATAATAATAATAATAATAATAATAATAATAATAATAATATAAATGATCTCCAAGCATTATTTCCTAACTAGTCGTACAAATAAAGAAAGTCTCCTTCTAGTATATGATTAAATGAGGATCGATGTAAAAACTGTTCTGCAAGACTCATCAAGACCAAAACACTGTGAATCACTTATATCTAGTGTCGGAGAACACAATGGAGACATTGTCGTTGTTGTTGTGAGGAAGTGTCTGAACCATCTCTTTAAACCCTCTTGCTTCTAGGTAACAATCTTTTAACCGTACCACCATTTTCTCTAATGTCTTTATGCTTTTAAACATAAGTTCTATAAATGTAGCCACGTGCTTTGACTCTGCATCCCGACGGGAATTGCTCCAACGGAAGCCCTATACATACTCAACAGAAAAAAACAAGGTTTTTGGATCATTCAAACTCGTTGACAGTTAGCATGGTCAAGGAAATATAAGAAAGGTGTATGGTTAATATACCACTTCGTTCTTGCAAGTTCTTGCGTGTAGTGTTAACCTCTTTAAATAATGTGAGTTTTGCAACAGTCTTTCTATACCAGGAGGAATGACATACTCAAAGAGAAATGTCTCAAGCTTCAAAGCTTGGACGTTGAACACCGGAAAAGGTAAACCACGAAGCTTTGGAAGAGATAAAATCTAAGAGAGAGAGAGCAAAGAGATAGTGAAATACCAAGATTAGGGTGCACATATGTGATAGTTTTGAAGGTACCTAAATTTATAGAGAAAATCAAAAGCATGACTAATGAAAACTAATCATCCAAAAAAACATACCTGAAGAAAATTTTCCCCAAGAGTAAGCTTCTCGACGTTATGCAACTTTTCTAACAGTTCTTGCATCTTTCGCACAGAATCAGCCTCGGTACCGTGAAGTGAGCCGTACCAGAAGTCCAGTTTAGCTTCAGCTAAGGAAGAGACATCAACTAAAGTACATGGTAACTGCGAGTTCATCAGCTTGAGACAATGGATATGTGGTGCCACAATCTGCATTGGCGTTGGAGCCGAATAGTTGCGATCCACTCGCAATGTTCTTAGACTCGATGAATTGCTGAGATCAAGAACTCGCAGTTCGTTGCAGAAATACAATGTCAAGCTCTGGAGAACAGGACAACCAGATAGAATCGTAGCCAAGGATTCATCGGAGAGTCTACAATAACTCAATGAAAATTTCTTGAGTGATGTCCAAGACACGGAGCCTCTGGGAATCATATCAGTATAGAATATCGAAACTTTGAGTTCCTTGAGAAAAGAATCGGTGTAGAAGGAATCAGGAAACGTATACTTAGAAGTTTTAAACTTAAGTTGCAAGGACATATTCTCCACTTTGCGGGACTTGGCCAACTCGATCCATCTGTTGATGTGCTTAACTGTGCTTGCCATGCCGGTTCGGAGGTATAAACTCATCATCTTGGGAGCAGTGTAACGATCCTGGATCATGCTTCAGTGCACAGCTTTCCAAGGAGATACAAGGTCTATCGCACCATATTCGCCTCCATCGTTTGGACAAGAGGGAAGTTCTTACAGCGAATTTGGTCGGCATTAAGCAGAGGATTTGTTGGAGGAGCTCATCAGGTAGAGAGCTTATTGAATCTCCTCCTCCTCCTCCTCCTCCTCCTATGCTGTTTTCGCGGCGACGACGGCGGCTGTTCGCCATCTTAAGTTGTGATATCTCTTTTTTCTTTTTCTTTTGTTTTGGATCAAAACTTTGGATTTTTTTAGACTATTTATATTTTTCTGAAACAGCTTCTTTTTTTTTAATGTAATTTACATACCGTCTTAAAATTGTTAAACCAAAAAATAATAATAGGTTTTTTTTAAGGTTTTTAAGTCTTTTTAATTTGACGTCTCAGTTCAAATCTTAAATCCACCGACACCATGTTTTAGCCTTTTTGCACCTTTTTTTACACCCGCACAATAAATATCCTCTTGTGGTCACTTTGAACAAAAAGAACTGCTCAAGAATCACATCCAATTGTAGTAAAACCAAAATAACATGCATGCAGTGTCTTCTTAGACCAAAAAAAAAAAAACATGCAGTGTCTAGTTTCATCCGTTTGCTTGGTTGTTCAGCTTCTTCATTCACCTATCGCCTGTTGTTGTTTCTTCTTCAGGGATAGCTAGGATCGACACTCGCATAGTTTTCCTCAGACTCCAACCCTTCTTTTTCTTCCTTTTCATAGCTAAATGCATTTATAATTCCTATATATGCACTGATGAGTTTGACAACAACAAAAAAAAGGGTATGCACTGATGGTTATTTCTTACACTTGTTTAGGTTTGATTGATGACATTACTTAAATCATGTAAAATGTTCAAAATAGCAGACACATTAAACAGATTTAATATATAGATTTAACACTCGTATATCCGAATATATCCGAAAACACTGAAATGGATTCGATATCTAACAAATTCACAACTCATATATTTAATGTTTTATCTCCTTGGTTAAGACCACAATAGAGACATTGCTGTTGTGAGAAAGTGTCTGAACCAACTCTCTAAACTTAAGGTAATGGCCTTCCAACTTGAACTACCATTTTCTCTAATATCAAGAACCCCAAGTTGGCAAAATTCGCAAAGATATAATGTCAAGCTTTTCGAGAATGGGACAGCCAGATAGAATCTTAGCCAAGGATTCATCAGGGAGCTTACAACTACGCAAGGACAACTTCTTGAGTGATGTCCACGACACAGAGCATCTGGGAATCACATTAGCAAAGTAGAAAGCAAGGGTAAGTTGCTTGACAGAGGAACTGATGTAGAAGGAACCAGGAATAGTCTAATTATCATCGGAAGCAAAACAATAAAAATTTAGGGACAGATTCTCAACGTTGCGGGACATGGCACCCTTGATCCACGTGTTGATGTGGGGTATATTCTTCTTCATGGTGGATTTGAGGTAAAAATCTTTGGTCTTCGGAGCTGTGTAGCGAGTTAGGGTTTCGTTTATCGAATCGGCCGTCGTTTTGGGTCTCCCTAGTGGCTGGCATCTTCCGGGACAGATATCAGCGTCTAAGGAGATACGAGGTATATCGCACCAGACATGCCTCCATCGTTTGGACAAGAGGGAAGTTCTGATGGCGAACTTGGTCGGAATAAAGCAGAGGATATGTTGGAGAATCACATCTGGTAATGAGCTTATTGAGTCTTCTTCTTCAACTGCTCTTTTGATTTTGCGATGGCCATCTTTCTTAACTATCAAGCTAAAATAACTTAGCGAGTTTATAGTTAGGTTTTGTATTCGAGTTTAAAATTTATGCAACAATTTTTCTGCTAAACTTACTTTTATAAATAACAAAATGGCGCCTTACTTATTTATATATGACTATATAACCCCAATAGATATAAAATTTGTACAAAAACCACCCCGCGTTCTAAATTGGTAAAACCCTATTTCTTCTTATCATCTTCTGTCTTCTCTTTCTCTACATGATTAAATTTCACAAATTTTCTTCTTCTTTTCCTGTTTTCGATCCTCAATCGCGAAACCCTATATTGAAGATTTTTTTTTTTGTAAGGATCGTCCTGTTCTGTTGAACCTTGGAAAGGGATTAGATTACCCTTTTTCCGCGAATCACCAAAAAAAAGTTTACCACCAAATGTCTGGCTTGTTAATTTGATCGGAAATAAAAAATTGATCGAGAAATGAGTCAGCCTTGTGTGGTTCTCGCAACAGCAAGCTATGATCATACGATCCGATTCTGGGAAGCCGAAAGCGGTCGCTGTTACCGAACCATTCAGTATCCTGACTCGGTAAGCCTCTCTCTCTCTCTTCTTCAGAAAACTCTTCTTAATTGTGTGTGTGGGGGAAAAAAACGACTCAATTTCTTTCTTTGCGATATTTTCAAGCATGTGAATAGGCTGGAGATAACCCCAGATAAGCGTCATCTAGCAGCTGCTTGCAATCCTCATATTAGACTCTTTGAAGTCAATTCCAACAGCCCTCAACCTGTAAATTTCCTTCTTTTTCTTTTCTTTTTCAATGTGCTGTTTTCTTCTGTCTTGTTTGAATGATCTCTGCGAATATCAAATCAGGTGATGACCTATGATTCACACACCAACAATGTTATGGCTGTGGGATTCCAGTGTGATGGAAAATGGATGTATTCAGGATCAGAGGATGGCACTGTTAAGATCTGGGACTTGAGGTAGATTTATGTTATTTTTCATGTTTCTTTCTTGTTGTTGAGTGTTAAAATAGATTCATCATCCAAGACAAGATTTTGGATAAAAAGTCACGGGAATTGAAGCTACTTCTCTTAAGTTGATTTGCAACAAATTGTTGACTCGTAAACTAAAATGTAGGGCTCCAGGTTGCCAAAGGGAATATGAAAGTGTTGCCGCAGTTAACACTGTTGTTTTACACCCAAATCAGGTACCTCAACTAGAAGACTCATCTTTCCGTATTTACTTGAGTGATCTGTGTTGCTGCAGTTAACACAGCTGTGTTTTCTTTTCTGATAGTTGTCTCAGTTGTTATCACAACGTGTTTGGTCTTCATCATGAACTTTGCTTTTTTCTTGTACAGACTGAATTGATCTCTGGAGACCAAAACGGCAATATCCGTGTATGGGATCTCAGAGCAAATTCGTGTAGTTGTGAATTGGTAATTGCCTTGACACGTCTTCATATCTTCATCTTAGTACATTTCTGAGAGAATCTTAGCTTCTTTCACCTTAACAGGATTGTAATCGCTCTTGTGTAACTATAGGTACCAGAAGTTGATACACCTGTACGGTCTCTAACAGTTATGTGGGATGGGACAATGGTTGTTGCTGCTAATAACCGTGGAACATGTTATGTATGGCGCTTGCTGCGTGGAAAACAGGTATTTTTTTACGGATATGAGGCGCCTCTTCTTTAACCGTGCTAATGTCACATTCCTGTATTTCTCATGCCGTTTAAAAAATTCTTTTCGTTTCCAGACGATGACAGAGTTTGAGCCCCTTCATAAGCTACAAGCTCATAATGGCCACATACTCAAATGTCTACTCTCTCCAGCAAACAAGTAATGTGTTTCTTACTCTTTCTTCTTAAACCGTTTTCTTCGTCTTCTCCCCTTCGAAGCTCTTATACATTTTCTGAGCAGATATCTAGCGACTGCATCATCTGATAAAACTGTCAAAATATGGAACGTTGATGGTTTTAAACTAGAGAAAGTTTTAACAGGTACGGTCTCCATGTTTTTATTTCAAAAAAGGTTATTCGTTTCTCCATTACTCTCACTGAACTCTCGTCAATCTTATTTAATAGGACATCAAAGATGGGTCTGGGACTGCGTCTTCTCAGTAGATGGAGAATTTCTTGTAACAGGTACTAATATCCATCTTAAATTATACCACTAGAAAACTTGTGTCTGAAAAAAGAGACAGAACAGTCTTTAAACGGGTTTTGATTATGTATTATGCACAGCATCATCAGACATGACGGCTAGGTTGTGGTCTATGCCTGCGGGAAAAGAAGTGAAGGTGTACCAAGGTCATCACAAAGCTACTGTGTGTTGTGCACTCCATGATTAAAACCTGAATTAAGAATCAAACAAACTAAATAATGAACAGATTAATGATTTCTTTCTTTGTATTGTAGAAAACTTCTGTACATTTGAATCGGATTCGTTTTAAGTTTTCAATTTTTAATTACTCCTCTGATCTCTTTTTTGCGATCATAAGCATTTCTCAACTCTGTGATCTATATATATTGACAAAAGCGCTCTCAACAAATATATGATAGGCCCAATTTCAATTTCTTAAAGTTATACCGGACCCTGAAACATGGGCCCAAATAAGTATTCTCCTTGCAAAAACCACACCAAACCCTAGTCTCCTTATTTTTTGACCTAGAGTATAAATACCTACATTTGACACGCACTCCATTTCTCTCGCTCTGTTACGCCATTTTTGGATTAAGAAGAAGAAGAAGAAACCAGTAGAGTCTCTCCACCAAACCCTAAACCATGGCCGAGGGACTCGTATTGAAGGGCACCATGCGCGCCCACACCGACATGGTCACGGCCATCGCCACGCCGATCGACAATTCCGACATCATCGTGACGGCGTCGCGTGACAAATCCATCATCCTCTGGAAACTCACCAAGGACGAGAAATCCTACGGTTACGCGCAGCGAAGGCTCACTGGTCACTCCCATTTCGTGGAGGATGTCGTTCTCTCATCGGACGGTCAGTTCGCTCTCTCCGGAAGCTGGGACGGCGAGCTCCGTCTCTGGGATCTCGCCACCGGCGTCTCCACAAGAAGATTCGTGGGACACACGAAAGACGTGCTCTCCGTCGCTTTCTCTGTTGATAACCGTCAGATCGTATCTGCGTCTCGTGACCGTACGATCAAGCTGTGGAACACTCTTGGTGAGTGCAAGTACACGATCTCCGAGCAAGGTGATGGTCACAAGGAGTGGATTAGCTGTGTTAGGTTTAGTCCCAACACGCTTGTGCCCACCATTGTCTCTGCTTCGTGGGATCACACCGTGAAAGTGTGGAACCTCCAGAACTGCAAGCTGAAGAACTCTCTCGCCGGACATTCCGGTTACCTCAACACGGTGGCCGTCTCGCCCGATGGTTCGCTGTGCGCGAGTGGTGGGAAAGACGGTGTGATCTTGTTGTGGGATTTGGCAGAAGGAAAGAAGCTGTACTCGCTTGAGGCTGGCTCGATTATCCACTCGCTTTGCTTTAGCCCGAACAGGTACTGGCTGTGTGCTGCAACAGAGAACAGTATCAAGATCTGGGATCTTGAGAGCAAGAGTGTTGTTGAGGACTTGAAGGTTGACCTCAAGGCTGAGGCTGAGAAGTCTGATGGTGGTGTCGGAACTGGTAACCAGAAGAAGGTATGTCGTTTTTTCATACGATTCTTGGGAGTTTTTTCTACTAGTAATTGGTTCTATGTTCATACAAAATGACATTGATCAATATAGAGAATGCACGTGGATCATTTCTACTTAGTCTATCTTTGGTTTTGAAAAAAAGATTAAATTTTTGGTTAGAAATACTATGTTCCAAGGAATCCGATAAATCTCCCATTGGGTTGGAGACCAGAGTGTAGTTATTTAGTTAAACTCGTGACTTTGATTCTTGAGATTGATGATGGTTTTCTAACGGTCAAAATTGTGTAATTGAAAAATGCAGGTGAACTACTGTACGAGCTTGAACTGGAGTGCAGATGGAAGCACGTTGTTCAGTGGTTACACAGATGGAGTTGTCAGGGTCTGGGGTATTGGTCGTTACTAGAGAGACACAAGAAGAAGAAGAAAACGTTGAGTGTTACCAAAATCTCCAGAGAAGCTAGCTGTTTTTATTTTCTCCAATTTTTCTAGACTGGATCTTTTTCAATTTACTCTTATGTATTAGTCCCTCCGAAACCTCTGCAATTTTTGTTTAATTCCATAAAGATCCCAAAAAAAGAAAAAATCCCCAAGTCAAGAAAGTTTATCCATCCTCATCTCTGCACTTTCTTCATTAATTAGTCTTAAAACAACGTTTACCCATCCACTTATTATCATCACTATGTCAAAGCTCACGTCTTTTGTTGCAATTACACACATTCGTGATCTTGGAATTGGTTTTTAAAGGTTCAATCTTGACGGGATATGTCTGTAACTTTGGTCTCCACTCTCCATACTTCATTCAATATCAATGTCGCCATAAAACGGCAAGGTGTTTTTGTTCATTTATAATTTAGACAGCTTGGAGTTTTACGTCAAAAGCTAAAAATATCAGGGACCTTATGAATATCATCATCACTCTTCCTCGCTCGCTCGGCTAATTTATAACGGCATATATCCTGCAACAGATTTATGAAGCTCGAGAGATATTAATGGCGGTTTCTGCAGGGGCTTTAGCTTTTGCTTCTCCTCTCTCTTCCTCCCCTGCTTTATCCGTCCGCGCCGCCCTTAATTCTACCTCCGTGACGCTTTCTGAGATTAAAGATGAACAAGCAGGGACCAGCAGCAGCAGTTCTGCCCAGAAATTCAGCTACAGTCGAGCCTCTCCTGCAGTTCGGTGGCCACATTTGAATCTCCGTGAAACATATGATTCCAGAGGCTCAACACCATCTCGCCCTGTTTCTCCTCCGGCTTCACCAACCGATGTCGCGGAGGATTCCGGGGAATTCGTCGATTCTGTTAGCTCCAGCGAGCAGCAAAAGGCGAACGAGGAAGCCGCCGTGGCGAGTCGGAGAAGGAGGGTGAAGAAGATGAATAAGGTTGCTCTGATAAGGGCCAAGGATTGGAGGGAGAGAGTGAAATTCCTGACGGATAAGATTCTAGGACTGAAACCTAATCAGTTCGTGGCGGATATTCTCGATGCTCGGCTTGTTCAGATGACCCCCACGGATTACTGCTTCGTCGTGAAATCGGTTGGTCAGGAGAGCTGGCAACGAGCTCTCGAGGTTTTCGAGTGGCTCAATCTCCGTCACTGGCAGTCACCCAATGCCCGGATGGTTGCAGCCATACTCGGCGTTTTGGGTCGGTGGAATCAGGAATCGCTCGCGGCGGAGATTTTCACTAGGGCTGAGCCAGCCGTCGGAGACACGGTTCAAGTGTACAACGCGATGATGGGCGTTTATTCCCGTAGCGGCAAGTTCTCAAAGGCACAAGAGCTGCTCGATGCAATGCGTCAAAGAGGGTGTGTTCCTGACCTGATAAGTTTCAATACTCTTATCAACGCTAGGCTTAAGTCTGGTGGGTTGACTCCGAATCTGGCTGTTGAGCTCTTAGATATGGTGAGGAATTCGGGTCTTAGGCCTGATGCCATCACTTACAACACTCTTCTTAGTGCCTGTTCGCGGGATTCAAACTTGGAAGGGGCGGTGAAGGTTTTTGAGGACATGGAAGCTCATCGATGTCAGCCTGACTTGTGGACTTACAATGCCATGATTTCCGTATATGGAAGATGCGGGCTTGCTGCGAAAGCCGAGAGTCTCTTCACGGAGTTGGAGCTTAAAGGATATTTCCCTGATGCGGTCACATACAACTCTTTGCTCTATGCTTTTGCCAGAGAAAGAAATACGGAGAAGGTGAAGGAAGTGTACCAGGAAATACAGAAAATGGGGTTTGGGAAAGACGAGATGACTTACAACACCATCATTCACATGTATGGAAAGCAGGGCCAACTTGATCTTGCGCTACAGCTTTATAAAGACATGAAAGGTTTGTCGGGTAGAAACCCTGATGCTATTACTTACACAGTTTTGATCGATTCACTTGGAAAAGCAAACAGAACCGCGGAAGCTGCAGCTCTAATGTCTGAGATGCTTGATGTTGGGATCAAACCAACTCTGCAGACCTACAGTGCTCTCATCTGCGGTTATGCCAAGGCTGGGAAGCGAGAGGAGGCCGAAGATACTTTCAGTTGCATGTTACGCTCAGGGACTAAACCTGATAGTTTGGCGTATTCTGTAATGTTGGATATATTTCTAAGAGGAAATGAAACCAGAAAGGCGTGGGCTTTATATCGTGATATGATTTCTGATGGTCATACACCGTCTCTCAGTCTGTATGAGTTGATGATACTTGGTTTTATGAAGGAAAACAGGTCAGAAGACATTCAGAAAACCATCAGAGATATGGAAGAATTGTGTGGCATGAATCCACTAGAGATTTCCTCTGTTCTTGTTAAGGGCGAGTGCTTTGATCTTGCTGCTAGACAGTTGAAAGTGGCTATAACAAATGGCTATGAACTGCAAAACGATACTCTTTTGTCTATATTGGGTTCCTACAGTTCATCAGGCAGGCATTCAGAAGCATGCGAGTTACTTGAATTTTTGAAAGAACACGCCAGTGGATCTAGGCGGCTAATAAATGAAGCACTAATTGTTCTACATTGCAAGGTTAACAATATAATTTCCGCTCTAGAAGAATATTTCTCTGATACATGTGTTCATGGATGGAGTTCTGGCAGTTCCACCATGTATGAGTCTTTATTACACTGTTGTGTAGCGAATGAACATTACGCTGAAGCTTCTCAAGTTTTCTCTGACCTGAGACTATCTGGCTGCGAAGCTTCAGAAAGTGTTTGTAAAAGCATGGTTACTGTGTATTGTAAGCTTGGCTTTCCAGAGACAGCTCATCATGTGGTTGATCAGGCTGAGACAAAAGGCTTTCACTTTGCTTGTTCGCCTATGTATACTGATATCATTGAAGCTTATGGAAAACAAAAGCTGTGGCAAAAATCAGAGAGTGTTGTTGGCAACTTAAGACAAAGTGGACGAACACCTAATCTAAAGACATGGAACAGTTTGATGTCGGCTTATGCTGAGTGTGGCTGTTATGAGCGGGCAAGGGCTATATTTAACACTATGATGAGGGATGGTCCGTCTCCAACTGTAGAATCCATCAATATTCTGTTGCATGCTTTGTGTGTTGATGGGAGGCTTGAGGAGCTATACGTTGTTGTTGAAGAATTGCAAGATATGGGATTTAAGATTAGTAAAAGCTCCATTCTTTTAATGCTTGACGCATTTGCTCGAGCAGGAAATATTTTTGAGGTAAAGAAGATATATAATAGCATGAAGGCTGCTGGTTACTTGCCCACGATTCGCCTTTATAGGATGATGATTGAGCTTTTGTGCAAAGGGAAACGAGTCAGAGATGCTGAAGTTATGGTTTCTGAAATGGAAGAAGCTAGCTTCAAGGTTGAGCTCGCTATATGGAATTCCATGCTGAAGATGTATACGGCTATTGAGGATTACAAGAAGACAGTTCAAGTGTACCAGAGGATAAAAGAAAGTGGACTGGAACCAGATGAGACCACTTACAATACTCTGATTATAATGTATTGTAGAGACAGACGACCAGAAGAAGGGTACTTGCTTATGCAACATATGAGAAATATTGGTTTGGACCCAAAACTGGACACATACAAGAGTTTGATCTCTGCTTTTGGTAAGCAAAAATGCATTAAACAAGCTGAACAACTGTTTGAAGAGCTTCTCTCCAAAGGATATAAACTAGACCGGTCATTTTACCACACGATGATGAAAATATCCCGGGATTCTGGAAACGACTCTAAGGCGGAGAAGTTGCTGCAAATGATGAAGAATGCGGGAATAGAACCAACACTTGCTACAATGCATCTGCTCATGGTTTCATATAGTTCTTCAGGAAAGCCCCAAGAAGCTGAAAAGGTTCTTAGTAACCTGAAAGAAACAGACGTGGAACTAACAACTCTGCCTTATAGTTCAGTTATTAATGCTTACCTTCGTAGCAAAGATTATAACAGTGGAATAGAAAGGCTCTTGGAAATGAAGAGAGAGGGCATGGAGCCAGACCACAGGATATGGACTTGCTTTGTTAGGGCGGCGAGTTTCGCCAAGGAAAAAAATGAAGTCATGTTGCTGCTGAAAGCTCTCCAAGATATAGGTTTTGATCTGCCTATCAGGTATGCATTCCGATTTTCCCATTTTGAATTCCCTAAAAAAAGTTCACGGTTTTTAATTAAATACTACTAAGATCATATAAATCTGATACAAGGACTTACTCTTAACTGAACCTAGAAATAATAAATATCGTCACATGTTACTAATTCTTATGTTTTTTCTCCCTGGTTTTAATGACCTACCAGGCTTTTGGCTGGAAGACCTGAGTTGCTAGTTTCAGAGGTAGATGGGTGGTTCGAGAAACTGAAACCCATAGAGGACAATGCTGCTCTCAATTTTGCTAATGCTCTTTTGAATCTTCTATGGGCGTTTGAACTCAGAGCTACTGCATCATGGGTATTCCAACTGGCAATCAAAAGGGGTATCTTCAGTCTTGACGTGTTCAGGTCAGTCCTGTTTTACGTATGTCGTCTGTTTTGGAGAGCTCGCGCCTGTTTTAGCCAACACTTGTTTCGTGCAAGCGATTAGATGTTTAGCTGTCACATTTTTGTGAATGATTTTGATTTATTAGGGTGGCGGACAAGGACTGGGGTGCTGATTTTAGAAGATTGTCAGGAGGTGCAGCGCTTGTTGCCCTTACTCTATGGCTTGACCACATGCAGGCAATTCCTCTCTTTCTTCTCTCTCGATATTTCTGCATCTTTGCATCTTTCCACAGATCCCTGCATAACTGAAGAATTTTTTTGACAATCATCATTTTCATATTCACCAATGTAATTTTCATTCTCTGGCTACGATTCTTCTCCCGTTTCAGGATGCATCACTTGAAGGGTACCCAGAATCTCCAAAGTCAGTAGTCTTAATAACAGGGACCGCGGAATACAACGGTATATCCCTGGACAAAACGCTAAAGGCGTGTCTTTGGGAGATGGGATCTCCTTTTCTTCCCTGCAAGACGAGAACCGGACTCCTAGTGGCAAAAGCTCACTCTCTCAGGATGTGGTTGAAGGACTCACCGTTCTGCTTTGACTTGGAACTGAAAGACTCAATGTCTTTACCGGAATCAAGCTCGATGGAGCTAATCGATGGGTGTTTCATAAGACGCGGCCTTGTTCCTGCGTTCAACCACATCAAAGAGAGGCTTGGTGGGTTTGTATCACCAAAGAAGTTTTCGAGACTGGCTCTGCTACCCGATGAGATGAGAGAACGAGTGATAAATACGGATATAGAGGGACATAGACAGAAGTTAGAGAAGTTGAAGAAGAAGAATAAAGGAAATGAGACGAACGGTGTTAACACTCGAAGAAAATTCATTAGAAGTAAGTAATGCCATGATTGTGCTCACTTGCTCATTGAGTGATTATTGTATACAGTTTTTGATTTTCTTTTTGTGGATACGTGATCAGAAAAAGTGTTTTCATGTGTATATCACTAGTAAGGATTAATAAATTACAAAAGAGTTAACGTTCAATAACTTTTAATTTAGCTAAAGAAATGTGCATTTACTCTTTCCAGCTTGAAATTTCTAGCAATTTCTTTGTTGTTAGAATCACGGAAAACTATTATTTTTCTAAAAACCTGTTTGGATTAGACGTATTTATACATACAAAATTTACAAGAGCAACAGAAAAAAAAAAAACCTAATTTGGTACATCTTGTTTCTCGGTAGGAACTAGTACACTCTTCTCCTAGGCTTAAGTTTCTTGATACCAACTTTGACTTGAGAGCAGTTAATGGTCACAGTGCTGCTGCTCGATGTTGCTGCAACATTTCTTCGACTTCGTCTTCGTTTCTCCTTTACATTCTCTTGGTTCTCGTTACACCGTTCCAAAAACCTAACACCTCCATTGTTTTCATCATTTTCACAGACAGAGTCACTCTCTTGTCTACATACATCTCCTGAGCGTCCCTCCAAGCCTTTTCTCCTCCTCTTTGGTTGTCTTTCTGTAGGAGCGCAAGATGCTTCGCTCTCGCATTCTACATCTGATTTCTTCCGTCTGCATCAACAAAAGGGAGAATTTAGATCCACAAAAGCAGTGTGTGAATATGTGACTGTGTGTGAGGAATGTTGTATTAACTTACTTTGCTTTGCATTTCTTCTTCTGGGAAACAATTTCAGGTTCTGGCTCAAGAGTTATCTCGCAGTCTACATCTGATTTCTTCCGTCTGCATCAACAAAAGGGAGAATTTAGATCCACAAAAGCAGTGTGTGAATGTGTGACTGTGTGTGAGGAATGTTCGATTAACTTACCTTGCTTTGCATTTCTTCTTCTCGGAAACAATTTCAGGTTCTGGCTCAAGAGTTACCCCGCATTCTACATCTGATTTCTTCCGTCTACATCAACAAAAGGGAGAGTTTAGATCCACAAAAGCAATGTGTGAATATGTGACTGTGTGTGAGGAATGTTCGATTAACTTACCTTGCTTTGCATTTCTTCTTCTGGGAAACAATTTCAGGTTCTGGCTCAAGAGTTATCTCGCATTCTACATCTGATTTCTTCCGTCTGCATCAACAAAAGGGAGAATTTAGATCCACAAAACCAGTGAGTGAATATGTGACTGTGTGTGAGGAATGTTCGATTAATTTACCTTGCTTTGCATTTCTTCTTCTGGGAAACAATTTCAGGTTCTGACTCAAGAGATATCTCCGGTAGTGCCAAAAAATCGCCTGCGAGAAGGGCAGGACGCTCTGATTCCCGATCAACAAAATTACCTACAATAGCTTCTCTTCGTGACCTAGTAGCTTCTTGTATAACAGCCGCTTGATGAGGATATAAGCTCTTCCATCTCCTCCGGCACTGACTGTCAGTACGACGAGACAGACGTGAAGCGACCTTGGACCAGCTACTATATCCATGTTCTGTGATTGCTTCTCTCAACTTTGCATCCTCTTCCTTGGTCCACCTATCACGATTTACTTTGGGATCTAAAGAATTTACCCATCTCTCTCGACACTGAACCTGGGTTCGTCCAGGAACAAACTGAGCAATTTTATGCCAGTTTTTAGCTCCAAAGAGTGTCACAGCTACTTTCACACGTTTATCTTCCTCTGAGCTCCATCTCCCTTTCTTTTCTATGGTAGGGTGAAGCGACCATTTCCATCTGAAAGTGTAGCGAAGAAGAGAATAAGATCAACCATTCAATTAGGTACATGAATTCATACAGAAACGAGCATCATATAGAATGAAAGGACAATAACATGTAACATGGACTTCTAATTTCCCAAAGAAACTAGCTCTTGCGACCACTAACAGGACTCAAATAAGTTAGATTCATATCATTTGGCGGATGGAGGGAAAGGGGAAGAGTCTACCACTTCGATTTCCTCTGCTGACAAAACTGTCAGCAAACTGCGAAATCTGAGATCTAATTCATTAAAGAATGGGTGGATGTAGAAGATAAAACTGACCTGTTAGCGCACTGCTTTCCAGCTCTTCCTTCTAATGCATCTGCAACAGATTGCCAATCGTTTTCACCAAACAAGCCTACTGCAGCGCGGAGTTGTTTATCTTCCTCTGGAGTCCATTCTCTTCTCAATATGTCTGCATTCAAGCTTCTCTGATATTTAGCCAAACATTCGAATGGGGTCCTATTCATCCCAAGTGATACCGCAATGTCAAGCCAGTCTGTACAACAATTTTTCTGGATAATTAAGAGTAGGTTATTTTCCTCTTCTGCAGTCCAGGGACTGTGGTTAATCAATGGATCTTCCGAGCTCATCCACCTACAATGAGGCACAAATTACAAAAACCTAATGAATTATCAAATAAGAGAAGATAGGTGTACGAAATGTGCATCCATTTATGTTTAAAAAAGCTTATTTATCTTAGCAGTCAGACATAAACTAGAGGAGGAACTTACCGAGCTTCACATTCCGCAGCAGAACGGTCCTTGATATATATCGAGGCCAACTGATCCCAATTAACTTTAGGAAGAAACTGCCTGATCATTTCTGGTGTGATCTCAAGATTTTTGATTGATTCGTTAATGGTATATATATCCTGTGTAGATCCTTCCGAGTCACTGTTAAGAAAATGCGGTCAGTCAATTCTTTTCGGAAACTATCAAAGAAGAAACTTTAACTATAATTCTGCATCTTAATAGATGGTAAGTAGCAAGTTTAAGGGTACTAGGCACCAGAATATGATACCATTTTAAAAGAGGAAGACCAAGTAGTACCTTGACCGTTCAATAGCTTCATTAAGCAGTGTTTCTTGAAATTGTTGTTTCAGACCTTTTGCAAGATATTCGTTCTCCTCAGTAGTCCAATTTCTGCGATCCACTGAAACTGGATATTTCTCTATTGCCATCCTATAATTTGCAACGCAAGGGTTTTCCAGTGGACCCAACGTCAAAGGAGATGTCTTCTTATCATTACCCTACAAGAGAAACACAGAATTAAAGAAGATAGCGGAAAACAGCAGAAGCAGTTTTTTTTCAGGTACTATAAAACAGAAGAGGCAGGAAAATTAGATCAAAGTGGTTACCTCGGAGCTATCTCGTGGCCCAGATTTTCGTGTTGAGATTAATTCAACTCGAGGATCTTTCCTCTGAGAAAGTGCCTGTTTAGTTATTCTCTTGCAAGAAGCTTGAAAATCTTGTACTATCTTAACATTTCTCTTGTGTTTCTCGTTCTGCTCGATCTTTACCTCAATCTCGGTTAGTTTCCTTCGAAGAAATTTCTGATATGACCTGTTCCTCCGGATTGCATCAACAAAGGCTTGTGCAGATTCAGGGAAACTTGAACTCGCAGCTGGCAGAAGAGATGATTGGCATGTCTCCAGCTGGTCAAAAGGCTCAATGGCAGTGTTTTCATGAAATTCAACAGAATTCCCAGCTTGTACTCCTTCTGAATCTGGCACTGTGACAACTGATTTGTCGTGATTTGGAAAGCTTTCACAAGTATTAGATCTACTCAATATTTCTCTTGAAGGTTCATTGTCCGAGGCATGTACCTGCTTTTTCTTCCCGGGAGAATCATTCATCAAATTTACCTCCGGATCTGTAGAAAAATAGAAAGAAATTACCACTAAAGCATAAAAATATCTTACAAAGACGAGACATGCAGCAGTGCATTCAAAAAGACAAGCAAACCCAAATTCTTGCATCATGAAATCCATCATAAATCCATTCTGCGGACAAGAATCAATAATGTCTTTCACGTCCTATCAACAATCAAACATAAGAAGAGAGAGCTTCTACCTTATTCTATCAGAAACAGTACAATAGGCATAAAGGAAGAGTTAACAAGAAAATCACAAACTGAGTGGAGCTTCTATGCAGAGACTTATAACTAGCTTTAATTTCTGAAATCGAAGAGAATCGATTACTCTAAAACTATCTTAATCACCTGAAGCAGAGTCATAGAACGAACATTTCAAAGGTGATAACACACACAGAAACAATATATAACGAATCAGAAGCTAACCCAGATAAAAGAGAACAAGTATTTACTTTTTCTGTCACCATTGAGCTCACCGGAATTTTCAAAAGCAGAGAATCGCCTACGAATAGCGCAGAGGGTCTCAAACGAATCATCTTCGTCGTCGTCGGATAAACCCATCGGCGGAACGCTTGCATCCATCGACAATGCTAATTGCCTCTTAATGCTCCGAAGCATCTCGAGGTCGTCTTCACTCTCCGAATCCGAGGGCACTGATAAACCCATGAGAGGACCATCTCCCAATCCCGTCGACGAGGCTAATTGGCTCTTTATGCTCCCAAGCATCTCGAAATCGTCTTCGTTCTCGGAATCAGACGGTATCTCTCCGCCGCCGCCTCCATCCGCTCCAACAGAACCGGATTTCTCAACAACTTCATCGGAATTGGCCTCGGAGACCATACAGGCGCGTCTTAAGTCTTCGAGATCTTCACCAATGTCGTCTTCTTCTTCATCGTCATCAGCCTCATGCACGCTTTCGCGACTCATCGCGTTAGAGGAAGAAAGAAAAACGTCTATAGAAGGCGAAAATCGATCGAATTCGAAACTGAACAGAAGAATGCAAGAAACACGGCTGCAGAAGAAGGGTTTATGGCACCTTGCGCTTGTTGGAGAGGAAGAAATCCGGAAGAAGAAGGTTAACAAAAATTAAGGTTCATTTATTTGGTCTGAAGAATTTATCATGGCGGCATCAGAAATAAAACGGGTCGAATCGGATCGAGCCGGGTCGGATCTAACGGATTTAGTAATTCGGTCGGATCAGCGATAAATGATAAAATAAAATACCAATCACAGAAACCCGGAACATTATAAGCCCGTAAGAGTTGAGACCGATTAAAACATCAACGGTTAAGAGTCAAAGCTCACAAAAGAAGCAATTCAAAGCAGGACTGGTTAGTTTCGTTCAGTTTGGTTTATAAGGCTGCTTCGGTTCAGGTAACCCTTACCGAAACAACCAAACCAAAACAAATCCGAACATGAACCTGAACCGAATCAAATACACATGGTCCAAAGGCACTAAGCCATATTGTTTGATGATGATATAAACATAAAAGGAGGGAAATCAGCAGAGTCTGGTGTCGAAGTTGAGAGTGACGCCCATGCTGAAGAGCTCCTGATACAGAAGCTTAGCTCCATAAGGCACATAAACCTTAACCACATGGTCTGGAGATTTGCAGAGTCTACAGTAAGGTCCTCTGACCTTCCCTCCACCACCTTCCGCTGGCCTCTCGATCACATTGGCAACGTTTTGACATGTCCTGCAGATATGCATCTGCGAGGAATCACTTAGAGTGAAGAGACGCTCGTGCAAATTAGCTGAAGCACCGTGAGCAATTAGGCAGTCTCGCTCCATCTCTCCAAACTTGATTCCGCCAAACCGCTTTCTGTCTGCAACTGGCTGGCGCGTGAGAGGGTGAACTGGTCCGGTGTTCCTGAATTTGACTTTGTCCTCTGACATGTGGACAAGTCGCTGGTAGAAAGTTGGCCCCATGAAGATGAGTGAACGCATCATCTCTCCTGACCTTCCGTTGTAGACCCTTTCGTTTCCCCATCTTGAAAAGCCAGCCCTGACACAAATATTTGCAATCGGTAATGATTGAGTCAAGAATCAACAAAAATCTGAAAAAAAAAACGTTCAATGAATCATTGCACAATCACAAGGCAAATGACTCATAGCCTCAAGCCTCTTAACTATTATTCTGGCTCATGGCTTCTGAGCCAATTTTTGTGTATTCGCTAGAAGTTTTTCAGGGCACAGGAAAAAAGACAAACATTGAACTCCTTAAATTCGAGTCTTTCAGAGATAGTGCACATTCATAAAAGTCATGCTACATTTTAGTACTCCCAGGAAACAAAACCAATATTCACTATGAGATGTTTCAATCTTATAAGGTGCTTCCTAAGAAGCAAATGCCGATCAGTTATATAGCATACCAACTGACCTCTACTGATTGTAGCATCAAGCCCTGTACTGTTTCAATCTATTACGATATTATGTATACACAGCTAAAACCAACTGAAAGTGTGAAGAAAGCACCTGTGAAGCTGGTCGGTGATTTCACTGACACTGGGAGTGGAGAAAGGAGTTGCATGACGTATTAATTTGGTGTATGCCTCAGAGCTGCCTTTCTTTTGCATAGGACAAGCTATTCCTTTGGAGAGAGCAGCCTCCAAGAGTTGGCCCGGTGTTTGCCTTGAAGGGAAAGCGTGCGGGTTTATCACAATATCAGGAACTATGCCTTGCATCGTGAAAGGAAAATTCTCCTGTTCCTCTAGGTAGCCTAAAACACCCTTCTGCCCATGCATACTGGAAAATTTATCTCCAAGACATGGAGAACGAACCTGCAACGACAGATCAATGGAACATTAGATTAACTCAAAGGGATGCGTTATCTAAAGTCAGCTCTCACTTCAGTATGATCTGGAACTTACCTGTCTCAAAGAAACCGTAGCAAAATTCTTCCCATCGTCATTAGATGATAATACCACTTTTTGCACAATGCCTCTCTCAGTGTGCTTGAGTTTTACACTGTGATCATCCCCAGACTCGGTACATCTGCCAATGACAATATCGCCACTTTGCATATTAGCACCAAGAAAAGGGAACCCGTCATCATCAAGGCTGTCTACTCTTCCTTTTTTACTGTGTGTCTTTCCAAACTGAACCAGCTCATCCAGCTTCTTCCTCTTCTCCGAGTCCTTACTGTCAACATCTGCTTTGTAGCTCCTGATCTGTTCCGAACGGAACATACCGCGTTCCAGTGAAGCCTTGTTCATGACAATGGAATCCTCTTGATTGTACCCAAGGTGAACATTCACAGCAACTATAGCGTTCTGGCCATTAAACAGCACTTCTTTTTGTAAACATTCAGACGCCAGTGTCTTGAAAAGTGGCTTCTGGGGATAGAACAGCTGCTGGGAAAGCGTATCACAGCGGGTGTCAGGGTTCGTTGATGAGAACCCAATAGCTTGTTGGCAATGCTTCTGGGACTGGTAGAGAACTCTCCTACCATGATCATGATTAGCAAATGGGACAATTGCACAGCTCACACCCAACAGGAAGGACAGGTCCAATTCGCAATGTGTGTAACTCTTAGGTTCCTTCAGAAGCTGTTTGACTCCCCATGCTGTGTTACAGTCTTCTTCTTCCTCAATCCCGATCAGCTCAAGAATCCCTTGGTCAAGAAGATGCTCGAAGGCATACTGTGCAGGTTTATCTTGTTTCAACTTGTGGAGATTTTCCACAACCAAGAGAGGTCGGAGTAGTCTACCAGCGTCAGTGAAAATCCTCACCTCACTGTCATCTTGATCTCGCTTGATTTCCATCTGCAGAAAAAAATTGATACGTATTATAATGACATAAGGTGACATAGACACATTTGTGAAGCAGAAAAATCCAAGGTAGATACCAAGCAGCGGAAGTTTATCGAAATAACACAGGCATTTGTTGAAACAGTAGATACCTGGCGAGGTAATTCACTTTGACGCCGCCTGGCTTTTAACTCCGCAACAAAAGATTCAGAATCTGAACATAATCCAACCCAGTCTCCATTGAGAAGAACTTTTTGTTTCCCACACAGTGGTGTACTGGTATCGTCAACCAGCTCTTCCATTCCACAAGCAAAGAGTTTCTCCACCACAGGCTCCAAAATTTGAGTGCTAACAAGTCCAAGGAGAGACATGTTCTTTACAAGACCACAATTTTCACCATCTGGAGTTGACAAAAAGCATACTCTGCCCCAGTGAGAGGGATGCCTGTCCAACATTACAAACAATGCAGCCATAGTTCAGTTCCTTTAAGCCATACATGCAACGTAAAGTTCCCAACACGATTCAATATTCTACTTACTCACATTCAAATGTAACAAAAATGGATAATATCGATGTAAACATCAGGAAAAATTCACCAGGAAAAGAAACAAGAAAGACAGTATCATCTATACAAAATCAGTATGAATGGATTATTCACAGATGGGACTCTGCAGGAAACAGTGGTCACCAATCACCATCATAAACCAAATAAAATAAGAATACGAATATCTGATCAAACAGACTGAAGACATAAAACTGAGCAAATGCAGACCATACAGCATAAGGTTTAGTACGTGGAATATTTTAAAATAAAAACAAGGGACGTGGAAATGTTACTTACGGGTATCTAGCATCTCCAACCTTGCCGGTATACAGGACTTGCTGCCGCGTTCTCCTCAGATCAATCAGAGTCTGCAATGGGTTGGCCCGGCCAAGATTAGCGACAACTCCTGAAACCCTTTCCATCTTCCTGAAAGGATGAGACCATGCTCCGGTGGAGAAGGCTCTACTAAGCCCATTTGTGATAATGGAAGCATCCAGATAATGCTCAATAGGCTTCAAATCGCCACCACCCGTGAGGTGTCTCTGCATGGCCTTGGTCATTGTTCTTCTAGCATGTGCAAGATGCACCCTTAACTCCCTCTCCAACAATTCTCCAGCTAGCTCAATCCTCTTGTTTCTGAAGCTGTCTCGATTCTCGCATTTTCTTTTCCCAGCATATGCGTCCAAAAGGCACTTCACCATATATCCCAGGAATCGTGCCTTCTGCTTCAAGCTCTTGAGGCCTGGAAACAAATAGAGACTCAGGCAGTCATCCACACTTTCGCCAGGTGGGAATTTTGTGCTTCTTATCTGCTCTTCAACATATCCTAGAGCATTGATCCCATGGCGAAAAGCTTCACAAACTGCATCAGCTTCTTGGATGGAAGCTATGAGACTGTTGGTAATGCTTGCATCATCACCTTCAAAAGCGATCAGATCAATGGCCTCTTTGTCTGACCTAACACCCAGCGCAAAGAACAGGACCCATACTGGGATCTCAGTCGAGAGGAAATAGACAGTGAGTATTTTCTCCCTTCTCTTATAGTCTTCTGCTTTTGGATCCTCAGACAGACGAACAATGAATCTTTGTCTTTTCATTTCGGACCTGTAAGAGACTGTCCATGGTGAATTAGAAATCCAAAGTCTCTTTGTGCACATCTGTTCTTGAGCAATAAAAACCTGCAAAACACATTTATTCATGTTACGAACTTGAATAACAGCTTGGCGGTGTTTATTCCAGTATATATGCATTAGAAAGAACAAAAAGAAAAACAGTTTCCAATGTCATTAGTTGAAAACATTTCAGGCAAATAAGTGTGATGCATACGTAGAACATCATGTGAAGAACGCATAATCCAACCACAAGCTATAAACTAAAAAGGTTGAAAATAGAAATTCCAAGACAGTTAATATGCAAAAACAAAATGTCAAACGGGTGTAACTCACCTTCTCAGCACCCTTTATGACAAAATATCCACCCTGATCAAAAGCACAATCCCCCTTTTTGTTGTTTTCCCCATTCTTTCCTTTCTCCACTGTGTTGCAAAGGAGAGATTTCACCATCACGGGTATCCTGCCTATTGGAATACCCTCCGTTCTCTTATGTAAAATCTGCTTCTCGACATATTCATCTTGTCCCGTCTTGAACTTGTCTCTTTTAACAACTTTTTTTATGAACACCTAGTCAGTTTATGTAGTGAAGAGGCAGTTAGACAACAAACTAACCCGCAATAAGAATAAGATAAGGACAAAGGGTTTGTTAGTTTCCTTACCTCAACTTCGACATTTACACTCATCCGAGCCGAGTATGTCATGTTCTGAAGCCTGGCATGCCATGGGAGAAACTCAAGCTCCTTGTCATCTGAGAAGAACGAGGGCTTCTCTATGCTGACTTCTCCGAACTTCACAGTTGCGTATCTCCACTCGTCGTCCTTGTTCTTTGTCGGATCAAAAGACGGCTCAACGACCATCTCACCGAAGGATTCAAACACGTTCTGAAGCCCGTGCTGAATGAAGAAGTTGTAGGAGTTGAGCTGATGACTTATAAGCCCATACTCTTCAAAGAACGACGTCGCGGCTTTTTTGCAGAAACTCTGGAGAAAAGGTTCTCCTAGATCAGACAGATCGATCTCCCCAGCAGCCTCAATCTCTTCAATGTCCATTTCGGTCATACCTCAAACACTGTAAGAAACGGAGACAAAACCCACAAAACGAACACAGAGAAATTATTAAAGAATCGCTAAAATCATGAGCTACGCAAATGCATGTATCGATCCATGAAGCAATCAAACTTATTCACCAGAACCGAAACATTCTCCACAACACGAGACCGTAAAATAGACTACTAGAGCATAAAGTCTGGAACTTTCAACGCTTACAAAAAAAGCAGAATCAAAGCGTGATATCGAAAATGGTCCGTACCTAGACTGCGTTCAGTCGAAACGATGGAGGAAAACGGCGGTGGCGGTGGCGGTGGAGACTGGAGAGCAGAGTAAACGTCGCCGGGAATATCGAATGCTGAAGACGCGGAGTGTAAAAGAAAAACCCCTTTTTCCTCACTTTTTCAATGTTGAAGCGAAACAGTCGACGAGGAGTGAAGAAATAAGAGTGGCACGCTTTTGATTGTGTTTATGCGCTTTAATTGGTTCGATAAGAGGGGTATGAATGTCCATTTAACGAATGGTTTCCTTTACATTTTTCTCCAATTAACCAGATAAGATGAAATTAAGCTCCTCCATATTTTGATAAGAGAGACCATAATGCTAGATTTTCTTCCTTTTTTTAAAATAAAATTTTCGGTTAAAGGCATGAAAACCTTTGTTTGGGAACTTATGTTCTCAAATCTCAGTTCTAGAATCTCTGATCTATTTTATAAAGTTTTTTTGTTAAAATTGAGGAAATTATGAATTTGTGTTTGAGAACTTTTTTTTGAAAAATCTATGTTCCATTCATATATTTTGTTGGTTAAAAGCGCGGGAATTTTGAATATATAAACGTTATATATTTTCATTTGACGAACATCTTTATAATTTTTATTTAGGTTCGGCCCAAAGATTAGGCAAGTTAAACGATGGCTTAAAATTACCGTTTAAATTATATTTTTTATAGGCCATTAAATCAAAATTAAATTAATAAATTTAAGATTTTACTCTTTTCTCTTCATAAATTATAGGGCCACATTTTTTTTGTTTAGGACCACCATTTTTATTGGAATGAGGCTAGAATAAATACATATGTTTTTCAATTAACCAAATAAAGATGAAAATAAGCTCTCCATTATGTTATGTTCTCTACTTCTCTTTATATAAAAAAAAAAATTCGGGCGCAGGAATCTTGGTTTAGGATCTTATGTTTGATATTTCCGTCGAAAACCTCTCTTCCATTTAATAAAGTTTGTTGACTAAAAGCGTGGGAATTATGAACTTATGTTTGAGAACCTCTGTTCCATTTATACACAAAAAAAACTTGCTAAAAACGCGGGAATAATGACTACATAAACGTTATTGACGAATATTCTTACAACTATTATTTTCTAACACTTTCTGGTTAGCCAAATAATTTTGAAAGTTGCAAAGGTGCAAAATGCAAAGTATATTATTACTGCTTGAACTTTTTGTTTATTTGCATTGAAAAGTCAAAGAAGGAGAGAGTTGGCGGTACAAATTCACCCCTGAACGACCCTTAATTCTTCAACGACTAATTCCAAAACCTTAAAATCTAAAATGCATCCATGGACACATTTGAGAGAATCATTTGTTGTTTCGTTTCAGAAGTTGATTAAACCATAGAGCAGACATCTTGGGGTACCTCTTCAATGTATTGTAATCAACATAGACGATCCCGAACCTATATATACAATTGAACAGGAAAAATGCATTAGAGCAAATACTTGAAATTTTTTATAGGAAATATCAAATATCTGCATTGATTTAGTTAACTAACTTAATTAACTAACGTACGTACCTTGAAGTATATCCCGACAACCACTCGAAATTATCAAGCAATGACCACGCGAAATAGCCCTTCACATTGGCTCCATCATCAACGGCCTTCTTAAGTTGAGTTAAGTAATCTCTATAATACTTGATTCTCGTCGTGTCGTGTAGTCCTTGAGCTAGAGTAAAGTTTCCTGGATCATCCATACCTATAACATATATTCAAACATTTATAAAAAAAACTTAAACATCTCTACAAATCATTGGAATTATAATCAAATAAATAAAATTTTGATTAGAGATTCTCGTGTCTTTAATACCGTTTTCGGAGAGAATCATAGTTGGGTTGCCGTAATGTTCCTTCATGTACATCAAGGCCTTGTACATTCCCCATGGCACGTTGTATAACCAATACGAGTTTGCCTATATGGTAAATGGATTCATTTGATAATTTGAATTAATTAGAGAAGAAAAAATAACATCAAAAGTAATCACAAAAACTTATGTATTTCTCACTCTTGGACCGATTGGCTTCCCCAACTTAGAAACTGCAAGTGTATAAATGGAAAAGAAGGAATGTAAATGAAATGCAAAATCTAAAAGATCATTCATATCGAATGTTTCAAGAACTTACAGCCGAAAGTCACGTTCCAATCTTGTTGGTAACCCAAATCCTTAGGTATAGTGGAATTATGAGTATCAGACATGAAATAAGTTGTGTATTGGTTTATTCCCACGAAATCTATGGAACCTTTCACCATTTTCACTTCTTCCTCCGTGAATTTTGGAAGCCTCTCTTTCACGATTAATTGCATTGTCTTTGGATACTCTCCATATACTAGTGGGTGAATAAACCTTTGAAGATTATTATATACCAAGCAGCAAAACAAAGTATTATTCTTGTAAGCTCACAACAACAACAACAACAACAACAAACAAAAAAAAAAAGAAAACTTATGGTAGAACGTTTAAGAGTTTGAAAACTCACCATCCGATATGGAAGTCTCTTGCCCTTTGAGCTGCAAGATAATCTGCTTTACTCTTTTGTAGCGGCTCGTACCATACGAAATCTAGAAGAATCCCAATTCTTCCCTTTTGTTTTGCCTGAATATTTTCATGGAAAATGGTGTACTATAATTAGTTTCATTTAGATCTCATCATATCAAAACCAAAACAATTAAGAAAGCAAATTATAAGTTGTTGTTTATACTTGGTAATTTTTGCGGTATCTTTGAACTGCTGCTGCATGGGCCAAGATTAGGTGATGAGAAACAATGTATGGCTCTGTCGCTGAGTTTCCTTGTGTGCAATTTCCATATGTTTTAGAGCATCTCCCCGGCGCAAAAATACCGTTATCATAACCTAAAGCAGCTACTACGCGTGGCTCATTGAATGTCATCCAGTTCTTCACTCTATCTCCAAATGTCTTGAAACAAAACTCTGCGTAATTCGCAAAATCTTCCCTGCAAGTTTGCATCAATCCAAGTTTTGGTTGATTTGCAATTGAGACAGTAACAAGAAGTATATATATAATTGAAGTTTGGTGCTTACACAACTTGTCTACCAAGCAAGCCTTTATACTTCTTTTCCAAAGCCAATGGAAGATCGTAGTGGTACAGATTTGCATACGGTGTGATCCCTAAAACGCATTAAATTATATTCGTTATGTTTTATTTTGTAATCAAATCTTTTATTTATGATTTTTATACCTCTTTGGATCAAGTAATCGATCAATCTGTTGTAATAAGCAACTCCTTTCCAGTTGATTTTACCGGCTCCCTCTGCATTCATAAGCTTTAAAGTTATAAACTAATCTTCTTTCTTCTTTGCTTAACTTTATACAATTAATGTAGTTACTATACCAGGGAATATTCTGGACCATGAAATGGAAAATCTATAAGCATCGAAGTTTAGATTCTTCATCAAATCCACATCTTCCTGAAATGTGATTATCACGAACACATGTAAATCAAAATGTAAAACTTTCAACTTCTAGGAATCATATACGTAATCATTTCAATAATAAAATATCTTTAAATCTTTAAAATTAGTACTTTAGTACCTTGTAACGGTGATATTGATCCACTGTTATCTCAGCCGTGGCATTATTGGCGATAGTCCCTGTGTTGTTTTATTTATATTACTATTGATTATTAATCAATGATTAATCATGTAACCAAATTGTTTAAACCATAAATTACCAGGAATCTTGACGAAAGCGTCCCAAATGCTTGGCCCGCGACCGTCTTGATGAGTCTCGCCTTCGACCTGATAAGCTGACGTGGCGGTTCCGAACAAGAACCCCTTTGGGAAACTCTGTCTACTGAGACCGCCAGTGTCGAATTTGAATTTTTCTTCGGACGGCGAAGACTCGCCGGAGCTGAGAGAAGAGAGGAGGAGGAGAAGGAGGAGAGGCCACGGAGATGCGATGAGGTGTCTCATCTTGTGAGTGAGCTTTGGCTGTTTGGTTTGTAGAGGATTAAAATTGGCTGTCTTAAGGATATTTATAGCCTTTTATAAGCCATTGTATTTTGAAAATAATAATACACTTGGAAAATATATGAAAGGATGGAATCCAGTAACTATTCACCATTTGGATAAGAAGACTATGTAAATATATTGATTTTATTTTAAATATTTAATGATGTTCTTAACTTCTTATTGAATGTTGAATAGTTATATATGCATGTTGAGAATTATGAAGCGTGGGAATTAAAGCGTGGGAATTATGAACTAAAGTATATATATATATATATATATATATATGCATGTTTTTTTTTCCTGCTGAATTTTTTCTTTGATGATGTCGTTCACTCGCCGTTTGTGCTTCCAATAGTTTTCCGCAGATACAAACGTACGCATTTCAAAGAACGTCCATAGATTTTATAAAAAACATAAAAAAGAAAACCGAAAAAGAATAAAAAGAATTGAGGAATGAGGACGATGATGATAAGAGATATGAGTGTATTATGTGACAATTGTTTATTTAAGAAAATATTTTTAATAAAGAAAACTGTTTAATTTTTTACTATAATTCAGCTAAAATATATCAATGCACCTGTTAAGTTATTTAGTTTACTCCCTAATTAAATTTAGAATTTTGTCTTTATTACTTTAATATATATTGAAATATGCCTTTGCCCAAAAAAAAAAAAAAAATTGAAATATGCCCCCACTAGTAAAATGTTCTTTATTCAGATTCGCCCCTGTATGTGACAAATGTCTTTGCTGCTTAAATTTGTATTAGCGTTAAAAAAGCCAAACGGAGAAGAACAACAAAAATCTCCCAAGTTACACAGTTTCTTCAGGAATCAATTTCGACCTTTCAAATCTAACTCCATTCATGGTCCATACTCGATCAATCATGAACACATTGAGATCATAATTGGTCCCGTTTTTTTAAAAGCTCAGGCCCGAGCTCAGTATCTCGAAAATTTGGACAGTATGGGCTTCATTCAGGCCTAAGCTTATTTCAAGGCCCAAATGTTTGCTTTTAATGTATACCTCCACTAGTACCGTAATCCTCCACTTTCTTCCTGAATCCCTAAAACTGAAAAATATCTCGAAAACCTTGCTGCCGCTCTCTCAGATTCTCCATGGACGAAATCGCCATCAAAGTAAATCTTCTTCTCCTTATGGCTTCTTTCTTTGTGCTTCTTCTTACTCACCACTCTCTAATCTCTGTTTTTTGAACGAATATCTTTAAGTGGTAGAATTTCTGATTAGATTCTTGGGTACTACCTTTACCTTAGGGGCTGGAACCGAACGAAAGTATTTGGGATCTAAGAAGACGGTAAATTGATTTCTTTTGTGTTTGTTTTTGTTGTAATACAGATGTGTTGTTCTTGTGTTGATACAATATGTAAATTATTGCAGTTGCGATAAGATTTTAGTCGAGGGGTATGACACATCACTTCCTGTGAATTGTGTCAGAAACGCGCTGCGTGAACATTTCTCTTCATGTGGAGAGATCGTGTCTGTTAATATTCTTTATGATGTACACGGTACTCTCAACAGGTTTGTGGCTTGTTCCTTCCTCCAGTTTTTTTCTTTCTTTTTTTGTGACCTAGCTCAAGTTATATATATATGCTTTTAACTAAAAACTTGTGTGTTTTGTTACAGAAGTGGTATCCTATATATCCTGGGAGACGGTGCAGAAGAGAAGGCGCTGAAACTGAGTGGAAGTGAGATGTTAGGACGCAAACTAGTTGCTACTTCAGCAGCCCATAGGTTTCCTAAACCCACTCCTAAAATGGCTGCTAGGTTAGCCAATGCCGATCGAAAACTTAGGTAAAAATTGATGAGAGATTTGTATATATCTGTAAAGATGTGTGTTTTGTGTTTCTTGTGTTGATGTTATATTGCAACTTGTTTGCAGAAGCAAAATGATTCATGTTAGTGGATATGACACTTCGCTTCGTCCGGATGATATCAAGAGCGCGTTGATTAACCATTTCTCTTCATGTGGAGAGATCCTGGATTTTGTTTTATTCCGCGAAGAAGATACTCCAGTCAACGACCCCAAGTTTATGGCTCCAATTCCGTTCACCAAGTTTGTGGCTTCTTCCTCCAGTTTGTGAATTTTCTCCCTTAAATGCTAACTAAAGACTTGTTTTTTTTTTTTGTTGTTGTTGTTGTTGATTTTTACAGCAACGCCCTCCTATTTATTCTTGGAGAAGACGCAGAAGAGAAGGCCGTGCAACTTAATGGAAGTGACATGGGTGGACGCAAACTATTTGTTGCGCCTAGCTTCATACCCTCAAAAGAGAGTACCCCTTTCGAATGTCCTGTTGGCTATACTATCCCAGGTACATAAATTTTGTTCTTCATTCTTGATTCTTGGTAACAAAGTAAGGCTTTTTTTTCATTAGTTATTGGTTTATTTCAGCTCGGTTTGCCAACCCTAAGAAGAAGCAGAATAAAAAGAAGAAGACGGGCCTTAACAGGAAGAAGACTAGGAAGTAGACAGCTCTTCCTCTTCGAATAAGACGAAACTCTGTGTTTTTAACTAGTGATGCAAAGGCAACCTTTTTCTTTTATATATATATTACTTTGGTCTTTTTGTGTTAATGTATCGTCTGTAACCTCAATAATCATACTCTGCCTCCTAAGTATGATATGTGTTCCGGATGTTAAAACTAAGCTCAATTATCATTATCTGCTTTCTTTATTGCTCAAGTATCAGTTTTCAGTTTTAGTTCGATTAAATAGGTCGACATACATTTCTCAGAGTTAGTCTCAACTAGGATTAGCTGTGTTAGTCGAATCATTTTGTGATGAAGAAAAAGGTCGTTCCATCAATAAATGGCACAAAGGGACTGAGGATTTTACCAGTTGAGTCATGTCATAATCTTTCGAGAATTTTATCAGCTGTTATACATTATCACACTCACTAGAGTTATCATTTTTGGAATCTTAGAAAAAAACTCAACTTATTCTGCTTACAAAGCACAATCTAGAATCAAATAATGTAGTGTTCCAAACTGAACAAACTCACCCATCTTCTTCTTCCTCTGAGTCTTTAATGATTTGTCGTGATTTGGAAAGCTTTCACAAGTATTAGATCTACTCAATATTTCTCTTGAAGGTTCATTGTCCGACGCATGTACCTGCTTTTTCTTCCCGGGAGAATCATTCATCAAAATTACTTCCGGATCTGCAGAAAAAATCGAAAGAATTACCACTAAAGCATAAGTCACATCAAAAATCAAGCTTCTGCCAAGAAATTTTTATGTTTGAGCTGGAATCGTCCCCAACTCGTCCTGTCGTCCATTCCACAATCATAGAATTGTTTCACATTCTCCAAAATGTGAGTGCTAACAAGTCTAAGGAGAGACAAGTTCTTCTCTTTACAAGAGCACGATTTTCGCCACCTGGGGTTGACAAAAAGCATACTCTGCCCCAGCGAAAGGGATGCATGTTGTAGCCAACATTACAAATAATGCAATCTCATAGTTTCGGGTTTTTTTTTTTAAGCCATAAATGCAACATTAAGTTTCACAACACGGTTCAATTCTCTAACTGCTCACATTAGAAAGTAAGCAAAATGAATTTCTTAGTAGCAGTATCATCAAATCAGTATAAAATTATGGGTTAAACACAGATAGGCCTCTGCAGGAAGCAGTGGTCGGCATTATAACTCAATGAAATAAGTTAATACGAATAACTGATAAAACATACTAAAAGCATAGTTTTAGCACATGGGATATATTTCAAACAAACCAGAGGTGGAGGTGGAAATTTCACTTACGGATGTCTCCAACTTTGCCAGTATACGACTTGAAAGATAGTTCTGAAATGTATTGGGGTTGAAATCTTAATTAATAAGATAATATGGGATGCAAACAATTAATAAGATTAAATCAGGTGGTGGTGGATATTTCAAGTTTCAAAGAACGTCTTTTAGGGTTGAAATCTTATTTAATAAGATAAAATGGGATGCAAACAATTGATGTATCGGCGTGTTCTATACGAATTGTATGATTTTTTTTCTTGGTCTTAGAGGAACGGTTGAGAGTAATGATAATTATGCATTTTGCAGCATCTTATTTATTATTGTAAAGTCGATAGTTTCTGAAGATTCTTGTTTGATGTTACAACAGCAGGTTTCTACAACAAAAACATAAGAACAAAATAGGAGAGTATTGATACTCATGCATTTCAATTTTTATTTTTTTTTAGATGCATGACTGAGGATGATGATGAGAAAATGCAATATAAAAGGCAATTTTTATCTATAGTTTTTTTTTTTTTTTGGTTAAATGTTAATTTTTTTTTTTTTTTTTTTTGGTTAAATGTTAAATTTATCTATAGTTACAAGGATACACAGAAGAACAAATTTTGTTGCTGCTGAAATTTTTATTACCGTTGAAAAGGTGAAGTCAGTTACGCATATTCCCGCATCCCTCACACCCTAGAAGATTAATAGAGAAAAGTGATTAAAAAGCACCCCCTAGTTTTTTTTTCTTTGACAAATCAATTCAAAAGAATTTCATAATAATTCAGACTATCTTATAAGTTATAACAATTCTCAATCTATATATTCGGGTTTGGGTTGGTTTGGATATTAAAATCGCGATCCGAGTTTTAACTGAAAAAAATTCAAATTTGGATTTTTTCGGTTATATGGCAAGCCAAAACAACCAAATTACTCGACTACTTGAAAAAACTGAAAAATCTGAGGAAAAAACCCGAAAAATCTAAGGAAAAAGGAGAAAAGTACAAGAAAAAAACTGAAAAAATCTGAGAAAAAAATCCGAAAACTGATAATCTATAATCATATATATGAACATAAAATATTGGTTCGGTTTATTTAAATGTAACTTCGAGTATCGGTCATTATCCGAACTGATATGAAACCTGAAGTTACTAAGCCTTAATAACCATTCGAGTATATTGAATAAACAGAATCCAAACCAAATTTTTTGGGTCGATTTCAGTTAAATTGTTCAGATTAAGTTTTATGCCCGGCCATGTAAATAAAATCGAATCACATGACCCCATAATGATATGTATATTTGTTTTCCATTTGATTTTAAATAAAAATTGTAGAACATGGCCACCGCACGTCTGGGCCGGCCACGTGCCGTCCCACTTGCTATGCTTGTCGACACAACCCGAATCCACTAGATATACATTTCTTTTGAATACTATTAACTTTGAGAAAATTTTGAATACTAACTACAACTACTTTTTGAATATCAAACGGGAAGACATTTTGATTTTTGATTACCAAAGCTGTTGACGAGCTTTGTGTGTTTGCGCGTAAAACCCCGTAAATTAATTTGACACTTACTATTAAAGAGCTTTGTGGGGACATGTTTATTAAAGAGGAGATTTTAATGTAATAATTATAGAGATACAGTATAAAAAAAATAAAGAAGGTTTGGAAAGGGCGTAAAATCCGGCGAATTTATCTCCTCCACAATAGTAAAGTTGTTGTCGACCGAATCTTTAATACTAATAAATACTATAAAATATATGGCAGGCGTGTCAGATCCGGGGAAAATGCATTGCACCTCTTTCTTTATACGTTTAGAGCATCATTATTATCGGTGATACGGGTCTCTTTGATAATTTTTTAATATTAAATTAGATTAAAAAACTGTGATAAGAAACATTTAATTTTGTAGGGTTTAATGGTAGAAACAGAGAGAGAAAGAGAAGAAAAAAAAAAAGGCGATGAAAAGGAGAGAGAGAAAGAGAAAATAGTGTTCTCAATTTTATCCAATTAATTATTGACACCTAGGTTTTAAAAACGTATCTAAAAGTACCAAAATAAAAAACGATTTTCATGATAGAGCATTAATTTATATTATTTTAATTCTAAAAAAATTAAAATACCCTCCTAAAAGACCCCGATAATGATGGTCTAAAGGTTGGCCCAATCTTATCAAACCTCCTCCTCTCGTTGTGAAACTTAACCAAAACCTCCTCCTCTCCTCTTATCAAAACGCCCTTCCTTATAAACAAATCCTCTCCTCTTCTTATAGTACATGATCATACATCTTCTTATAGATCCTCCTCTTCTTTTCAGTAATCTAACCTTCTTTTTATTTATTTTTGTACCTATTCTCAATCTTCCCTTCATGGCCAATATCAGCTGCAATCTTCGCCATCGGGTCACTCTCCGCTGGCATCATGTCCTATCTCCGATGCCGTTTAGAAGTAAACTTAAGTATTAAGGAGATGAGCTGAGGCCTGTAAGTCTCAAGGTAATTGTCAAAGCGTGTCATCTATTTTGACATCATTTAGAGCAAACATATATTTCTATTATGATTTTGTTAATAACAGTGGTATCTGTTGAATTGGATAATTTTCAAGTGAAAACTATTGTGAAATCTAATGAAATTTGATTGAATATTTCACCACCCTGATTTTGTATTTTGTAGATCGAAATACAATTGTCTCTAGGTTATTGTTGCATTCTGGTAAAAAAAAAATGCAGACATTTTCTTTCTTCTAGACCCAATTAATAAGAGCGTGTCATCTATTTTGACATCATTTAGAGTAGACATATATTTCAATTATGATTTTGTTAATAAGAGTGCTATCTGTTGAATTAGATAATTTTCAAGTGACAGCTGCTGTGAAATCTAATGAAATTTGATTGAATATTTCACCACCCTGAATTTGTTTTTAAGATCTAAATACAATTGTCTCTAGGTTATAGTTGCATTCCGGTAAAAAAAATAAAACTGCAGACAATTTCTTTCTTCTAGACCCAATTAATAAGAACGTGTCATCTATTTTGACATCAATTAGAGTAGACATACATTTCAATTATGATTTTGTTAATAACAGTGCTATCTGTTGAATTAGATAATTTTCAAGTAACAACTACTGTGAAATCTAATGAAATTTGATTGAATATTTCACCACCCTGATTATTTTTTTTGTTGTAGATCGAAATACAATTGTCTATAGGTTATATAGTTGCATTCCGGTAAAAAATAAAACTGCAGATATTTTCTTTCTTCTAGATCCAATTAATAAGAGTGTGTCATCTATTTTGACATCATTTAGAGTAGACATACATTTCAATTATGATTTTGTTAATAACAGTGCTATCTGTTGAATTAGATAATTTTCAAGTGACAACTACTGTGAAATCTGATGAAATTTGATTGAATATTTTCACCACCCTGATATTTTTTTTTTGTTGTAGATCGAAATACAATTGTCTCTAGGTTATAGTTGCATTCCGGTAAAAAAATAAAACTGCAGACATTTTCTTTCTTCTAGACCGAATTAATAAGATTAATTTTCAAAATGGGTGTTAATTTACTTTTCAGAAACACTCGCAATCACAGAGAAGAAATGGAAAATCAGATGAACCCAACGATTCTCAAATACTCCGGCCCATCCAGCCCATTTCTCAACAGCACTTCAACCCTCCTAGTTGCTACACTCCAGTCGAGAGAGCTTTCCCTCTTTCGGAACGAAAAGAAAGATAAAAATGGCGGTGAGGATCTTTTAGTTTCTAGTTTTTATTTGATAAATTGTTTTTATTTGAGACTGGTTTCTTCTTTTGATTTGATAAGTTGTTTCATTTTTAATTCCTTTCTGCTTGCAGAGTAAGAGGGAGAGAATCCAGTGAAGCTGAATCCAGAGCATTTCAACCCTAATTGCTTTTCCAGTCGAGAGAACCTTCCCTCTTTCGGACTCAAAAGAAGAAAATGACGGTGAGTAATTTTGTTTCATATTAGGTTAGTGACTAGTTTCTAGTTTTTATTCGATAAGTTGTTTTGATTTGAGACTGGTTTCTAAGTCGTTTTAGGTTTGTTGGTTTGATAACCTTCTAAATTTGATATTGAAGACTAGTTACGAGCTGAGAACCTTCTACATTTGATACAAAGTTGTTTTTATTCGAGAAGTTGTTTTGATCTGAGGCTGGTTTCTAAGTCGTTTGTTTTGATTTAAGACTGGTTTCTAAGTCGTTCTAGGTTTGTTGGTTTGATAACGTTCTAAATTTGATATTGATGACTAGTTATGATCTGAGAACCTTCTACATTTGATACAAAGTTGTTTTTATTCGATAAGTTGTTTTGATTTGAGGCTGGTTTCTAAGTCGCTCTAGGTTTGTTGGTTTGATAACGTTCTAAATTTGATATTTATGACTAGTTATGATCTGAGAACCTTCTACATTTGATACAAAGTTGTTTTTATTCGATAAGTTGTTTTGATTTGAGGCTGGTTTCTAAGTCGCTCTAGGTTTGTTGGTTTGATAACGTTCTAAATTTGATATTTATGACTATTTATGATCTGAGAACCTTCTACATTTGATACAAAGTTGTTTTTATTCGATAAGTTGTTTTGATCTGAGGCTGGTTTCTAAGTCGTTTTAGGCTTGTTGGTTTGTTAACCTTCTACATTTGATATTGAATACTAGTTATGATTTGAGAATCTTCTACATTTGATACTGAAACAATTTCTTCTTGCAGAGAGATGGAAACTTCTTTCCGCTGAGAAAGAGATACGTGAGGAAGGAGATTATCCTTCTCAACTGGAAGAACTCAGTCTTCAGAGTGATAGAGAAGGTTATCTATCAGAAGAAATCAATCTGTTGGGCGATTGCTATGATTCGGCAGCTCTCTGCTATGTACAAGATCAGAGGTGATCTTGACATCACGTCTGCACTCTCAATCCAGGAGCTCTTGCTGTATGTGCCGAAGGTCTATTTATCTTCCGAGCTTGCCCTTGATGACTTGATGCATGCCGAATATTCTCTCAAAGAGTTTGGCACCGTGGAGGAAAAATTAAGTCCTCTCACCTACATTCTTGACAGTATGAAGCTATTCGATCAGGTAGTTATAATGTGTTACACTTTTTGGCATTTACATTAACTTGACTATGTCTTCTTTCTTATCCTTTCTTTCTTATCCTTTTTAATAGGATGTCTTCAGATTCAAGATTGAATCTATGAGAGTTTGTAGGCCATCTGAATTCCGCAGCTGCAATGAATTTGAACAAGCTGTTGTCGAAGCTTTGGCGAAGTCACCTGTGGCCTGTGTTGTGAAGACGTACGCCTCGTACAACAGAATTAGGGGAAAGCAAGTCTACCGCCGAAAACCTCGTGAAACCAAATATACTCTTCACGTCATGGTTCTTGTCAATCATGGGATTAACGGTAAAGGCCAGAGGTTCTTTGAGTTTCAAGATTCTTACGGAAAGAAATGGGGACGGAAGGGGTTCGTAAGAGTGGCTAAAGGTGTTGGATTGGTCGGAGGCTTTATTGTGTTTGAGCTTCCTCCAAGTAAGTTAATTTACTTTTAGTAAGTTAAAATCGATTTTCTTGTTAGTCATTTCTTATAAAGTTTCTAATTTCAGGGGCAAGGATTTGAGACAAACCATTGAAACAGCTGGAGATTTGTTTCCTTTTTCATGTTTTATGTTTTGTTAGTCGAGGATGTTAATGCATTTAATTCGGTGAGGATTTTGTCTTGTTCTGTTCTGGAATCAGTCACAACATGATTTTTAGGTTTCTATCCATAACTCTAATGCATTTTTAAAACTGTTATTGGTTGAGGAGACAAACACTACTTATCACGCTCTGCTGGTTGTGGAGACGATCACTACATATTCACGCTCTGCAACTATGTGATCCTTTAATAATGCAAACCAACATGGTGCAGATTTGCTTTACTCGGTGTGGATTTTGTGTTCTTATTCTGTTTTGGAATCCGTTTTGTTTCTGGTGAAAGAAGCATGCTTGAAGAAACTTACATGACACAAGTAAAATCTAATTATCTTCAACAATTTAGGAAAAAGGGACAATCTTTGCACTGGTACAAGTGAATATTCACAGAAAATGAACAATCAATATGGAATTTTGGCAAAGAGATACGCAAAACAAAATGACTTGCACACACCAACACAGCCAAGGCCAAAACAAAAATCCAAAACAAGCCTTCAAAAGTAATAGAAGCTTTCAAAAGAGACAAGAAGAGTTCCCAAAGATCTGTAAACTTACACCTCAGCCTTATTGAAGCATCTTCACCGGAACTCACAACATGAGAATCATCAGCAAAACCCAGACCATAAACTCCACCTAAGTGAGCTCCTTTTACGGTCATGCGTGTGGAAGCAGGTTTGTCCACTTCATACACAATCACACAGGTGTCCAAGGATCCTGTAGCAACCATTGTGCTGTTTGGGGACCAGGCTAAGCAGTTTATGCGGGCGATATGGTACATGTTCCCGTGGTTTCACCAAAAAGATCAGTGTTTGTGTTGGAGAATAATGGGGTTTTGTAAGCTACCTTAATGATCAAGTTACCTCTCTGGAGACTCTGTCCCATACAACTACTCATGATCATGATTTGCAAATGGGACAATTGCACAGCTCACACCCAACAGGAAAGACAAGTCATATTCGCAATGTGTGTAACTCCTAGGTTCCTTAAATTCCCCATGCTGTGTTCGAAAACTTCTATTCCATTTTATAAATTGGTTAGCTAAAAACACGGGAATTATAAACTTCAGTTTGAAAATCTCTGTTCGGAAACCTTTGTTCTATTTATAAAATTTGTTAGCTGCGCAGGAATTATGAACTTCAGTTTAAGAATCTCTGGTTAAACCTTTGTTCTATTTACATAGTTTGTTAGTTAAAAGCGCGGGAGTTATAATAATGTAAACTATATATATCCATTTGACGAGTACCTTTTTAGGACGTATCATTACTATTCGCATCTATCATTTCCTTGCATTTTATTTCAACCGAGTTTGTTGTTTAAAAGCGTGAGAATTTTTTATAGAAATCTCTGTTTGAATACTGCTATCAAGAACCTCTATTCCATTTTATAAAGTTTGTTGGCTAAAAGCGTGGGAATTATGAATTCGCTTTGAGAACCTGTTTTTGAAAATCTTTGTTTCATTTTATAAAGTTTTGTTGGCTAAACATGGAAATTATAAAAACATAAATACTATATATGTCCTTTGCTATTATAAAAACATAAATATATATATGTCCATTTCACGAGCACCTTTATAGCTATTATCTCCTATAAAGGTTGTTTGAGAGTTTAGGTTTCACAACCTCTATAAAGAAAAAAAAAACCTTTGCTCCATACTGAATAATACCAAAAAATGTTAAATAACACAAAATTTGCATAAATTCTGAAAAAATAAATTAAAACAAATCTAAACAGAAGGAACAGAGGAAATATATATATATATATATATATATATATATTCCATACCAGTTTAAAATTGCAAAGGTGCAAAATGCAAATTTGTTACTGCTTGAACTTTTTGTTTATTTGCATTGAAAAGTCAAAGAAGGAGAGAGTTGGCGGTACAAATTCACCCCTGAACGACCCTTAATTCTTCAACGACTAATTCCAAAACCTTAAAATCTAAAATGCATCCATGGACACATTTGAGAGAATCATTTGTTGTTTCGTTTCAGAAGTTGATTAAACCATAGAGCAGACATCTTGGGGTACCTCTTCAATGTATTGTAATCAACATAGACGATCCCGAACCTATATATACAATTGAACAGGAAAAATGCATTAGAGCAAATACTTGAAATTTTTTATAGGAAATATCAAATATCTGCATTGATTTAGTTAACTAACTTAATTAACTAACGTACGTACCTTGAAGTATATCCCGACAACCACTCGAAATTATCAAGCAATGACCACGCGAAATAGCCCTTCACATTGGCTCCATCATCAACGGCCTTCTTAAGTTGAGTTAAGTAATCTCTATAATACTTGATTCTCGTCGTGTCGTGTAGTCCTTGAGCTAGAGTAAAGTTTCCTGGATCATCCATACCTATAACATATATTCAAACATTTATAAAAAAAACTTAAACATCTCTACAAATCATTGGAATTATAATCAAATAAATAAAATTTTGATTAGAGATTCTCGTGTCTTTAATACCGTTTTCGGAGAGAATCATAGTTGGGTTGCCGTAATGTTCCTTCATGTACATCAAGGCCTTGTACATTCCCCATGGCACGTTGTATAACCAATACGAGTTTGCCTATATGGTAAATGGATTCATTTGATAATTTGAATTAATTAGAGAAGAAAAAATAACATCAAAAGTAATCACAAAAACTTATGTATTTCTCACTCTTGGACCGATTGGCTTCCCCAACTTAGAAACTGCAAGTGTATAAATGGAAAAGAAGGAATGTAAATGAAATGCAAAATCTAAAAGATCATTCATATCGAATGTTTCAAGAACTTACAGCCGAAAGTCACGTTCCAATCTTGTTGGTAACCCAAATCCTTAGGTATAGTGGAATTATGAGTATCAGACATGAAATAAGTTGTGTATTGGTTTATTCCCACGAAATCTATGGAACCTTTCACCATTTTCACTTCTTCCTCCGTGAATTTTGGAAGCCTCTCTTTCACGATTAATTGCATTGTCTTTGGATACTCTCCATATACTAGTGGGTGAATAAACCTTTGAAGATTATTATATACCAAGCAGCAAAACAAAGTATTATTCTTGTAAGCTCACAACAACAACAACAACAACAACAAACAAAAAAAAAAAGAAAACTTATGGTAGAACGTTTAAGAGTTTGAAAACTCACCATCCGATATGGAAGTCTCTTGCCCTTTGAGCTGCAAGATAATCTGCTTTACTCTTTTGTAGCGGCTCGTACCATACGAAATCTAGAAGAATCCCAATTCTTCCCTTTTGTTTTGCCTGAATATTTTCATGGAAAATGGTGTACTATAATTAGTTTCATTTAGATCTCATCATATCAAAACCAAAACAATTAAGAAAGCAAATTATAAGTTGTTGTTTATACTTGGTAATTTTTGCGGTATCTTTGAACTGCTGCTGCATGGGCCAAGATTAGGTGATGAGAAACAATGTATGGCTCTGTCGCTGAGTTTCCTTGTGTGCAATTTCCATATGTTTTAGAGCATCTCCCCGGCGCAAAAATACCGTTATCATAACCTAAAGCAGCTACTACGCGTGGCTCATTGAATGTCATCCAGTTCTTCACTCTATCTCCAAATGTCTTGAAACAAAACTCTGCGTAATTCGCAAAATCTTCCCTGCAAGTTTGCATCAATCCAAGTTTTGGTTGATTTGCAATTGAGACAGTAACAAGAAGTATATATATAATTGAAGTTTGGTGCTTACACAACTTGTCTACCAAGCAAGCCTTTATACTTCTTTTCCAAAGCCAATGGAAGATCGTAGTGGTACAGATTTGCATACGGTGTGATCCCTAAAACGCATTAAATTATATTCGTTATGTTTTATTTTGTAATCAAATCTTTTATTTATGATTTTTATACCTCTTTGGATCAAGTAATCGATCAATCTGTTGTAATAAGCAACTCCTTTCCAGTTGATTTTACCGGCTCCCTCTGCATTCATAAGCTTTAAAGTTATAAACTAATCTTCTTTCTTCTTTGCTTAACTTTATACAATTAATGTAGTTACTATACCAGGGAATATTCTGGACCATGAAATGGAAAATCTATAAGCATCGAAGTTTAGATTCTTCATCAAATCCACATCTTCCTGAAATGTGATTATCACGAACACATGTAAATCAAAATGTAAAACTTTCAACTTCTAGGAATCATATACGTAATCATTTCAATAATAAAATATCTTTAAATCTTTAAAATTAGTACTTTAGTACCTTGTAACGGTGATATTGATCCACTGTTATCTCAGCCGTGGCATTATTGGCGATAGTCCCTGTGTTGTTTTATTTATATTACTATTGATTATTAATCAATGATTAATCATGTAACCAAATTGTTTAAACCATAAATTACCAGGAATCTTGACGAAAGCGTCCCAAATGCTTGGCCCGCGACCGTCTTGATGAGTCTCGCCTTCGACCTGATAAGCTGACGTGGCGGTTCCGAACAAGAACCCCTTTGGGAAACTCTGTCTACTGAGACCGCCAGTGTCGAATTTGAATTTTTCTTCGGACGGCGAAGACTCGCCGGAGCTGAGAGAAGAGAGGAGGAGGAGAAGGAGGAGAGGCCACGGAGATGCGATGAGGTGTCTCATCTTGTGAGTGAGCTTTGGCTGTTTGGTTTGTAGAGGATTAAAATTGGCTGTCTTAAGGATATTTATAGCCTTTTATAAGCCATTGTATTTTGAAAATAATAATACACTTGGAAAATATATGAAAGGATGGAATCCAGTAACTATTCACCATTTGGATAAGAAGACTATGTAAATATATTGATTTTATTTTAAATATTTAATGATGTTCTTAACTTCTTATTGAATGTTGGTGGATCTATCTTATGACAAAACTGGTATGTATAAACTAATAAGGATGTAAGCACTTGGAACACTTAATAAATAAATTTAGAAATCAATTACATTATGAACAATTAAAGAAAAAAAATTAGATAGTGGATTTTCACCAATTTAGATTTTTAAAACTAAAAATGTCATAACTTAAGAAAAAAAATCTAGAAAATTTGGTAAAAGATTTGAAAGAAATAACTTAATCTTGAAAATAAAACATTCGACTGTCAATTGTACATGATTTTGTTCCATAAAACATAGCAAGTGTTGATCATGTGCGTTGTAAATTTGTAACTTCTATCTTTTATATTCAAT